AAATAAGGGGCGAAAAAAAATTGAAGCAAACGCCATACGCCATACCAATTCTACGTAACTTTTTTTCGTAGAATCTATATCTGAAGTCAAGACGTACCACCCTTGCCATTTGAAATTCAATCAAATTCCAAAATTTTCCTCTGTAAGATTAATCGACTTTGAACCAGAAAATATCGTCGTCAAAATTCTACTTAGAAGAGTTTGTTTTTTAAAAAATTCCGGCCCCTCCGAGAGAGGGGAGATTGTTCCTGCATTCTCCTGAGCAAAATATCACATTGCGCCCCCTTCGCCGGCTAAGGGTCTGCGCCCTCAGAGGTGCGTCAGTCCGACCCTGAACTTGTTATACCTGAACCGGATAAACCTTTTGATTTGCCTCAGCTAAGGCTCTTAGATTTTTCCTGTGTACGATAACTTCGCGACGGCGCGGCGCTTCGAGCTACTATTTCGCCACGGAGGTGTCGCACAGTATCATACAAGATTGAAGGCACCCCCAACGTATCATGATTGATGGCATCCTTCAAATGCATGAAGTTCCCTCGCAAATTAAATCGAATAACGGTGACACAAAGAGAACGGTACCTAGTTAAAAAACTTACTAAGCCCTAGTACCTGTATTCAATAACGTTCAGCATGCTTTTTGAACTTCATTAGAGGAAAAAGTGACTTGATTCAAACAGAAATATGTGAAACGGAGGGTCCCCCCTCTTCGGCGTCGTCAGGGAAACGCCAAAATTTGAATGCATCACGATTTCTTCATTCTTACTTTTACCGTCTTGTCTCTATTCTCATAATACTTTTTTTCTCTAAATGTTTCCTCTTGTTTATTTGTGACTTCAAAAATTAAAATATAAAAATCATCAAAGTCATTCAGTCTTTTATTCGAATAATCAACATTCCCAGAAAATTTCAACGTGCTCAAATTTACCGCCGAGAAAATTGTCTTATAAATCAATAAAGAAAATAATGCTTGTTTAAAGAAGAAAAGGTACTTTATAAAAAGGAAAGTCACTTATATCAAGCAGAAACCCGCTTTCATTCAGCTATTTTATTCTTGATTCAAAATAAAACCTTCTTGACGGTATACATAAGAATGTTTCTACCTAAATCGAGTCACTTTTTTCTCTAATGAAATTCAAAAATGATGCTAAACGTTATAAAATACGAATGCAAGGACTGAGTTTTGGGCCTACTGCTCTCTTTTTGTGCCGTAGTATCTTGATTTATTTTGCGAGGAAAGCTCCGTGCTCTTCAAGGATGCCTGTCATTCTTCATATGTTGGATCGCCTTCAATTTCGTATGATACTGTGCAACGCCTCTGTTGTGAAATAGTTGCTTGAGGCGCCGTGGCACGCTTCGGCGCGGCTAGGGCGCCTGCAAACCTAAGGGAATACTTCAAGCATAGCGCAATGCGTGAAGTATCCCTGTTAGGTTTGTAGGCGCCAGTGCGCGTATCGCGCCGGCAGCACGCTGCGCTGCTGCTCGCTCTGTGTTAGGCTCTAACATTTAAACTCGCGGAGTCAGCATTTTTCAACTTATGATTTTGAAATTTTTGCACACTCTACATAGATTATTCTCATTTAAGTTGATGAAAAAAAATTAAAGGAAAATATAGTGCGTGTTTTATTAATATTAAGGTAGTTCTGTGTCAGATTTAATGATTCCCAAAGCAGGCATTTTTCTAATATATTATGTGCTTTCAAGTGGTGCAGCGTGGTGTACGCCCAACCAAGCGCTTAATATTGAACGTATTTGACTCTAAAAGATAAACGTATAAATGGGTTAAAACCAAAGATTGCGTTTTTCTTCGTTTTTTCCTCTTTTATTCATTTTTGTTTGGTTTCTTTTAACACCACTACGGCTTATTGACATTAATATCGATACCATCCTTTGGAAAAGGTTTGCCATGTTTTAAAAATGAAGTAATGTTTTTATTGAAAATTGAGGCATATATAAGGTAAATTTTATATCGAAAATTTCAAGGTTAGAAATACATCCAAATTTCATCTATGACAATTTGAAAAGATGAATCAAAAGAAGAAAGTAACATTTCATTGAAAAAATGAGTTACCATAACAATACCTCCTTCTCTCTTAATTTTCTCATTTCGATATTGTCAATATAATTTTACATACGGACTAAAATATAACGCTTGGACCAAATCAGTATTGCTTATTTTACGCGTAGACGTTAACTACTGGACAAAACAGGTGCATGGACGAGAAATCGTTGACAGAATGTCCTGAGACCGAACTATCGCGTGCATTGCCGAAGAGGTGAGAAAAACGGGAGCGCCTTCAATACTTGAACATGCGACACGCATATCCGCGGGACACGAATAGTTGCATCAAAGCGCCGCAATCAACTCTGCTTAGCTCTTACGTAGGACATTCGTCGATTATTGTATAGATTGCATTTAAAAAATGACCGGCCTCCTAGGTATAATGGACCACTAGACAAGGTACGAATTTAAGCATTCTGATACGTGCTTCCTAACCAGAATTTAATGTAGAGCACGCATCCTGCATCGAAAATTATTGAAATCAACTCCTAACTCAGATGTTAACGTTTAGATGTTACATTGGTTACGGGAGATTTTAATTGCCCGGCCACAAGAAACGCAATACTCTTCATAAGTCAAATTACACCGTTCGACCGCTTTGGCAGGCTTCTCAATCGAGCATTGTTTCTTTCTCACTCTTTATTGTTCAAGGTACAAACAATTTGCTGTGGCTGAAGCAAAGCGTCGAGATTGGAGTTGCCATATTTTTGTATAGCAGAAACTGTCCTAGTAACGTTTTGTGTGCGGTTTGACTCACGTGGACCATTGAGTTTTCATGAGCGGGAGGTTTGAATTCACGCGTCAAGAAACATTAAATATCTTGGTTAGGAGTCAATTTCAGTCATTTTCGTTGCGCGAATCGTGTTTTACGTGAACTTTTGGACAAGGAACAAGTATTAGAATTTCGTACCTAGTCTAGTGGTCCATTATCAGATTTTTGACCGGCAAGTTCGTGGATTTGCACGGACTGCGCAAGAGCATCTGCCAGATCGAGGACTGGGCAATTTTTTCAACTACTCACACTGGAAAAACCCGGCAATTTAGGGGCATTTTCTCTGACAAAATGCTTCCTGCTCGCCGTGTTTTACGAACGAAATGTTTTTTACCACATTATTGTTATTTCAGTCTGGATATTTGCTATTCATCAGAAAGAAAATTTACTAAAGGAACTCAATATCATTCCTAAAAAAGCATAATTTCACAGTTTATCGAGTATTTTAAAAGAAAATTGCTCCATCATTAAAGCTTATTTCCTTGGTGAAGAGTCCGAAACTCTGAATTTAGTCTTCGACGGGTACTTAAGTAGAACTATTTGAGAATTTAACAGCAGTTTTCCCGTAGATTTTTACTAACTGGACGTATTTCTGTCAAACGGAACTAAGCGCTAATTTGAGTTCCTTTTGAGGAATTTAGAATCCAGGATAGCGCGTTCTGTCAAACAGAACTAAGCGCCATAGAAAAGCATTGCGAGTATAGGAACGAATGAGCCCGACGCCCGGTACCACCGCCAATTCAAGCCCCCCTCTACCTTCCTACCCCGATGGCGCTTAGTTTCGTTTGATAGATATACGTCCAATTGAAACTTTCAAACTCGGAGGACTGAAAATCAACGATTAGAATTGCAGTCACGTTACCTAGAACAAAAGTAACTTCCTTCATGAATTCTCGGTAAGGAAAAATTGAACAATTTCTTCTTACTGGAGACTTATACCCCCAAACTTGACAAGCATTGACGTCTAGGAAATCCAGCTCTTTATCTGGTCAAACTCTTCGTGCAAAAATAGGGAGCAATTACATTGGCGGAGCTGCCACTTTGTTTAAGGACTTCAAAACTGGAACAAATCCTGTACAATCCTGCCAACGTGCACGCTCCGTATTTGTCCACGCAGCGGAGAGTTCGACTGGATACACAGGTGGGATCTCCGGAAAGCGTGAGACCAGGGACATCCCCTAAATTACGGCGTCACCTTCGAGAGCTCTTTTTGATCTTTGGAGTTCGTTCCAGAGAAAATCAGTAGCACCACCGTGTACCTCGCGAAATTTTACGTAAGAGTGATTAAAATTGCATACTCATTACACATGCAAGAGCTCCATTAATCTTCAAAATGTATCCGAATAGGCCAGTGGCGTGGCGTACTATTCGATATATCGATTGTTCTGCCATTTAAACCTATGGAAAAAGATCGATCAACAGGGTGTTCGCAGCGAACACCTTAATAGTCGATTCTTTGCCATAGGTTTAAATGACATAACAATCGATAAATCGCAATTCACGCCACGCCACTGGAATAGGCTCTTCCTGAGTGATTATAATAAAAAAGAATGGGGGAATTGACAACTTCAACACGTAAGCTAAAAAAACCTGGGTCATATTTCCAAAATCTGAATGAAGGGGGCTCATTTAATTTAGGAACTATAACCACAACCACCACAGAAATCAACCAAGAAGAACGGTAGAACGAATTGTCACTAAGAATGACAATTTATGGGGGTCAGAGAGCATATAGTTATGATACGTCGTTTTCTCACAAGGGAACGTAACTCCATTCCAATATTGCCAAATTTCCGCTCGCAAATTACATGTAACCCAGGAGAATTTTGGGAATTTCTAACTGAAAATGTACCTGTTTTCTTCTCAGATTTTAAGCAAAAAAACAGACTTTTGGATACAATTTGCACAGGTACATTTGGACTGCATTTTGCAATTTGAAACTGTAAATTCTGGCTCTTCTGGAAAAACAATTGTGTGCATAGGGAAACAAATGGCAGATACGTTGTTTTTAAACCGGGTTAGAATTTATAGTTCCAAATTGCAAAATGTAGTCCATTTATGCGAAATAAATTGATTGTTTGGGTAAATTTCGCAACCTTGGAATGGAGTTAGGTTCCTTCGTCCGGGAGACGACACGACGGATTAAGAAAGATAGAAATGTTGAATTACCTTTGATTTTAGCGAACGTTGGCTCGAGACATTGGTTGGAGAAGGACAGCTCATCTCCGAGTAGTTGGTCGATGTTGGTTAGCTCACTGATGAAAAGTGTGGGGTTGGGGACTCTCCTGACGACTCGACTGAAGGGTTCCAGGTCCTCCTCTCCGTCGCTCGCTTTCGACGAGAGATCAGCTCGCGTAACGTTATTCTCCGACCGGGACTCGGAGCCTCGGAAATGGCTGCACAAGGTGTCGTCGAACCCCGCGTCGGTCTTCTCATCCTCGTCCAACCACCACGGCTTCTCGCCCGATTCGATTCTCTTTATCTTGTACGGACCCTCGACCTGATCCTCCGACAGAGTTTTATCCGGGAACCAGGGCTGTTCCGTCGCCGAACCGGAATAGGTGTGCGACAGCGTGTTGTCGTCGATCCAACACATTCGCTCCCCCTCGCCGATCTTGAAGAACCTCTCGTTGTTGGCCAGTTCCACGGGGGGCTCGGATTTGTCCGCGGCGTACCATAGGGTATGCCCCGAACCGGTTCTGATCAAGAATTGTTCCGACGGTCTGTTGCTCGTCGAGTCGAACGTTTCCATCGACCAGATCCCGCTCTCCACTTGGTTCTGATCCTGACAACTATCGGAGCCGGGTCTCTTGTCCGTTTGGTCGTCGTTCTCCTGCTCCGCGAACCACGGAGTTTCGCCCGAGTCGAATTTTCGTATCGAATAGCTATAGATCTCTTCGTTTCGTTCATGAGCTGAGTTATCCGCCTCGGCGTCGTAATATTCATCCGCGTTCGCCTCATCTTCTTCGGGTGTTCTCCTGGAGATTCCCGAGGATGGTTGATTGTCCCTATCACCGTCCTTCGTCTTTTCTTCGATCCACCAAGATGAGGAATCCACGTCCATGTTTCGCAATTGATAGGCGTGTTGCAGTTCCAATTCGTGTTTCTCGTTCTCGGCGGCCAACTCCGCCCAAAAGTCTACTTCCTCCTCCTCGTTTTCGACAGCCTCGTCCTCGTCCAACGCGCCCTCCACACTTCCGGAGTTTCTCTCGTCTTCCAACCACCACTCTCGTTCTCCCGAGTCGAACTTGCGGATATGATGCTGGGAGCTCTGTTTCGGGTAGTCAGGACTGACGCTTCTCGATTGCGCCTCGTGATTTGAGAACTCTCCACTCGAGTCGTTCGATGAGTCGTGCTGGATATCGTTTTGAGGAGACTCGCTCGGAGCATCCCGGCCTGGTTCATTTTGCGCCCACCAATCGCGCTCTCCCGAATCGAACTTGCGGATGTGATGTTGCGAAGGGTACTTGGTGCCGTCGGGACTCATACTCTCTGATTGTGCTCCGTGGTATGAAAACTCTTTGCTCGAATCGTTGGGCGGCTCCGTTGAGTCATGTCGAGAACTGTGCCGGAATGACTCGCTTTGGGTGTCATCGCGCGCCCACCAATCTCGCTCTCCTGAATCGAATTTCCTGATTTTTTGCGACTGAGCTTGACCCATTCCTTCTGTCTGACTGAACGAGTCACCTTCCTTCGGTTTCTCGTTATTAATACTTTCGAGAGGCTTACGGGCATTTGGAATGTGATTTTCGGTGAATTCGTTGATGACGTAGTGCTTCCCTGAGAAGTCAAAAGTGAGGTCGGAGATGTCTTCGGAGGAACTTTCGAAAGATTTATTTTTGAATGCCATCGCGGGCGTTTCTGATCTCATCATCGCGTACCTCAAACTTTCCATTCTTTCTTTACTGGAAACCCTGATTCCGACAATAGGGCTGGCAGGGTGCACCGGGGGTTTACTGGCACATTCTTCTTGAGGAAAAGGGGACTGGGATGTTGATGATGGTGGACCATTAAAACTAAGAGAGTCCGACTCCGAAGTCTTTATTGGTTTCTCGGGTACCCTTTCAGAAGAGCAGCCTTTCGTATCCTTCCGATAAGGCTCCTCGCTATCGGACGGATAAGTTGCCAATCGAATCTTAGGCACGGAGGTTTCTGACCTAGAAATGTCACTATCTGAAAACTGTTCCGAAAAGCGGTGAGTCGATTTGAACGGCACACTAACGACAGGCTCGATGTATTCTGCTTTCTTGGACACGAAACTCGTGGATTTTGCTAGAGACAGAAGCCGACCTGCACTTGGTTGATTCGGATCGTTGAGACTAGAATAATTGATATTCTCAGGTGTTCTACCTCTGGCCGGTGAAGGAGAAGGACTTCGACTTAGAGATCGCGATGGGTCAGACATTTTCTTTTCTAAATTTAATTGGAATGCACTGGGTATATTCAGGTGGTAGCTTGAGGATTTGTCTAATATTTCAGGCTGAGCGACGCTGAACTCATTCGTTTGACTTGCGCTACTGTCTTTGCTTCTAGTTTGGTGATGTCGTGGGGAAATAGTAAAACTGTAACTAGGAGTAGGGCTCCGAGATCTCGATAAACGTGAATTAGGACTGGGAGACCGTGCTGGACTTGACGATTTGAGAGAGCATTTTTGATTTGGTACAGCCTTCTCCAGTCCAAAAGATGGAGAGGAACTAGACTTATATCCTTCTTTCGATGCTGCACTATTTTTACTGTCTTCAGATATTTTCTCGGGACTCGGAAATTTTTCAAAACTTGCTTTTCCTGCGCTCAGGGATCCATCAGGACTAGATTGCTTTTCAGAAACATCACTTTCTGAAAATGTAGGTGACTTGTTAGGTAAATTTAAAATAGCCGTCGAAACACTGAGAGAATTCGGATGCGAAGAAACGGTCGACGAGTTTTTAAGGTTAGGATAACTGGAAGTGTATTGGAATGTGGACGGGGCAAAGAGAGATTCTTCTGTGGAGGGATGCACACCTCGAGCAGGGTCCAAAGAAGAGTCAACAGTGATCACTGTTTTTGACGTGATGTCGGTCGGCCGAACATAATTAAAGCTTTCAGATTCTTTTATATTTTGATTGACGTCAACGTCACTTTTACTGATGTGAACCGGTGACCGACTAGCAGCTAAAGGTGGTTCTGCAGGTTCACTGTTCTCCCCCTCAGACGACTCGGACTTCATGGCTGCGTAGATGTCATTCTCATCCGTTTGTGTTTGACAATCCGTTTTTGAGACGCGAGATTTCCGGACTATTTCACACTGATAAATACTCTCTAATTCCGCCCTCCTGTTCCTCAAATATGCGGAATTAGAGGGAGGGGTCGGTGAAGTATACCGGGTCGTAACACTTACTTTTACCTCATCCTTTGATTCTTCGCTTGCTGAGGGCGCAGGAGATTTCCTTGTTCCATAATGACCGTACCTACTATAAACACTCAGTGAGTCTTTAGCACTTGATGTATCAGTCTCATTTTTAGAGGAATAGGATGAGGGCTTGTACTCGGAGCTAGGTTTCGAGTAGGAAGACACTTCAGGTTCATCCTTTCGGGGAGTGGGTTCGGGGTCGGATTTGAACCTGGAATACGAGGATCGAGAATCTACGTCACGGCTTGAGCTGGTGTAGGAATTTGATTCCGGTTCTGGTTTTGAGTAAGATGATCGATAGGTTGATGATTTTTCCGTGCTTGCCTCCGCATCCGGTTTTGAGCTGTACCGTGAACGGTATGAATATGTGCTTTCTGGTACGGACGATCGGTACGATTTGCTCCAAGGTGTGTAAGTAGACTTGGACGAAGAATCGGAGCTACCGGCAGTGTATGATTTATAGGGGGTGTAGCTCGAGGCTCTTGTCGAACTCTCGGTCGATGTGCTGCTGTACGGTTTATAGGTGGAGTACGATCTGGAGTATGAGTCTGATCCTGACTTGGAGTCATACTGACTGGAGGATCGCTCAGTTCTCGAGGTGCCGACGCTACTGGTTGAGTTGCGACTTAACGAATTGTATTTGTCTCTCAAAGAGAGGACTGAGGAGGATGTTGGAGTGAAACCTGAACTAAAAGATGAACGTGATGAGCCACTTGAGGTGTAGGTTCTTGTTACCGTGTTGAATCGGCTGCCCAGCTGCAAGAAAAATAAGCAAAATATCAATACTAGTCATTCGTTGTGAGAAAATGAAGAAAGGTATCTGAAATTTCCAATACAAATTTCAAAATGAGTCTCTAATTCCGGAAAATCACTTGCCTCGAGAAGATATCACGTGAGTTTCATCGAACTTCTGCTTCAAGCAAATCAAATTCTGCTTCAGGAAGCTTTTTTTGCTGAGTTTATGCATTTTTTTTTTCCATACATAGAACACTGACTGAGAATATCCTTAGATAAACAGACAGCGTTAAACGGTGAGAGCAGAGTGCAGAAACTAGTTTTTGTTACTCTGATGTGCATCTCCATTTTTATTTTTTTTTTTTTTTAGGAGCTTACGATATCAGCATAGTGCACATAAGAGTTCGGCCAACCTGGAGTCAATAGAAACCCAGGTTATAAAATCAAAATACAAAGATTCCATTATTGATTTCAAAATTAGGATTGAGTGTCCAAATAAAAGTCAAATGGATCCCTCTCCGTTAAATGTTGAGATCTTCATTAATATAAGAGTGGAAGGATTGCACTTCATAATATATACATGTACATTGATACCTGAATCATTGATCAAATGTATAATTAGTATAAAAAGGGATCAACGCACCTGGTACACTTACGAGCACAATTTTTGGGCAAAAATTGGTTAGATTTGCAACTTTTAGGTGTGAATAGGTTAGGATAGGTTAGTGTATTTAATCAACATTTCAAACATAACTTCATGTATAGCATATGTCCATTAAATAGTAAATTTCCTCTCAATTAAACTGTACATTCCCAGATTTTAAAAAAAGGAGAAGCAGGATTCATTTCTGATTTAATGGATAATGTAGGTTAGTATATGTTGTATTCACTGAAAAAAATGGTATGCTGTTTTAGCACCTAAGATGTCAAAAATGTGTCTGGTGATCCTAAGATGCTACCGTGATTGCCCACTCAGTTGAATTTGCATTCATAGGATGTAAAGTTAACTACGAGGGCAGTAAAGGCAGCATCATGGGATCACCAGACACATTTTTGACACCCTAGGTGCTAAAACAGCATATTATTTTTTTCAGTGTTAACTTTTAAAAAGCTCAGAATCGACGATGAGGCTCCTTGGAAAAATATAGTGGGGAACAACTACAATAACGGGAGTGGATGACGGGAAAGATATGAGCTACATCTCTTACATTAAGGTTGTAAGAGCCTTTATCATGCAATTAATTACTTTACTTTGTATCATATTCTTTGACAAGCAAAAAGAAAGAACGGGAAAAAAGGTAAGTGGGACGGGGTCCCTCCCGTCGGGTTTTGGTGAAAGGACGCCATCAGGGGTTATAGGACATTTCGTCAACGATTTTTTGTTCGCACACCAGTGTTTCCAGTTGGCTTGCGTTCACGCGTTTTTTCGGCACGGGAGTTTTGGTCCACGTACCAGTTGCGACCCGAAGTTAATTGGTCCACATGTAAATACAAACGACAATTTATTGCTCATGACGTTTTTGGATGAAAACGTAAAATATTTTGGAAGAATGAGGGTTTGCTGGATTTTTCCATGTTTTGTTTTCCTTCGGTCCATCGGAGAATAATATATAATTGAGATATTGGGTGATAATTGGGGAGCGTCAATTCTATGAGACAAAATTCACTAAAACTCTCTACACCTCTTTGGTGCAAGAGGACTTAATTATCTTTCAAGAAATTCCTACCTTGTTATACCTAACCGGGTAAACTTTTTGATTTGCCTCAGCTGAAGGCTCTTAGATTTTTCCTGTGCACGATAAGTATCTTGATTTATTTTGCGAGGAAAGAACTGTACTTTCAAAGGATGCGTGTCATACTTAATACGTTCAATTTCGTATAATACTGTGCAACACCTCTGTTGTGAAATAGGTGCTTGAAGCGCCGCCGCACGACGGGTGGGCAGCCAGCGCGAAACGCGCATTGGCGCCTACAAACCTAAGTGGATACTTCAAGCATTCCGCAATGCGTGAAGTATCCACTTAGGTTTGTAGGCGCCAGTGAGCCTCTCACGCTGGCAGCACGCCACTCCGCTCTGTTTGGCTCTAATATTTATACTCGTAGAGTCAGCGTTTTTCAACTCATAATTTTGAAACGTTTGCACGCTCTGCATGAATTATTCTATTAAAAATTGATGGGGAAAAGATCTGTATCAAAGGAGAATATAATGTGTGTTTTTTAAATATTGGTGGTTCCGTATCAAATTTAATGATTTCCAAAGCATTTAATTTTTTCTTTTACATTTTGTGCTTTTACTGTTTTACTGTGCTGCAGCGAGGTGTACGCGCAACCAAACGCTCAAAATTTGACGTTTTTTTACTCTAAAAGATCGATGTACAAACGGGTTAAAACCAAAGATTGCGTGCTCCTTGGTTTTTCCCCTCTTGTATTCATTTTTACAGTTTCTTTTAACACAACTGCGGCTCATTGAGATTAATATCGAAGACATCGCTTGGAAAAAGTTTTATAAATATTTGTCAAGTTTAAAAAATGTAAATGTTTTCAAAATGAAGTAATAATTTCGTTAAAAAAATTAATAAAAAGAAGTACCTATACATGTATAAGGTAAATTGTACATCGAAAATTTTAAGGGTAGAAATAAGACCAAATATTCACCAATGACAGTTTATGACTCAAAAGAAGAAAGTAACATTTCATTTAAAAAATGAGTTACCATAGCAGCACCTCCTTCTTTCTCAATTTCTCATTTTGATATTGTCAGTATAATTTTACATACGGACTAAAATATAACGCTTCGACCAAGTCACTGTTGCTTATTTTACGAGTGGACGTAAACTACAGGACCAAGCAGGTGCGAGGACGAAAAATTGTTGACGAAAGGTCCTGAAACCCCATCAGGCATTACTTTATGCAATGAGGGATGGATTGCAGAAGGAAGAATTATCGGTAAGTATATAAAACTGTATCGAATCCAATATATCTCATTGACAGTGAAAATAAAAATCACTAGATCCAGCGGTATGTTGAATGAGAAAAGAAGCTTCAGCACATGAAAAAAACACCTCCTTCACTTATTTACTTTTAAAGGGTTCAGTGAAACTGCCACGCTTTCTGTAAATTACAATCACTTTGGAACTTTTCAGTATTTTATCCAAGAGCTGAAAGAAAACCTCCGGGGGAACAAAAAAGTAAATTAGGAATTTTTAATTATAATTCAAGAGAGATCTCTTTCATCTGAGCCCATCAAAATGTTTAATATCTAGCAACTACAGAAAGCACACCAACTCTCAACCAAGCATTAGATAATTAAAAGCGGCGACTTACGTATGAAGAGCTGTAAGAACTATAATTGCTTCTGTACGAGGACATATTACAATGCAGTTCTGCGTGTTATTCATGAAGCAACAGCTGCCGTTAGTTATTAGTTTCTAATAAAAAAGGAGCTAATAACGCGCGAAATATTTTACCTCAACTTTCATCCTACAATCCAAGATATCCAACGAGGTCTGAATGATAGAATAAGAAGCACTTTATTGCACACACATTGTGACCTGCAAAGTAAACCTTCTGATGTACATATACTACATTTTTTCTTGCACCCTTCTGCTTGATTCCACTTTTAAAAATTTATGTTATATGGTGGATGCAACACATAATCATTTGAAGAATTTCCCAAAAAAGAATCGACTTTAATTGATAGATAGGACGTCATATTCATTTGGTATTAGAGGTTGAGACAAAGTTTGAATTAATTCTTGCAAAAGATTATTTTGCTATTGTCCTCTCTCCAAGATAGCGAAGATTTTTTCCATCCTTTTGAATCAGAAACATTTTACTCACACACACTCACACGTTGCTACTGAAAAGGAGGGCAGGAGCAGTTGGAAAAGAGGTGAAAAACGTGTGTGATGATTAAAATAAGAAAGTTAAAATTGTACGAAGCGTTTCGCGTGTAACATGAATAAATTCATAGATCTATTTTCAGGTGTAAAAAATGACCTATTTCCCGTAACGTAATAGCGAAAAACGCCCTCCCCCTGCAAAGATCTTTTATAGTTTTTTAGGAAATACTTGGATCCGCTCCGATCGTCATCCTATTAGAAACGAATATATCTGATAATGAAAGAAATGGATCAGGAGGGTATTTCGTCGAAATTTCATAAACAAATTTTGAAAAATGTACACATTTTTAAATCTCTATGTTCATTACATGGTGTCCAAGGCAAATTACGAGAGCGAAAAAAGCTGCCTAGATTGAGATATTTTTGACGTTTTTTGATGCTTTTTCTGGTATCACACGACATAGAGTAACTATGTATACCTAAATCTTAAAAAGCTCCTTAGAAATTCATAAAAGACAAAATTACGATTTTTCCAGCTTCCAGGTGAGGTGTTCGGGCGTTATTAGGCGAAGTGAGAGTGATCAAAGGGCAATTTTTTTGTCACGGACATAACATTTGACACTGTTAGGTGTTGTAAAGGGCTTATTATCTAGGGTACAAAATGTAAAGAAATCCTGAGACCCTTGCAAAAGGAGTCTCCTCCTTTCCCTCAAGGTTTCATAAAAATAGTTAAACCTCAGAGAGAGCTATGCGGAAAAAACAGCATCACAGACATTACAAATACAGATAAGTCCCATTTCTGTAATGTCCGTGACGCTCTATTTTCCGCTGTAACTCTTTCCAAGGTTTAATTAATTTAGTATAACTTTGAGAGAAAGTAGGGGACCCCTCTAGCAAGGGTTTCAGGATTTTTTCAAACATTTTGCTCCAAACAGGATGGCTAGCAAAATTTCGTTTTATCATTCCCCGATTTTTTTACGATAACGTATGGGAACGTAATTAATAAGGTAAAAACGTTGGCACAACAACGCGATCAGCTGGCCCGTCGCGGACCCGCTTTTTACGTGGAACCCGGCTTCACAAATAAAAAAAAAACAAAAAAAAAAACGGACTTTTGACGAAATTCCCTGACTTTTCCTTGGTTCTTCCCGGTCGAGTTGCATTCCCTTACTTATCCAGGGTGTCTACAAGTTATTAGAACCAAAATTGAGGACTTTCGGGTACTTTTAGGGGTGTTTTTTCAAGAAAGTCGGGGACTTTTTTCCCCGAAGTAGTAGGAGAAAATGAGCTAGTTAGAGCGTTAAAAAGGCGTATTTTACACGACTAATTTTACAATTCATGTTGATCCGATGAAAACAAACAAAAAACCAAGCAACCCTTCAAATTTTCATTCCTGGTTATACCGCGCCGCCGCGGCTGGCGGGGAAATTTGAAAATGCCAGTATTAAGGTCGATTTTTGTCATTTTTTGGGGACCTGAACAAGAAAATTGGGGATTTTCGGGTATTGGGGACACCCTTCCGAAATCAGGGATAATCGGGGACTTTTGGGGACCGTTAGACACTCTGTTATCCCAGTTGCTAGCTACCCTGTCCAAATGAGGCCCTTTACGATACCTCGAAGTGTCAAATCGTAATGTTCGTGAAAAAAAATGCCCTCAAGTAAAGTATAAACACATCCCTTTCACATACAAGGATGTGATAAATTGGCACCAATTTACGAATTTTGTCGTTAGCTTAAAAATAAATAAAAAGCGGCTATAAGTGTAAAAATTAAGTGGAAAAACGGGAGTGAGGATACTCGTGAAAGGTTACATCATTGGGAATGAACTCCGTTCGTTGCCACCATCTCAGTCGCGGTCGGCGGGAGACGGGGTGAACGGAAAGAAATAATCTTTTGAGAGTCTGCCAAAAATTTTACTAAATACCGATCACCTAAATTTGCGCTCTCTCTCTTACCACTCCGAACTCTTCCCCCTTCCCATCTCCCTTCTCACATTTGCCACGCACCGATTTCAATTATTTCAGCACTAACGAAGTAACACAGACCTCGAGGTGCAGTCGCTATTAGATGTTGTTTACCTCTCGCACAGTTGCGAGGCTGCACCCTTTATTTTCAAATTTTTTGCTCAACATTAATAGTTATCAGAAAGCTTTGAACAGCAAACAATCTAATGAGTGGCGGGCTGGCGGGGCACTTTTATGGGGAGTGTAGACTTTCAAGGACCCACTTTTGATTGGTTCCTCTATCGTAGACCTCATGGAGATTATAGCGGATCAGCTAGATTCATCATGCCGAATTTGTGTGATATCAAGCTGGCTCAATATGATATCAGTATGATAACATGCATGGCCGAGAAAACCAGTATGCTGTCAGTAGGACGTCAGTATAACTACTTTAATACCAGCAGGATATGATAAAGAAGAATGGGTCGGTCCTTATTTGAGGGGCCTGGAGGACAAGGCTCAAAAGTGCAGTTTTTGAAAAAAATTGAAATATTAATGATTTCAAGAAATACTAGTCCTCATAGATATTATGCGAAAAACTTGCTCCCAAATTTCTATTTTTAAGCATCGAAAAGTCAGTTTGAGCTTTCTTTCCGCCATAAGGATCCATGTAATTTCGAACGTATTTCTCGAAATAGAAAAAACTGCACTTAAGCGCCTTGTCCTCCAAGCCCCTCATTTTATCTTGCTGATTGACTTCACGAAAAACGGACGCCGCGTTAAAACTCGTCGCCTCCTTGGCAGGGGGACGTAACTACATTTTGCGATGAGCGCTGCGGTTCGTAGCAGTGGCGTGACGTGAACAATCGATTATCGATATTTCCCCATTCGAAGCTATGGTAAAGAATCGATTATTAAGGTGTTCGTTACGAACACCCTGTCTATCGATTCTTTTCCCTGGATTTAAATGGCAGATCAATCGATGCATCGCAAAGCACGCCACGCCACTGGTTTGCAGGATTCAATGCTTTCCGGGTTCATTTCAAAGTGTGGTTACGCCTTTTTGTCAGCCGGTTGCCGGACTGACAATGAGACCTGAGAATAAATAATAAACGCGAATGGAAGGGTATACGGCGGACAATTCTCCTTAAAACGCCACGAAATCTGATGGCGCACTATTTTTCCGTTTGAAACGGGGTTGCATTCTTGGTGACTTCGAAAGTCTTATTCTTAGCTGAATTATAATGGAATTTAAGACAGACAGGCATTCTCGGTATCTGCATACCTTTAACTGAAAATGAATTAAAAAAAAAAAAAAAAAAAAAAAAAAAAAAAAAAAAAAAAAATTGCTACAGCCCACTCTCCACTACGACCATCAAAAATTGTTGGAAATGTATAGCTGATTAAGCTATCTTTTCTCTTTGATGTATCTCGTCAATTGTAAGAAAATTTATCCTATGTCCCATTTTGTAAATATACCTCCCTCTAATAAGCTGTCCGGGTATAATAAAATATTGTAAATGTCTCAAAAGTGCATGCAAGGTTGCCATAACTGCTTCATCTTCAAATTCCTTGACTTTCCCTGACCAGTTTTAGCTTTTCCGTGACTCCGAAATTTTCCAATTCCCTGACATTCGAATTCAATTTCCACTTTGATTTTTCCCCTTTGAATTCCACCCGCTTCCGTTGAACGCAACTCGCAAAATTTCCTGACTTTTCCTGTGAATTCCCTGACTCTCTGACTTTCCCGGTTTTCCAGACCGCCAGCAACCCTGGTGTACTTAATAATGTAAAAGTATTACTTTATGTACAAAGAAAATATACCTATTGAATAAACAATTAAAAAAAGAAAAAAAAATTGTCAAAGCGAGGGAGAAATTCGTCGCCCTCCTGACATAAGGGCGTAACTACACTCTGCAATGAACCCTGTTGTCAATACAACTCAATGCTTTTCCGGGCTCATGTCAATGTATAGTTACGCCCTCATGTTACCCAAGCGACGAATTCTGCCGTGCTAAGAAAGAACGTCGTATGAACATTCGAGAGTTGCCAAATTTCCTTCGATTAAGTGTTAATTTTTTAGGAAAATGATGAATATTTCTCCTTGAAATTTTCAGAATCTTTAGGAAAAATTGCGAACTAAATTAGCGGAAAAATCGGGAGGAAAATATTCATAAATTGACCTGGAAATTTGCGTTTTATCCAAGGAAGTTTGGCAACGCCTGAAGGTTCATACGGCGTTCGCGTTCTTCCTTGGCACGGCAGAATTCGTCGCTTCCCGGATGAAGGAACGTAATTCAATTGCAAGGTTGTAAAATTGACTCGAAAAAGTTAATTTTTTAGAATGATATAACTGCGCAATTTTCGTCGAAAATTTGTCCGATTTTTGCTCGAGATCAGAAGAAAAATCAGTGTAATTTTTGGTTAGAAAATTTCAATTATTTCTCCTGGTAAAAAAGCGATTGGTGCGAGGAAATTTGGCAACACTGAAATGTAGTTACGTTACTTCGTGGTGGGAACGACGAACTGATGCAGGTGCTGAGAAGGCGGGAAATGCGGGTGGGTGGACTCATGAGAATGAGAAAGAGAATGAAAAACGAGTCGACAAAGATCGGGAGTAAAAAGAGGGAACAAGGAAGCTAGAATCTGCGTTCTCAATAGGAGGCATCGCTTGACCTACAATATACCGCTTGTTGTATTAGATATAGGGCGTCGCCGAGAAACTACGTTTTCCGGCTATTTTTAAAATGATCCCTTCACCATTTCGGCCACCTCCGTGACCACCGCGGTCTGGTGCAGCTCGTCACGATCGTGTGACGTCACGCAACTTAAGCCGACGGGTTTCCGTGAGCGAGCGCCGAATTGTGGCCGAAAATCGGGAAATTATCAAAATCTCACAGGAGTCTATTTATTTCCTTAGGAGAGTTCATTTCAAATTTTTCATGAGTTTTACGATACTTTAATGTTCGAGTTAGGGCCGCAGCGGTGTAGGAGCTTCTCGATCGATCAAGATCACGTGAGAAAGAGAAGAGATCACAGAGGGTTGGGGAAAGCAGAGTGTCTACTAGTTGTAAAAAAGCAAAATTGTGGACGTTTAGGGGTGTTTTTCTTTTTTCAAGAAAATCGGGGACTTTTTTCCGAGATGGAAAGAGAAAGAGAGCGAGTTAGAGCGTTAAAAGGCGTATTTTAGACGACTAATTTTACAAGTCATGTTGAACCGATGAAAGCATACGAAAAACTAAGCAACACTCCAGTTTTTCTATTCCTGGTTATACCGCGCCGCCGCGGCTAGCGGGAAAATTTGAAAATGCCGGTGTCTCAGACGATATTTCTCAATTTTTGGGGACCTGCGAACAAGAAAATTGGGGACTTTCGAGGATATCGGGGACACCCTTCCAAAATCGGGGATAATCGGGGATATTGGGGACTTTGGGGGACCGGTAGACACCCTGGAAAAGAGGGCGGCAGAATTTTTTGACCCNGGGGGGGGGGGGGGAGCGGCATCTCTATCGTTTTCGTGTGTTTCCCTGAATGCATCGGACGAAAGACAATGGGTCAGTTGCGCTCTGGTCTCAGAATCGTGTTTTGATGCGTTATTCTTGTAGATCAGATAAATATGATAAAATCTGTCCAAACAACAACTCTCTATACGTTCGGTAATAACTGAGATATCGCGCTTTGAAATATTCAGTTCATGACGTCAGCTACCGCGGTAGTGACACCCTTGGTTTCTTCTACCTCAGTTTTATCAGTCAGGGAGACACATGCTTGCACTGGATACTCAATGTGAAACTCGGATGAAAGCAAGGTGGAAGAAACCAGGGGTGTCAATACCTCGGCGGATGACGTCATAAACCGAATTTTTCAAAGCGCCATATCTCGGTTAATACTGAACGTGTGGAGAGTCGTTATTGGGCAGATCTTTTTATTATTAGCTGAACAACAAGAATTGACTCTTGTGCATCGGTGTTAACATCAAAACACGATTCTGTGACCAGCGCCACTGACCCATTCCACTTGCCAAACCTATTTTATAGATGAACCAATGAACCATTCATCACACCATTATATTGAATTGTATCAATATCATTAAATCAAGTATGTTCTTACTTGGGAAGGAAATTGTAGAGGGCGTTGTCATTGGGGAAGGAAACTGCACGGCGCATGGTTTTCTGTGCAGAAAACCTCGCAAGCAAGCTGCCTTTCAGGGAGGGAATAGTTAAACGTATTGTTTTATGTGCTGGAGGCAGCGTTCGAAACTCACCTTTGAGTTTCAGGAGCCATGTGGCGCATCAAGCCCGATTTGTAGGCGCCATTGAAGATGTTATAGGGGCCAAATTGACTTTTTGCCTATATTTTACGGCGCATTTAGTAAAAATATAGACGCAACGTGTTTTCGTTACAGAACTAGTGAGTAGTTGTAACGTGGGGAAGACAAAAGCACAAATGATGAAATCGTGAAGAATAGAAAAAGCTTTCACTTGGGGTGCTGAAAATTTTGAATAATCGCCTAATATGAAAATTCAGATTTTTAGGGGGCAATTTTTAGGGGCCACGTTGGCGCAAAGCCTTCATTTTTTAGGCGCATTTGGCGCCTGTGAGTTTCGAACACTGGCTGGAAGTGTTTCAAGTCCGCTACTTCTGGGGGAGGAAACGGTCCAGTGCGTTGTATTATGTGAAGGCGCAATCACAGCAAAATATCAAAGTTTGGGGAAGGTGAATTCTAAAAATTGAAAAGCTAAGAACTTTCTGCACCCCTGGGATGGGGGCAGGTTTTCAAATCCAGAATATTGGCGAAGATGACACCAACTTCGACCGAGATAGATATTATAATTGAGAGGGAAAAGAGGTAGAGGTGGTGTTATCGAACTCAGATTACGGGTCGAACCCTCGCGAGTCGCATTAAAAAGATGCATTCACCACTAAAGAACCCAAACAAGATGCATCTCAACATTTTTGAAAGGGGGGGGGGTGTGGCTGCAACAAGCCGGGCGTATTAAAGCAATGCAATTGAATATTTTTTATAAGGATATCTTTGGTAAAATGAGGTCGATTGCATCCTGAAAGTTCAACCAAGATAAATCTTTCGGCCCCCAATGCTCCCGGCGTTTTCTACTTCTATCTAAAATTCACTTGCAATGAGATAACACGTTGCAGCCAGTAGCGATTCTTGAAAGTTGGTAACACTGCTATTCCTCTAATTAAATGTGTGCAAACAATCGAACCCCGGCTAGGCAGCTTGCCTCACTTAAAATCGATATTTTTAATGAATTTAAATCCGTCAAAAATAAATCAATCTTAGCCGCTTTACCGCGACCGAAAAATGTCCAGGCACCGTGCGATGACAGCGGAGATTTGAAAATTTGTGAAAAGCAAATTCATACAATTTTTATGAAGGGAAAGTCTACTCGGTGCCTTGATAATAAACGAAATACCGAAATACCACGGTATTTCGTTTATCATCGTTTAAAGCCCCTAATTGCATCAAAAAGTCGAAAATACCTCAATTATGCCATTTTTTCTGCTCGCAACAATTTTTTAAAACGTGTAGAAGAAGAAAAAAATTACTAAGTTTCCAAGTCTTTCGTTCTTTACTGTGCGATGCTTGAAATTGCATCAAAAACGTCAAAAATACCAAATTGTTCAAGCCTCTTCCCTGGTAAAAATTTTAACTGAGTACAGCGGGTTGATCGTTGAAATTGACAGACAAAGCGATCATTAGGAGTATGGAGCGATCCCATTGGTTGAAATGGGTGGTTCCTGTAGACTAAGGGAGAAAATGGTGGACTAACTGTGCAGGGTCTCTGGTGGGTTGCCTTTAGTTAGTCTATGACCTACATCCTCTGTTCATCGCAACCACCCGCTTCCACCAATAGGATACCTCCATATCCCTCGTCTCCTTTATCTATAGCTTTGTCTATCAATTTCAATAATCGGTCCGCAGCTATTCATCGATCGACTCAAGATCAATATTAACAATTTTGAGAGACTCTTCAAGGGTTTAACAAATTATTGATAGGGACAGTGTAAACTAAACACGCGCTAAGGATAGTTCTTATTCACTTAGAGTGTCATCAGTCCTTAGCGCTATCAGTTGACAAAAGAAAACTCTATCCTTGTTGGGGTTAAATGTTTCCTTCCTCGTAGATTACTTGTTAAATGTTACATGTTAACTTGTTTTCCACATCTTTCAGACTCCCAAGAATGTCATTTCATAGCGTCTACCAAGGTGGCTTGCAAAATTTTATTTTATCATTTCCTGACTATATTTTCCCTTTCTAATGAAATTCCCTGACTTTCTTACGATAACGCAAGGGCGCTTAATTAATGTGATCAAAATGTTGGCACAACAACGCGGTCAACTGGCTCGTCGCGGACCTGATTTTTACGAGGAACCCGGCTCCGCAAAAAAATTCCTTGACCGTTATGACGAAATTCCCTGACTTCTCCCTCACTTTTTCCGATCGCTAGCCACCCTGCAGATCTACACAATTAGCAACGTTCATTGTAAGATAAGGAAAACTTGAGACTTGTTTTTCTTGAATAACGATTTCCTGAAACATGCTTTTAAACAGGAAAGTTTCTCAATCTACGCGGGGAGCTAGAAAAAATAGCAATCGATATCCAGATACCTATTTCTTCGTTTTATTTTCTATATATAATTCTCCTTGTAAAAAAGAAAAAGTAAACAGTGCCATAGGAACTGGGGGAGATAGGTGATTAGAAAAGTAGGTATTTTAACGTTGTAAAGATACGCTCCGAGCTTGAATTATTTAAATAAAGCAACTAAATTCCGATCATTTTTCTTTTACTAAGTTCGCAAAAATTCGTCAAAATTGTTTCTAGAGAATTTCCGACAAATGTCGCTATCGGTACCAAAATTAGAGAGGAAAAAAATAAAAAAGAATAATAAGAGAAGAGAAAAAAAGAGAGGCAAAAGGATGGAAGAAATCGGGCACTACGTGCTAAGTAATTTGCTTGTGTAATTTGTTTAAAACATTTTGAGGAGAAAAACACCAAATGGATTTGACGAAACTTGTGCTTCTGGCTGCAAGACAAAACGAGGGATATAGATTTTTTTCGTTTTTTCCAGAAAGGATATTAAATTATCATGTGGGTTTCTTCGGCATCTTTCATTTTTCCACATGTTTCTTTTTGGATACCCCAGAGAATAAGAAGAAAAAATCAATTTCCCACTGATGGTAGGAGGTGGTAGTATACATCCAAAACCACGATGGAAGGGAAGAAGACACACTTAAATACGACTCCGTATTCACTTTAAAAAGCCAGGTTGTAATTTCCGCATTTATTTCAATTTTCCCTCGAACGAGAACACATCACGTGGAGCCGCGACTTGCGAAATTAAAGCGAAAAGAAAAGATACTCTCGAGACTTTGAAGCAACACATCATTTTCGGAAGGTACAAATTTGAGTAGGGATCAGAACTTGGTTGCACGAAACGATCGGGGGGAGGGTGAGAAAAAATCGGGGGGATTTTGGAGACTGATAATCGCGGCACATAAATACTGGGAAGGAAAAGCTACGCAGACCGGACTATTCTAACCTAGCGTAATAAAAAACACTAACTACTTGAAAAGACCGTGTGGCGGCTATGTGCGAGGAGCGACAAGCTGCCAATTTTACAGCCGCCTGGCAAATCACGAGTTAAAATTAAACCTCTCACTTTCCCTTGACCATTCTTTTGACGTCAAGCCGGACCGAGCGGAGACCCGAATCAGTAGTAAGGAAAGGATTCCAGTGGACACCTCAAAATGGATTACGAAAATGCTACACACAAAAAAAAAATATGGTAGATTTTACCATATTCTGACACGGTGCTCCGAGTATGGTAATAACCGCACGGACGCTATGCAGGGTGTCTAAGTTTTTTTTTTTCTTCATTTTGGGAAATCCTGATTTTTCCTGTTTTTTTACTGCTGAATCCTGAAATCATAATTTTTCCAAATCCTGATTTTTTGCGGAGAAATATTGGCGAATGTAACGTCACAAAAATAGCTCGATAAAAAAATCCGATCGGACGGCTGACTTTTCTCAAATCCTGATTTTACGACCGATTTTTCCTCAAATCCTGATGAAATCGGGATTAAATCCTGATTCACCTCAAATCCTGATAGAATCGGGAAAATTCTGATGCTAGACACCCTGGAGGTAGCATTTTCCGGATTAGGGTATCACCGGAGGTCTAGTAAAACCTACTATATTTCTGGTTTTTTTGTTTTTCACTAGATAGTGTCACTGTGTAAAAAATCGAGTAGACTTATAGTAGATGTCACCATACTTTTTTTCCAAAGTATGAGTTTCCTTTTTTTAGCACAAATTCGATGAGTGGGGAGAATTTGTAGGTAAAAGGGCCCTAAGCGACAAACGCCCTTCTTTTGGAAGAGCGGATTAGGAATTAGAATTTGGGCAGTGGCGTGGCGTGCTTTGCGATAAATCGATTGATCTGTCATATAAACCTATGGAAAAGGATCAATGAATAGGGTTTTACAGCAGGCATGATATATAACTATTCGACCACGGATGTAAGCATGTTGCGGCTTCGCCGGATTGAAGGCGCTTCAAACTGGGAAGATGTCTTGTCGGCCCTGCCAACCCTGGCGGGCGGGACGAAGGCTAAAATCGCTGCATCACTGGGACGACGCGTCATTATTTCTAACTCCCTTCTAATTTTCAACATAAAAAACGCAAAAAAAATATCCTAAATGCTACGATTTATAACCAGGAGCAGTGGTTTTTTTTCGGTAAAAAGAAAATAAGGAAAATAGAACGAAATAAAATATCGCGACAAATTTTCCCGTGATTTCAATTAAAATCGTTCTAAAAATTCTTGGAAAGTTTTCAGAGAATCTCAGCGCCGACTTTTAAAAAATATTGATTGAAATTGAAGCATTAACAATGGTTTGCAACGTTGCAATCGAGGTACATACGCTTCTTTTCGCGTGAAACCATCGGTATTTCAGCTCGTTTACGGCAGGCGTGACATACAACTATTCGACCACGGATGTAAGCATGTTGCAGCTTCGCCGGATTGAAGGTGCTTCAAACTGCGAAGATGTCTTGTCGGCCCTGCCAACCCTGGCGGGCGGGACGAAGGCTAAAGTCGCTACATCACTGGGACGACGCGTCATTATTTATGACTCCCTTCTATTTTTCACCATAAAAAACAAAGAAAAAGTCTCCTAAAAGCTACGATTTACAACCAGGAGCTGTAGTTTTTTTCGGTAAAAAGAAAAAAAGGAAAATAGGACGAAATAATATATCGCGACGAATTTTCCCATGATTTCAATTAAAATCGTTCCTAATATTCTTGGAAAAATTTCAGAGAATCTCTGCACCGACTTTTAAAAAATATTGATTGAAATTGAAGCATTAACAATGGTTTGCAACGTTGCAATCAAGGTAAGTACGCTTCCTTTCGCGTGAAACCATCGGTATTTCAGCTCGTTTACGGCAGGCGTGACATACAACTAATCGACCACGGATGTAAGCATGTTGCGGCTTCGCCGGATTGAAGGTGCTTCAAACTGCGAATATGTCTTGTCGGCCCTGTCACCCCTAGCTTGCGGGGCGGAGGCTAAAATCGCTGCATCACTGGCACGACGCGTCATTATTTATGACTCCCTTCTAATTTTCACCATGAAAAACAAAAAAAAAGTATCCTAAATGCTACGATTTATAACCAGGAGCCGTGGTTTTTTTTCGGTAAAAAGAAAATAAGGAAAATAGGACGAAATAAAATATCGCGACGAATTTTCCCGTGATTTCAATTAAAATCGTTCCTGAAATTCTTGGAATGTTTTCAGAGAATCTCTGCGCCGACTTTTAAAAAATATTGATTGAATTGAAGCATTAACAATGGTTTGCAACGTTGCAATCGAGGTAAATACGCTCCTTTTCGCGTGGAACCATCAATATTAGAGCTCGTTTACGGTAGGCGTGACATACAACTATTCGACCACGGATGTAAGCATGTTGCAGCTTCGCCGGATTGAAGGCGCGTCAATTTGCGAAGATGTCTTCTCCGCCCTGCCAACCCCGGGCGGGAAGAAGGCTAAAATCGCTGCATCACTGGGACGACGCGTTAATATTTATGACACCCTTATAATTTTAACAATACAAAACAAAGAAAAAGTATCCTAAAAGCTATGATGTAGAATCAGGAGCCGTGGTTCTTTTTCGGGAAAAAGAAAATAAGGAAAATAGGACGAAATAAAATATCGCAACGAATTTTCCCGTGATTTCAATTAAAATCGTTCTATAAATTCTTGGAAAGTTTTCAGAGAATCTCTGCGCCGACTTTTAAAGAATATTGATTGAAATTGAAGCATTAACAATGGTTTGCAACGTTGCAATCGAGGTAAATACGCTCCTTTTCGCGTGGAACCATTGATATTTGAGATCGTTCACGGCAGGCGTGACAAACAACTATTCGACCACGGATGTAAGCATGTTGCAGCTTCGCCGGATTGAAGGCGCTTCAAACTGCGAAGATGACTTGTCGGCCCTGCCAACCCTGGCGGGCGGGACGAAGGCTAAAATCGCTGCATCACTGGGACGACGCGTCATTATTTATGACTCCCTTCTAATTTTCACCATAAAAAACAAAAAAAAGTATCCTAAATGCTACGATTTATAACCAGGAGCCGTGGTTTTTTTTCGGTAAAAAGAAAATAAGGAAAATAGGACGAAATAAAATATCGCGACGAATTTTCCCGTGATTTCAATTAAAGTACTTCTCAAAATTCGGTGGAGTAGCTAACTTGAAATGAAACTTAATACAACTTACAGTACGACTTAAAAGAATTACTAACTTAATACTTTGGTTGGCCACACCCCTACCACCGAAATAAATAAAAGAAAGACATTTAACCAAAATAGAATAGGACTTCAGTTAGATGGTGTCAAACCCAGGTCCGACCACAAGCCCCCCCCCCCTTCCCCTATCCAACTTCACATGTTAGTCATTAGAATTAATAAGTGACATGCAAAGCAAGATACAAGGGGAAGGATGTGATCAAAACAGGGCCTGACACCAGTCACTGTAAATCCGTTTTAAATTATCAGAAAGATCATAATGCTCTTTACCAATTTTCTACCCTTTCTTTCCTACATAATCAACAGGATGTATCGCATGACAGTTCATCCAAGTCAGAGAGCTTGACGAATCACCTTAATACCAGTCCCTAAAAAACCAGTTTCCAATGTCTAAGTTCTTCCGTATGCATTCATCAATAAATCAACCCTCATGCTTATCCGAGCATTGGTGCAACAGGATAAGAGGGGAAAATGGTACATTGAAGGCAGAGATGCGAGCCAGTATGATTAGCTACTTCGCGCAAGACTCAATGATAGTTGCAATTAATATTAGTGCATTCCTTGAGGGTGATTTTTTGTAAGTAAATGTATAATAAGTCTGCAGTGATAACGTACCTATGCCATGAAAGTTTCCGCTTCTCTTTGGGATACATGTTGTTTCTAGATCTGCTCGCACAGCTGAAAGCGGCACAGAGAGTCCTAAAAATTAACACTGAAAAATCTTTGGTACACCGAGTATTCACGTACCTAAGTTGCTCTGAAACACATTTTCTTGAAAACCATCATCGCGAAAAAACGTGGGGTGGAGTGGGCTCCCGGCTGCATTCTATCTAGTAATTTGAGAATTAAGAATGTCACGGGTCTAATTGGTGATGAATGGCACAATTTATCAATTGAGAGGATTTTATCATACAAAAAGAACTACTTAGGTCGAATATATTAGGGAGAAGAAATAAATTGGAGGATGGAAAATCACGCACATTGCCGGCGATATCATGATTTTAATGTTGTTGTTGTGGTTTTTTGTTTTGTTCATAAGCGCGATGACGGGGAGGGGAGCAGAGGAACCCTTCCAGCGATGCCGAGTTGGTGCTTCTTGCTCAAGTATTTTACGAGTACGCGAGAATTTTTACTTACCTTCATTTCTACTTTACGTGTAACTTTATTTCAAAATTTTTTGTAGATACTAACAAAGATTTTTCAAAAACCCACCACAAATATATTTCAAACATCCACGAACGATGGGAACCGAGCTGACAACCATGTACAGACAGCTGATTAGCAGATGCCGTTGGAAAAGGAATTTTGAATTTGAACTGATCGTGAACTACTTGTTACATCGTTCCTCTCTCGTTGAAAGTAAACTGAAGTATTGTTTATAAAACACGTGCCGGTCGTCAGTAAGAGCCTTTCTGTAATTTTCTGTGATTTTGTCATTATTTTTCTATCCATTTGCATCATACCATCTTGTAATCATTAACTACTTATTTATTACAAGTCTCTTTTAAGCCTATGTTTGTCACGTGGATGTCTTGAATCATGAGTGAGGACTACAAACTACCCTTGAAACAAGTAAGAACATTTACTGTTCCTGACCTTTTCGTGTCATGGTTTTCTTTGTTTGTCATTTATTCTGTCTAGTTAATTTGTCATGGATGTGCTCCTATGAATCCTTTAAGTTCTTATACTCAGTGCATTAAAAGGAAATTACTAATCGCTGGACGAGCATGCTGCACCGAAGTGTGTTGGACCTGTTTCAGGCTACTTTTCCTCTTTTGCTGTATGCAAATGATAGGGCATCACATACAAGAAAAGAAATAAAATAATCTGAAACGGACTGTACCTGATTGATAATATCTAGTTGGCCCCTGACTTACACACATAACTAAACTCAAGTGACTGGTTTTGATACGAGCGAATCGTTCAGTAAGCAGCCAGTTTTCTGAAAGAGGGCTGGAGGTTTGATCAGCAGTCCACATGCACTCAGACCTAAGCCAGATAAGTTTACGCACTTAGAAGATTGTCGAACATCTCTTCTACATGTAAAGTAATTGCAAGATGCAAGATGGCGGAACCTCCGTTGCAATCCCGAAGTGCGTAAACTTATTTAGCGTGGACTGCACAATCCTCAAGAAGCATCGGGCCGTTTTTTTGACAGTTGGGAGGCAACATTAAAGGGTAATTAACCTCAATGTACTGAATCAGTACTCTCTAAGAGCTTTGTTTTCATCCGAACTGCAGAGGGTCGCAACAAAACACCTCACTTCTGTATCCCTGTCGAGGTCTCCCATCCCAGTCCTGCCCATTCCTTGTGTTCCAGTTGAACGTTAAGATCCTTCTCATGAGGTGGGTTGCGAGCAGTTATGTTCAAAATTAACCTCAGTTGAACCACTACGAGACGTCAAGATCCCGATCCATTACGTTCCATGAATAAAAAATACCCTCCAAAGTCATTAATGGATCCAGCAAGTTGATAACTTTGTCTTTTCTGCATTTAAACCATGGGAATGTACCAGTTCACAGAGGGGTCAGTTGCTTGAATAAGAATCGATCATTCAGCACAGGTTTAAATGGTTGTGTTGCCAACTTGCCGGATCAGCCTTGGTCTATATTTTCACAATATCTTGGTCGTAAGCAGCTGTCATGTGATGATGTATCTTGAGTAAGGCTCAAGATAAGACTTGACCTTGCTAACCTCACAAACCAACCAACCAACCATTTAAGCCAAGAACCAGTCTTCTTAAACTTGTCATGCATTTCTGGTTTTCTATGGTTTCATGAAAGAAGTCTATTTACTGACTTATCGTTGAGTAAAAAGTAAATTGTAATTCTAAAAATTAATCTTTTTTAAGTGTCATTAAATTAATGACTGACATTTATTCAGGTATGCGATATACTCCGTCGCTACTCACAGATTCTCGTGGGCATGCAATGTTTGTGTCCCATAGACGGGGCTTGAAGCATTCAAATAATTACTGGTCTGGTGTTCTCATCTTATGATTTTTTTATGTTTCAGAATCGGCCGTCTTTCAGTCCTCCGCCCAAACTGAGGAAGAATGTTATCACCTCTAAATTTGTTTCACCTGTTTTAAACCGTTTAACACCAAACAAGACTTGTATCCTTTTTCAACTGTTCCTGAACTGATTAAATGTAGTCATAAAAACGCATCCCCAGGATTAGAAATCATGACAATTTCATCATATCAATGGTGGAAGATGGCAAAACACAAATCTCAATTTCCAATGTTGCTGGTTTCTTGTTGTATTCTATTTTTTTCAAAGAATAACCAATGCAAATTATCTTTTGGTATTTTCAATGATACTATTCCATTTTCTGTAGATCATTACGTAAAAATTACAAGTGATCAAGGGTATTCATTTAATCATGGCTGCAAATCGAATTGGATAGGAAAAGAAGGAATGCCATTGCTCCGAAGCATCTGCTTTGGGAAACATCATGTAAATATCCATAAGAACTTGTCGGCGGGTACATGATGATCAAGTTCCTTTTTTCACGGGAGTTTTATGTTTGGTAGAAAGGAACAATAAGTTGGCTCCTGCTGGATCACTGCATATTTGCCAGCATCTTCTTAAGCACATGAACTAACACACCGTTTTCCAAAACGCGAATCCTGGGACCTTTGTGCGTAATTCCATCCAAACATTGTTTCTAAAAAGAGTTGGAAATAGTGGTTCCTAATTGTACAATGCAGTCCAATTGGCTCCTTTCAGCCTATGTAAAGTCACAGCCTATTCTAGTTCGTTTCCATTTTCTTTTCTTTTTCTTTTTTTTTAGTGTATTTTCCGAAGGAAAGATACACTATTTTTATCATTGTATTAGCATAATTTTTCTACTGTATTTTTGGAGAGCTTGCATATCCTTAACTTTCTGCATCAGCATTTCCATATCCATCCTTCAATCCAGAAGTTGGTGAAACTTTAATTGAGCAATGTTTCAAAATTATCAGTAAAATTGGGGAAGGCTCCTATGGAAACGTGTTTAAAGTTCAAAGGAATTCAGATAAATGTATTTTTGCTGCCAAAGTAACAAAGGCTCCTTTTTTAAATGAACAAGATAGGTAAGCTTCTTTTTTACCTTTCCTTTCAGTGTCAACTGTTCCAGTAACATTTTCGTTTTAAACAAAGTTCACGGTTATGATCTGAAACTCAGCTTCAGTTTTCATCCAACTAGCCAACTAGCTAGACGTACTTTGATTGCCTAAGTTTCTCTTTTATTAATAAAAGTTGAAATGAATTCCATTTTCTTTGTAAAAAGAAAAGATTAAGTCTCAGTAGAAACGAAAAAACACTAAAAATGTATGCTCAAAATATTATTAGTAGGTAACAGGATGATTAAAGAGTGCTGGTTCTGAACCATGTCTAGAGGAAATCAAAGACCAAAAATTATGATTGAAGTTGTTAAATGAACTCCAGATGAGTTTTGTGTAAGGAGAGAAAGTCTTTAAAAATTCGGTATGATACACGGAATCTTTGCGCATTCCAAAGCTGTTAGACTACTTAGCCATACAAAGTGAGCACTGAGCATGGTCCTTTGATGGCAACCTATTTCTAAAGTTTAAAAGCCTCAATTATCACCTCAGTACCAGTATGATTTTTATTTTCTTTCCTCAGCAATTGTAGGAGCAAAGTGAGAAACTCATTTTTCATTTCAACCTCCCTAGAAAAATCTAAAGAAATCAGTGTTTCCTATTTAATGATGAATCATAATTCTTCAGAGAAGTAAAAATTGTGTATCATCACTGTTGCTAAATTGTCATTCCTTGTTTCAGGAACAAGAAATTGAATGAGGTTAGGCTTCATTTCTTGTTTTCCAACCATAATAATGTTGTCACACTCCATGATGCCTGGGAAGAGAGAGGATACCTATATTTGCTCATGGAGTTTTGTAAAGAGACCCTCTCAAATCGAAGTAATCGAGATCATGCCATTCCCGAAACAATAGTTTGGAAAATGCTCCATGATATTCTTCAGGTGAGCTTTCAATTTTTCGAGTAATAAGTGTTTATACTCTGTTCAGCAAGTTATAGCACGTGTTATAAAAAGGCACAATATGGTAGCGGTGCAGCTGCTCTCACCCTCGTCACCTGTCAATGCGGCCAGATTTTCACCTTTGCACAGTGGATAGTATTGATCACTGATCAAAAACCTCTACTTTAAGATTCTTTGATCATCGCTAGTTTAAGAACTCATGTTAGGATTAATAGCCTCTGTTGAAAGCTTAAAGCATCTAAAAGAGATTAAGTCAACCTTCAACTAATTTGTTCCCAAAATATAGCCCATATCACGTCACTGATGCTCCGCAGTCCATTGTGCGACGAAAGACTGATTTGGCTCATCGATAGATGGCGAGGTTGGTAGTGGCTCATAGCCACCACATCGAGCCTTTTGTTCTGATTAAAAAAGTGCCATAACGTTGGACAGAGGATAAAAGGTCTCTCTCTTGTGTTAAGAGGGGCCACTTACAGTAAAATATTAACCCTGTTAGAGATGTTTCTTCAACTAAGTTCTTATGTTTTGTTTTTGTTTCCATTTTTATCAGGACTCATGTTGATGTTTTCTCAGAAAATTTTTGCTTTTACCTTTTCTTCCTGATCTCCTGATTATTTTCCTTTTTTTTTTAAATGAAGATGGCCATCTCAGGATCTGAGTATCCCTTCATCAGGTCTTCTGATCACTCCGTAGTTTCTATTGTCTCATGATAAAATCACGATAAAAATTATTTCAACCTGGAACCAGAAAGATAAGGAAATTGATGTCCATTCTCTATGTAGAAAATGTATCAGAGAACATAAAATAAACTCTTAACAAAAATTAAATCAAGAAATTCAATCGGACACTCAAAAACTCAATAAATCTGGGACACCTGCTACGTAACACAACACAAACATAAATCACCTATTAGACAGCGGTATCCACAAAGTGACGTACAGTTGTAAAAAAGAATACATAGGTCTAACGAACATCCGACATGCCAATTTGGCGAAACAGAGAAAATTCTCCCTCTCACACCATCTAATCCAATCTAAACACAGAACCGCAAACTGCAAAGTATATATACTCTCAAAATGCTAGAAAGGAAGAAGAATGAACCTTGCAGATTAAATGGAAACTGAAAAACATTATGGAGATAATCTGCTTATCATACAAGTAGGAAGCTAAGTCACAACGCTGTACATTCCACATAATTACCATATAATGATTACCACAAGTAAAACTTCACCAGTCCGATTGAAATTTTTGAGTTTGTATGAAATTGAAATCACGAGTTTATCATGAGCTTTATTCGTACTATTCCTATCTGTCTAGGAAAAGAATAGTTTGAAACAAATTCCAATGTACCTGTACATGCACTTACAGCATTTATTTACTTTTCATAAATGAGATTACAAGTTTCCCTCCTTTGAATAGTGCGCTTATTTTTCAATGTATCGCTACCACGGTTTATAACATGCCTCAAGGAAAAAATAAGAAGGAAGAGAGAGAAAGAATAAAAATCTGGTCTGAAATGGAGGAATATCAATCGTAGTGTGAGATGCTTTGTAGCTGTTCTTCTATTGCTATGCAATTAATATGAAGCGAAGAGAGGATTAGCTGCTGTATTTACCATTATCATTTGTTGCAGGCTCTGAGTTATATCCATTCAAAGGAAGTAATTCATATGGATGTTAAAATGGCAAATATTATGATTGGACAAGATGACGATTTCAAATTGATCGACTTCGGAATCAGTAATTTTGCAGGCGAAGTAGTATGTTTCTCATTTATTCTCTTACTTTGTATATAAAAATTTATCAGTTCTGATGGCCTAACTGATTCATTTTGAACTCATACTCTTGAAACATCATTTATAGTGCTGCGAATTTCGTTACTTCATTCATCTCTAACAAGAGAACTATTCTATGGATGGAAGATTGCTCCTAAAGCGAAGATGATAGGGTTGAATATGCCCCATCAGGGGTTCAATCTCTATTTAACTCATGGGTCCGAATGTGGAGCAAGTTTAAAACAAGTGGAATAAGAGATGTCACACTTATGGCAGTCTCTGTCCCACACCTTGTTGAAAGTAGAAACCTCTCTCCTGTCCACCAGAAGGCCGAAATTTTGCGTTTGTCAGACAGACATAGACTACAAAAGTGAGATGGGGTGGTGTGATTGGTCGGCTATGTCTTATCACTGCTTTGTTATGCCTGTGTTGGCTAGAATTAATGACGTACTGAAGGCACTTCTTGAGTTCCCAATTGCATGCGGTTATTTCTACCGGGCGTAGCACGACAAAGCAACGATGAGACATAGCGGGCCAAACACGCAATGCCTTTTCACCTGTGTTATCTATTCCTGCCTGAAACACGGAATTTCAATAAGGTCTGCAGGATTAATCGGTGCTCTAACACCTCTTTGTCACAGAACTTGATCAAACTTTGACACCAAATTTTTCTAAAATGGTCGGCTCACTTAAAAAACTGCAGAAAAAATTATGCTGATATTTTTCTTCGTTCGTTCTGAATGACATCAGTAAAACAATTTAGCACCGGCTTTTTTTTTCTCAAAATTTAATTCTACCCATAATTTTTTCAGAATTTCCAGAATATGTGTGGTGGTGATCAGAGATACCTTGCACCTGAAATCATCAATCAACATTGTACCAAAGCTGCAGACATATTCAGTTTAGGAGTTGTAGCCCTCGAAATGGCTGGTGACTTCATTTTGCCACATGAAATGGAGCTGCTTGCGAAACTTAGGAAAGGATTACTTCCCTCAAATCGTAAGATTTTACAACTAGACAATATCAATTCTATATAAGGTGTTACATATTTTGAATTTAAAGTCTAGTGAAAGTTTTCCATAGGATCGTAATAATTTTAGGAATAAGTCTCATGGCACATTTGTGTCGCTAGAATTCCTCTTTAAACCAAGTCTGCCTAGTCACATAGCCTTCCTAACTGTGCAGAAAATTTCATACATGCTGATAGGAATAGGTCTTTCCTCGAAGAGTCTGAATGTCCCGCACTTGAGCATGAATATAGGCATTCACAGATTGTGCCAGATTAAAGAACTCTGGGGTTTGTGAAAGTAATTTATCGTATTTGTGCGGACCCTATGACATGTAATGTCTAAATTAAGGAAATTTTACTGAGAAAATCCTGGTGAGATCAGGGGAAAATACAAAAAAAAAAGAACTAAAAGAAAATGTAAAAACAACTGAAAAACATTAATTGAATGTTTTAAAACTTAATGAAAAACATATCAGGTTCAGTTACTGTTTTGAGTGAAGTATTTGAGTCGGTCAAGCCAGCTTAGGTTATTGAACAGAACCATTGAAAAATGAAAACTTTCATAAAGATCGCGGAAAGTCACAGATACCATTGGATCAAATTATATCTCGATGAATCTCTGTTTATCAATTAAATTTGGATAGAACTGAATCTCTGTTGAAATTTTCATCTTTACAGGATCAAAAAGAGCAGTACATTCATTGTCGTGGACCTAAAATTACACTTGCATGCAATTTTGCTTTAATCAAATTGGTACTCGAAGTCTTGACTGTTGCAAATGGTTTGAGTAGTGAAGGAATTCTCCCCATTCCTACTGATTTAGCACCGAGTCGAAAATTTTTAGTTGTGCTGTCACACATTTTGGCCTAATACTGCACACTGATATGAGGCTGAAACTGTAGTACGTCAGTGGCAAGGAATTTTTCAAGGTTTCAATTTCCTTGTCAAAACGTATAATCTCGGGGAAAAACCAAAATGTTCAAAAAATCATTTGTAAGGAGAAAAAAACCTTATTCCAGTGGAAAGCTGACAGTGGAGTTGACGTAACAAGATGATGCCTGAATATGAGACCAGCCAATCAGTAAACATTATTTTCCTCGCCTGGCTATGCCATGAGCACTCGTCAAAAATATCTTTTCAAACTTGTCCCATTTTGGACATTTCCAAAAGGAGGTCTCTATGGCATTTAGGATTGAAAAAATTCTTCAGAGAAATTCTTCTGCTCACTCTTTACTTCCAGGAAATGAATTTAAAAAAAATGAATGCCTATGACCCATCACGGTGCTCATGATCAGTTATTGCGGGTCTCAAATTCAAAAGCTTGACAGGCTGAAGAATTGATTTTAGATTTCATCATCATGACCAACTTGGACTAACAGTATTTTTTAAAGTTTCCATCTCTTTCCTCTGCAGATAATATCTCACCAGAGCTAAGCCGAATTATACAAAGCATGCTAACACCAGATCATACAATACGTCCATCCGCCTTAGAATTACTGAAGAATGAAACATTGATCAAAGAAGTAAGGAAGTACCATTTAGAAAGCTGTAAGGTTAGTATGATCTAATGTATCAGTTCAGCAATCCTCACTCCATCACATAACTACTGCCAATCCACAAATTGCATTGGATAATTTATCTGTAATAATCAAACTTGTTCACTCTTTTTTTAAAATGATTTATCCTTAGGTATTCCTATTTATCAGGATAAATCTGGTAATAAATTCGGATACATCTGGTCAAGCGAAGGACTACTTTAAACAAATTTGAATAATTACGGATGAATCAGGTGTCTAAGTGGTAACTAGAATTCATCCTTGAGCAATAACTTGAGTTAAACCAGGATGAATTAGCCAGAAAAATTTGCAAAATAGTTGTTTCTCCTATCATCCTATGCTACCACTCCTACAGCCTTCCTTCTTTTCAGCAAGGATTTCATTATGAATGAAGTGCTTGTCAATCTTGTTGCAGAACATTGAGGTTATCAATTTTTATTTTGTGTTTCTTTTATCCATATCATTTCAAAAACATATTGAGAACATCCCATAATACAAATGCTACCAAAAAACTGCACAAGAGGTGCAAAGCGCCGGGAGAGTAGTACCACAGAACGGCTAAGGGGCGCAACCTCCTGTTAACAACTAAAGTATACAGTTTTTACCATTTTCAAATGCGTTACCGCCCCTCTCAAATTTTCTCCTTGAAAAAAAAAGTCTCTCCTCACAAATTGAATTTCCGAATCATTTTAGCTTGGCTAGCTTTTTGAAGAAGCCTATGTGTTCCCTATTTACTAAATATGTATGTATTTGTATATTCTGCATTGAAGGTTGGAACTTTTTTTAGTGCAAAGTGGAGAAGTATGGTTCCTTATTATCTTCAAAATCACTCTAATTTTTAGTTTGTCTCTTTTGTTTCAGAGAAAAATTCACGGAATTAAAGATTGCTACTCTAAGTATATAGCTGCGTTAGCCTGTAGACTTTTAAGCATTCTAAACTTTGGATTGAAATTTTTCACCAATGTCTTATTCAGTCGACAAAGAATACCTGTTATTGTTGAACCTAAAACACCAGGTAATTTGAATTTCTCCTTGTAGCTCACATATTTAAAAATAAATTGAAATATTCATGATACAAGGGCAGAAGTTTCTTCAGAAAGGAGGAGCAAGTAGATGCTCCATCAAACTCATTCGGCAGATCACAGGTTTTCCAGGTCTGGATGAGGCACTAATCTAGTCTTATAAAATTCTAGAGTTTGTCAAACTCGGTTGCATTTGAACTGAAATTAACAGAAATTCATCCAGTTGAATTTTGGAAAAAATGAGTTGAGGGTAGTTTTGAATTCAATTTGTCATACATTTTCTCCGACCAAAAAAATGATCCGAGTTGAAAAAAATTACTGATCTGTGAAAAAAGTCGATAAATTTTATCCGTAACATCAAGTTTAATGGACAAATGAAACTTCAAACCTTTTCTTCTCTGTTCAATCTTGATACAACCTGGTGCATTTCTGCTAGGGTGGATTTTCAGCTTTTGTAAAAGTCAAAACCACTGTTTCCATTTTGCAACCAATTTCAATATATGTATCTCTATCGATGGTTAATGGCTAAGTTGCGCTGGTCACATAATCGTGTTTTGATGCTTGGTTCATGTAGATTAGCAAAGAATAATAAGATCCGTCCCAACAGCAACTTTCCATGTTCAGTATTAACCGAGATATCGCCCTTTGAAAAGTCAGGTTTTTGACCTCATCTACCGCGGTAGTGGCACCGTTGTTTCTTCCACCTTGCTTTCATTCAAGTTTCACGTTGAGTAACCAGTGCCAATGTGCATCACACTGACTGATGAAAGCAAGGTGGAAGAATCCAAGGGTGTCACTACCGCGGTGGTTAACACCAAAAACCCGAATTTTCAGACGATTGCTGTTTAGACAGATTTTATTATTTTTAGCTGAATTACAAGAATCAAGCGTCAAAAAACAATTCTGTGACCAGCGCAACTGACCTATTGGAAACAGTACTTCTGACTTTCTTGTAGGACTTCGGAAGATGATTTTTGTCACAAACATTCCTCAATGATTTATCTACCGACTGAAATTCTGATTTTTCAAAAATAATTCACCTAAGGTTTAAATTTGTAATATATTATTTGTATCTAGAATTCTCTGTGCAAAAGCTAAAGATCCACCTCTAGCTTATCAGCTCATAGGGCTCAACTCATGTCAAAAATATTCATCTTTCTTTTCTTCATGATTAAAATGTTATTAAACACAAACTTTCATACAGCTGTTATTATGTGTGGCCGTATTTTCTTTTGTGGATTGCATGCGATCAACATGTTGGTAAATGAGATAAATTCATAGAATTCCCTGTTATAGTTTTTCAAAGTTCGCTCTTTCTACCATTGTTTAATTTTTTAATGAGAAACTAACCAGAATTTTTACAATTTATTTTTTTTTTTTTTTTTTTTTTTTTTTTTTTTTTTTTTTTTTTTTTAATTTTCCTACTTCTAATATTCGATGTGAGACTTTAACAAGAAGAAGAAGTTAATTTGAAATTTCCGTTTTTCTAGATTGTACACCAGAGGAAGTGGGCAGTGTATCTAATGTAATATCAGCAACTCCACCTGGTTTAACTTCTTCTGGAATCAAAGACCGTAGTAGTAAACAGCTTGCAAGTGCTATTTCAACCAGGTAATTATCTAGTTGTATGTAATTTCCTGCAAGTATGCGAAGATTTTCCTTCTGGACTGAATTTTTTGCCTTTTCTCTTTACGACCATGATACCAAACTATCGCAGTCTCCATGTAAAAGAAAAATACAGGTATTGTGCAGAGTGTTAATCATTCTGCTTTAAACATTAAAGAAGTTGTTGTTTGGAACCATATAATCACTTCCTTCTTTTATATTTTTGATCCTTGAGCAAGGGGCACCGGGCGTCAGGCTTTATTCACTTTTTATTTCTGAAAAACTAAGTGAGGTGAAAAAAAAATAAAAGAAAAAAAACGAGAAGGAGGGAGGTATAGGGAAAAAGAGGGAGGGGGAGGAAGATTGAGAGAAAAGGAAGTGAAAGAGGAAAGGGACAGGAGAGAGAAGGAGAGAAAAGGGGATAAGAAAGAAAGAGAGTGATAGAAAAAACGGACATGAAAGGGAGTAGTAAGAAAAATATTGGTAAATTAATGAACAATTTCCAAGTCCGTATTTGGTCAAAGACATAATATTTCCAAGTCCCTAATGGATGTATTAAATATTGGTGGATTTAATCAACTTATCGATGTTTGATCCAATCAACATACCAATGCTCGATACAATCAATACTGAGAAAGAAAATCATTTTAATCATTACAGAGAAAAAAAATCATTTTAATCAATACAGAGAAAAAAAAACATAATATGTAATCAATACATCGAGGTTTGATATAATTTTTTTAAATTTTTTTTTTTCCCAGGAGACTTGCATTAACAAAGATGACATCCTTGAAAACTGCGTCATCACCCGCCCGAAATTTGAAACATGAATTTTCCTCAGATGATGAAGACTAGTCACTTTTATCAAATTGCGTTAATAGTCCAGGCAGTCTAAAGGAAATCTAAAGTCCAAGAAATCAACATTTTGTACTTTGGGTGAAGATATCTCGTCGGCGTCGGTATTCTTCCTTAACGCCGCAGCATCGGGTAGACTTTAAGAAATATCAGCTGCCAGCAAAGGTAAGAAATAATCTTAGTTATCAAAGCGGTTATGTATTGTCAGTAATGAAGCTTTCTGTCTACCCGACATCATCAATGTAAGCAAATAGATGAAGTAGACCTCAAATTTTCCTCGTTTTTAAGTTTTCCCTTGTTAGTCTGAGGGAAAATGTATGTTTAAGTAGCTTACTTTTGATCTGATTTTGTTTTTCCCTGCCTTTTCTAAGTAGTATTAATTTTCTTTCCAAACCTGTGATCATTGAGTGGCTTTTGTTTTAAGTCTGTTCAAAATTAAGCACTCTTTACTTACATGTAACCATCACATGTAATTAAAAATAGGTCTCTAGATTTTAAGAATAATGTGATGTTTTTAAGTTTTTTGTTAACATAATTGTAAGAAGAAATTACTTTCATCCATCCATCCATCCATATTACACTTTCAAGATGTATTACTGTATTCAGGGTTATTCAAGTCCTTCGATGTACTTGAATTTTCATGTCGTTCAATACCCCTAGACTTTGGGAAAGTGTCAGAACTACATTTTGCAAGATGGAACTACTGTTTCTGGTTTACCAATAAATGCATCTATCCGGATGGGGAAATTAATGAATTAATTAATGAAGTGTTGTTTCTGAAGTAAGGCAGAAATAGTAATTCCTTATGGCAAAATATTGTTCAGATGTACTTGAAAGTCCTTGAATTTTATATAATTAGGTTATTTTGTTTACAAGCTTTGAGAAGATCGGTATTTTCCCTCTTTAGAGATGGATGTTTCTAAAATGTCAAATAGGGTAGTCCATGCATTCTGTGTGTACTCGCACATTTACATATAAATAACCATCAATTGTCCCGCAGACAAGTTGCAAATTTAAACATTCTGCTGAATGTTTCCTCTTCAAAATTTCAAGTAGAACACAATTTGTGCAGCGAAAATTACTGAAATCAACTCCTAACAGAGATATTATCGTTTCTAGTTTACACTGCCTCAGGAATTGTGTATTCCCACTCACAAGAAAAACAGTAGTCCACTTGAATCAAATAGTGCACAATAACGATCTTAGCAGGCTGCCTAATGGATCAGTATTCCTTCCCTGATCTGTGCTGTTTACAGTGTTAAAGACGTGCAACAGCCAAGTCGAAGCACTGAGGTTGAGTTTCCCATACTTTGAAACCACGGGTATTGTTACTGCAACGTTTAAGGTGATTCGATGGACGCCATATTTTGTGTCAGAACGGCATGCGATATATCGCATCAATTGGTTTCATTTTTTCAGCTACCGTCAAACGGGGCTACTTGGGACGATTTTAGCACAAAAAAGCTTCTCCAAAACGAACCATACATTATTTTGCCAAACTTTTTTGTGCTAAAGGTAGTTCGTTGGTACGCATATCGAATTTTAAAGGAAAAAAAAATTTATGCCCCCCCCTTATATTTATTTTTTTCGATTTTCGACTGTCCCAAGTTACCCCGATACTCGGGGTAACTTGGGACACGAATTAAAACCAAGTGTTTGGCCCATGTTAGGCTCTTTCAGGGCAACATGGGACAGTAAACTGAATTTTTAAAAAAGTAAATTGAACATTTATCTATAAAATAATACAATTTTGGTAAATTTGAACAAGTCTTTTAAAGAATTAAGTAGGAAACAAAAATGGCATGACAGGCTTGAGGAACTTAAAGCTAATATTGAGGTCAAAACGTTTCAAAGTTATCAACTAAGAGGCACCTATGGCAGTTTGAGTAGGTAGGTACCAACCTTTAGTAGGTAAGTAAAGGTATGCATTAAGAAAAGTATTCTTTCAAAATATTGCGAACATGTCTGTTAAGGGTTGATTTCGGAATTCCAAATTTTGTTGACGTCTTACCCTCTTACGCAGAGAAGCACCCTTTCGAATTGCTTTGACAGCTTTCTTCAATGAGTTCTGTGAGAAGTCTCTGTATGCCCGAGAGCCTGGTTTTCTTTTGTACGTCCGGACCATGTTTCTTGTAAAATTACGAAATACCTGTCATAAACAGATCAGTACCTACTTAACTGATAAAAACCTGAATATAACCCAGGAAATCTCTTATCTCAAAAGCACTGCCAATAGGTCCTCCCTCTTAGTCTGTAATGCAAGGTAGAATTGGAAAACATGGAAACGATATCACTAAAAAGGAGAAAATAGGGTGTCCCATGTTACCCAGCGATTCCTAGTTTTTTGGTTTTTTGGAAATTTTGGGGATGAAAACGAAAATTTTTATAAAACTGAAGCAGACCCCATCAACAGAGGCACATTTGTGACTTACTCACATATAAGAAGTTTGCATGTGGTGGAAAGATACTGAGATCCCCAGGAAAGTATAACGGTGTTCAAATATGACGAAAAAATATTAAAGAGACAAATATTTTTTTTTAAATACTTATTTGGGTTTCAAAATTCTTCTTGGTCATGAACAGCCATGCCGGAGTAATGTAGAATGAGGTTATGGCATCAGAAGAACAAAAATAAACATTACAGTGCTACCACACACAACAACGCGAAAATTCCCTCGAGTGTCCCATGTTAGCCTGTAGTCCCAAGTAGCCCCGTTTGACGGTACTCGTCATTTTTCTCCAATTTTGAGATTGTAATTCTGTTGTCAGGAGACTAAAGCATCACTTACGAATTTTAACAAAGAAATTCAACGTAATAAAGTTGTGGTTTTTTTAGAGAGAAAATATCGCATTTGAGTGCAGTTTCGATATCGGTATCAAATGCGATGTTTTCTCTCTGAAAAAACCATGCCTTTATTACGTCGAATTTCTTTGTTAAAATTTGTAAGTGAGTGCTTTAGTCTCTTGACAACAGAATTGCGATCTCAAAATTGGAGAAAAGACGAGTCGCTGAAAAAATGGAACCAATTGATGCGATATATCGCATGCCGTTCTGACACAAAATATGGTGTCCATCGAATCACCTTAACTGCACGATTCCTTTCACAGAGACTTTTGTTTATTTATGAGCGGGAAGTTGAATTTACGCATTGAAAAACATTGAATATCTTAGTTGAGAGTTGATTTCAGTCATTTTCGCTGTGCCCATCGTGATGGAGGGAAAATATTGATAAGGAAACACATATCAGAATACCAAAATATCAGGGTGTCTAGGATCAGGATTTGAGATTAATCAGGATTTAATCCCAATTTCATCAGGATTTGAGGAAAAATCGGTCGTAAAATCAGGATTTGAGAAAAGTCGGCTGTCCGATCAGATTTTTTTATGCTTTCGCATACGCTTATGCAGAAATTTTAATTTTTCTCCGCAAGAAATCAGGATTTGATCAGGATTTGGAAAAATTTTGAAATCAACATTTCATCAGGATTTCCCCCCCCCCCCAAAAAAAAAATTGGCACCCTGAATATGCACCTTGTCGAGCCGTCCATTTAAACCTATTAGAGGAAAATTTCATTTTTAAGGCATTTTTTAAGGGTCTTACAATCTTGCTGTATGTTCTTGAAAGTACTTGAAAATGATTTCGGGACTCATTGAGAAATCCTTGATATTAGAACTCCTTCAAAAGTCTTTCACTTTGATAGTGAAAATCTGTCATGAATCCTATGATTTACAATGATAGTTATAATCATCAGTGTTAATTTTAATTTTTTGATTTACTTCTCTTATCTGTATCAGATTCTCTATCGATAAGTCTACCTATCGAGTTTTTGTAATTATAATACTTGCGCTCAGAATATATTTTCACCAGTAGTAGTAGATACATCAACAGAGTATAAAAGGTCTGTGATTAAATCAATATGCCATTACATAAAATTTATTTTAAATTTTTTTTATTTTTGTTTTTTACCAGAGCACTTTTTACTTTTTGAATAAAGCAACCTGAAAGTTGATGGACACTTTTTTTCTTCTTATCGCTCTAATTTTTGCATTATACACCAGTCATTTCTAGCATGCTGCTATCATGCCAAATTATAATTTTATGACACAAACTGAGCTCCCCAAGTTCAGAAGTGAAGATAGATCAATGTTTATACCATGAAAATAAAAGAAACAAAAAATTACCTCATAATATGGAAGTAGAAGAAAGTAGTAAACTTAGATATTTAAAATTAATAAGTTTTAGGTGATTGGAAAAACCGGCTAAAACGTTATTAAAACTTAAATTTCACCTTCTGCATGCACAAGGTAATTTTGCTCATGCTACAAATCATACATGGTAGGTTATATTCTCGGATTTTAAACAGAATTGAAGTTTTGTGATGATCCTTCTTGATTATGATTAAAAACAATGGTATCATAAAAAACTAAGGACCTTTATTTACAAAGATTTTTTGTTTACAAATTAAAAACAACAAAAATTAGAACAAAAAAGTACATTTGAAGCAATTTTGGACAATCATAAAAATTACGAACGATCAAACAGTCGACACATGGATGAATCATAGGTTTCAAAATTTCTTTGAAACAATTATATTACGAGAATATGAACTTCTCTCCAACAGGAGGATAGACTAGGCCCAATACCTCATCCTCACTTTTTTGGGCACCCATTTTACAAATGGCTACTTTGTTCAGCTCAATATCTTCAGCCCACAAAAACTCATTTGTTTGGTCCTTATCTTGAGAAGCTTTTTTCTTGTACTCGCCCACATCTCCTCCATAATGATTGAAACACTTTATCAACTCCCGGGCATCGCACTGTCCATCTGCCCACTTGTCTTTTCCCCTCTTTCCTTCACTTTTCCTCCCACCTTTGGCTTGTATGGCATACCTCATGTTAGCTATTGTTGCATGCAACACCAATGGGCGGGTTTCAGTGATGAACCCAGCATTTCGGAACTCCTTGCAGATAGCCTGGCTGAATTTGAGCAAAGGAAATGATGATGATGGCGACGATGTTGGTTTTGCATAAAATACGCAACTCTTTTTGGGAGATGGGAAGGTTGAAAGCCCAGTGAGAGTAATGCGGAGAGGATTGTTCTTGCTAAAAGGAGTAGGGTGGTTTTCTTCAACTGCAACTTTTGAAGAGGATGTTGGTTGTTGGAGACGCAATTGCCCCTTGTTGATATCATCTGGGCATAAACACTGCTCAGGCTGAGAATCAGTGTTGCCATCTTTGTCTGTTACGTGCTCAGGTTGGACTTTTTCTTGCTGAAGAAGTACACCTTTTAAAATGTTCGCATAGTCCAGACTCTGCAGAAGTTCCAACGCCTGACTCATACTCTCCTTGGATGACAGGTCCATTACACCCAATGTCAAGTGAAAGGTACCTGCTGGTCTAAAGGCAAGGGATGGTAGAATCTGAAGATCTGGATTTGGACCTAGGTGAGGTTGTGAAAATGTTGTGTCAGAATTTAAGCTGTTAGTTTCCACATCTACTATGTTAGCAACATCATCTGCTTTCTGGGATGTGAAAATTTTCTCTGACTGGCTGTGATTTTCATCTAGGCTCAAGGATGTGCTGATACTTGGTTTTGTGGCTATTTGGCGAAAATATTTCAGTGATGCTGCCAGTTGTGGAACTGATGTGTCCGTCACAAGAGGGAAGCACAGGAAATGGGTCTTCCTTTTTTTCGGAGGTTTATCAATCCTTTTCTGTCGTTTGCAAGGAGGCTGAGCTTTTTGTGAATCAGAATAAGATTCTGAGTCCCAGTCATTTTTTGAGCGTTTGGTAGAAAAGAGGGCCATAACTTTGAATGATATCTGATGAAGCTGCACTGGTTTGGCGCAGTAATAACTGACTGATTGTACTGTTGAAATGAAAGGTCGATATAAATGCCAAATTTGTCCACTCAGCGTTAAGCAGAATGGATGCATGTTGTTTTGAATTGGCAAAATTGGGCAATTCAAAATGGTCCGCGTTCTTGTCTAAACTTAGAGGGTGTCAGATCATTGAATTCTTTGGAATGTTAATATAAAACGATCATAGTAGCATGCTACAAAGATGTAACCTAGTCTGCTATAGGCACATGATTCTTACCACTAGAAAATAGTAATTGCAACTGATAATGAAGTACTCATACAATTACTGAAAATTGTAACCTGAGTATTTTGAGTAAAGTCATCAAAATTCAGGTTTTGCTGAGAATGTAGGCTTCGTACAAATGAAACTTTAACCCTAATTCTGGCTCATTTTTGAAGAGAACATTCAATTACCACAATTATTGCTATAATACTTATCTTTAACAGGAAAATGTAAATTGAGAGAAATTTCAAATTATATTTTCCTCAAAAAATTAGGAAATAGTGCAACTTCAAATCAGTTAATTAGGAATTTAGACCTTGTTTACATAAAAGGAGCCAAACATTGCAAGAAAATAATATAAAGTTTGGAAAAAAACTAAACTCACTCATAATAGCTTTGATGAAAATATCCCCAAAAATTTTCAAGGGAATTATAGGAGGAATTATTGTTTTGAGGGGAAAAAGGTGATAGCTAATCTTGCTTTCCCCAATCTCAGTTTTAAAACAGGTGTCCTCTAGAGTAAACCTGAGAGGGTAAACTGAGTTCGGATATTTTACTTATGAGAGAAAAAAATTTTAGGGACTTGAAAGATGTGCACGACCAAATGCAAGCTGATGCGACAATACTAAATATGAATTCTGAGGAGACTTGATATTTCAATGGGTGAATCCAAGGATTAGCTACAGTTAAACTTTGGGATAAAAAATCGAGAACATTATCAGTATAAAGAAAAAGTTTTTTTCGCCTTCAAATTACTTGGGCTAGACCCTACTGAGGTAAGATGACAAAATAGGGTATTTATGGTTTAAAGTGAGTCAATATGACTTTTAGCACAGATATTTGAGACAAAAACATGGCTTCGGATTGAAGATCTTGCTTTTTTGGATGAACTTAATCTTGTTTTGATGGATGGTGCCAGTATCAGTGTATGCTCTATAAATGAATGCCCCTAGAGTACATGCAGTGCGATGACAGCAAGGGTTGCAGAGTAAACGTTGCTGCTTGTTGAGTCAGAGCCTGAAATGAACAAAAATGATTATTTCAGCATGATGAGCATTTTTTTTTTCTCTCTCTACAAATGAGCACTTGGATAAGGACATCGACTTACGTTGCCGTGCTAAGGAAAAACGCCGTATGAGCCTTCAGGCGTTGCCGGATTTCCTTTGATAAAACACGAATTTCCCAGTAAACTTATGAATATTTTCCTTCTAATTTTTTAGACAATTTTGCTTGCAATCTCATCTAAAGTTTCTGAAAATTTCAAGGAAAGATATCCATGACTTTCCTCATAAATACCTAAACATTTTATAGAGGAAAATTTGGCAACTCTCGAATGTTTATACAGCGTTCTTCCTTAGCTAGGCAGTACATCAGTGTAAGCCTATACCATCACAAAAAAATAATGAGAATGAGACCGTTATTTTTTATCTCCTGTTGTTGACATTTTCCCTTTTTTCTTTTCCTTTTTTGTTTTCTTAAAAAAATCAAAAACATAAGAACAGAAGATATGTGAAGACTCCCTGAGACTTTCACTGATAGATACTAAAAACCACCTTGTTATCTTCAGAGAGATACATGGTTAGGTAATTTTGATATCACATTTGAGAATATTATCAAATGGTGGCTTTGCTAGACAAGAGAGAGGAGTTTTTTAGACATGAGTCCAATGATATTTGGACGTATTTCTGTCAAACGGAATTAAGCGCCAATTTGAGTTCTTTTTGAGGAAATTAGAATGCCGGATAGCGCGTTCTGTCAAACAGAACTAAGCGCCATAAAAAAGCATTGCAAATATAGGACGAAATGAGCCCGACGCCTGATTCCGCCGCCAATCCAAGCCCCCCTCTCCCTTCCTCCCTGATGACGCTTAGGTCTGTTTGACAGAAATACATCCATTTATTTAAAATACTATAGCAACCCCTCAACAGCAACAGTGACTGTGCGTTGCCACTGTCTTCAATTTATTTAAGTAGATTCTAACCATGTTGAATCATTTTATTATTTCTCTCATGCATTTTACTGTACTTTGGCTATTACTCATTGGATTTACAAGGGTGCAAGGATTGTGCAAGGTAAGGCTAAGTACCTTTGTCTTTATTTTCATTGTCTGGTGGTGTATTCAGACATAAGAAGAGGGAACTTCCATTTTTAAGGCATTTTCAAAGGTTTTTACAATCTTGCTGTGCATTCTTGAAAGTACTTGAAAATGATTTCAGGACTCATTGAGAGCTCCTTTTAACTCCTTGATAATGGTAAACTCAACTCATGGATAACTCAAACTGAGCTATCATAGTTCAGAAGTGAAGTTGGATCACTGTCTATATCATAAAAATGAAAGAAAAAAAAAAGAAAATCACACCAAAATATATGAAAGTAAGTAGAAAAAAGTCAGGAATTCAGAAATTTTAAAGTTTAAAATGATTAGAAAACCGGCTTCAGATATTATTAAAACTTGGATTTCCCCTTCTGCAACCAAATGATAATTTTTTTTGTGCTATAAAACTTACAAAATGGGTTATATTCTCGGATTTTAAACAGAAATTAAATTCTGTGAAAATCGCTCTTGACTGGGAATGAAAACAATGGAATAAAATAAACTAAGGGCCTATATTTACAAAGATTTTTTGTTTACAAATTAAAAACAACAAAAATTAGAACAAAAAAGTAACATAAAAGCAATTTGGACAATCATAAAAATTACTGACGATCAAAAAGTTGATACCTACATGTATGAATCATAACTTCAAAAATTTCTTTGAAACAAAGTATATTACGAAAATATGAACTTCTCTCCAACAGGAGGATAGATTAGGCCCAATACCTCATCCTCACTTTCTTGGGCACCCATTTGACAAATGGCTATTTTGTTCAGCTCAATACCTTCAGCCCACAAAAACTCATTTGTTTGGTCCTTATCTTGAGAGGCTTTTTTCTTGTACTCCCCCACATCTCCTCCATAATGATTGAAACACTTTATCAACTCTCTGGCATCGCACTGTCCATCTGCCCAACAATTGTCTTTTGCCTCATTGTCTTTTGCCTTAGTGTCTTTTCTCCAATTTCCTTCAATCCCACCTTCGTCTTGTTCTTGTACGGCGTACTTCATGTTCGCTATTGTTGCATGTAACGTCAATTGGCGGGTTTCAGTGATGAGCCCAGCATTTCGGAACTCTCTGCAGATAGCCTGACTAAATTTAAGCAAAGGAAATGATGTCGACGGGAAAGATGTTGGTTTTGCAAAAAACACACGACTCTTCTGGGGAGATGGGAAGGTTGAAAGGCCCGTAAGTGAAATACGGAGAGGATTGCTTTTACTGAAAGGAGTGGGGTGGTTTTCTTCGACTGCAACTTTTGAAGGGGATGCAGGTGGTTGGAGAGACAATTGCTCCTTGTTGATATCATCATCTGAGCATAAATACTGCTCAGCCTGAGTATCAGCATTGCTATTTTGGTTCGTTACGACCTCAGGTTGGATTTTTTCTTGTTGGGAAAGCACACTTTGTAAAATGTTCGCATAGTCCAGACTCTGCAGAAGTTCCAACGCCTTACTCATACTCTCCGTGGATGACAGGTCCATTACACCCAATGTCAAGTGAAAGGTACCTGCTGGCCTAAAAGCAATGGCTGGTAGAATCTGAAGATCTGGATTTGGAACTTGGCGAGGTTGTGGAAAGTCAATGTCAGGGTTTAGGCTAATATTATCTATATTTATTGTTTCAGGAACATCATCTGCTTTCAGGGATGTGCTTACACTTGGTTTTGTGGCTATTTGGCGAAAATATTTCAGTGATGCTGCCAGTTGTGGAACTGATGTGTCCGTCACAAGAGGGAAACAAAGGAAATGGGTCGATGTTTTCATCGGAGGTTTATTATACCTTCTTCGTCCTTTGAAAAAAGATTGAGCTTTTTGAGAATCAAAACAAGATTTTGAGTTCCAGTCATTCTTTGGGTGTTTAGTTGAAAAAAGGGCCATAACTTTGGATGATATCTGATGAAGCTGTACTGGTTTGGCGCAGAAATGACATACAAATAGTACTGTTGAAGTAAAAGGTTGATATAAATGCCAAATTTGTCCTCTCAGCTTTAAGCAGAATGGATACAAACCGCTTTACATTGACAAAATTGGACAATTCAAAGTGATCAGTGTTCTTGCATTTTAGAGGGATATTAGATCATTAAACTTTTTGGAATATGCACATAAAACGGTCAAAATAGCATTCTACAGAGATGTAACCTAGTCTGCAATAGGCCCATGATCCTTACCACTAGAAAGTAGTAATTGTAACTGATAATCAAGTATTCGTACAATTAATGAAAATTGTAAGTTTCCTTCATCTTTTAAGAGAATGTTCACAATTATTCCTATAATACTTTTCTTTATCAAGAGAGTGTGAGTGCAGAGAAATTTTGAATTAGAATTCCCTAAAAAATCTAGGAAATAAAGCAACTTAAATTCAGTATAACTAGGAATTTAGATCTTGTTAGAATGAAAAGGAGCCGAACAGTGCAAGAAAAATTGAGCACACTTTGGAAAAAAATAAAACTCCCTCACAATAGCTTTGATGAAAAGGAAATTTTCAAGGATGGTGGGGGGAGGGGCGCTTAACAAGTAAAAAACACTCAGGGGGAAAAATCAAGAACATTATCTGTACAAAGAAAAAGTTTTTTGCCTTAAAATTATTCAGACTAGTCCCTACTTACGGATGATGACAAACAAGGAGTCAATATGATTTTTAGCGCAGATATTTGAGACAAAAACATGGCTTCAGATTGAAGATCTTGCTTTTTCTGATGACTTTAATCTTGTTTTGATGGTTTAGTGCCAGTGTCAGAGTATGCCTTATAAATGAATGCCCCTAGAGTCACATGCAGTACGATGACAGCAAGGGCTGCAGAGTAAACGTTGCTACTTATTGAGTCGGATCCTGAAATGAACAAAAATTATTATTTCAGCATGATAAGCATTTTTTCTTTCTCTACAAATGAGCACTTGGATGAATACATCAACTTACATTAAGTAGTACTGTTACCACCTACAAGCATAAGACCGTTATTTTTGATCTCCTGTTGCTGACATTTCTCCTTTTTTTTCTATTTTGTTTTTGTCAAAAAAAAAAAAATAGAAGGTATGCGGAGCCTTCCACAATCTTTTGCTGAAAGATCCTACAAACTGCCACATTGAAGAGAGTTAGATGGTCCACTTAACATCACATTTGAGCAAAATTATCAAATGATAATTTTTGACTTTGCTAGACAAGGGCGAGAAATTTTTAGACATGAAAGCAAATACATTTACTTAAAATACTACAGCAACCTCCATGGAAGATCAACATGACTTGAGCACTTATCCTTACAAAGAGAAGTGAGGGACAGAAAGAATGAGATTTCTCTGAAAACAACCCTCTTTATAGTGTATTCTCTGAAAGAAATACACTGTTGCATATTCATTTGATGTCACACCTGGGCCAAGGATGATGTGGTAACATTGATCATGGATGGTGGATTACGAACATGCATAAATGCTGTTATAAATTTGATAATTGAGGGGCTTGGAGGACAAGGTGCATATAAGTGCAGTTTTTGCTATTTTAGGGAATACTCGTACCTAAGAACATGTTTAAAGTTTCAAAATTACATGGAGCCTTTGGTGGAAAGGAAGTTTCAACTCACATTTTGATGCTTTAAAGTTGGATTTTAGTTGTGAATTTTTCACAGAATATACTTTCAAACTAGTTTTAGTTGAGTTCAAGAATATCTCAATTTTTTGAAAAATTGCACTTCATGCGCTTTGTCCTCCAGTCCCCTTAATTAATGTACGCATTTTCGAAAATTTTCTTTTCGTTTTTGCTGAGTTATACCACCCCTGTATTAGAGGTTTTCTGCATAAAATTTTTAGCAATGTAAAGTAGAGAAACAGGCTGATTATTTTGCAAAGAAAACTCAGAGATACATGTAAAAGTATTAGATTTCATATGGTGTGGACAGGCAGTGAGGAGAGAATCAATTTTATGATCTTAATAGTTTGTATACATTTAATGACTTCCTTTCAATATTTTTTCAGGAGCAACATCTCAGGCATCTCTTGGCTCAAGAATGAACCAGTATGCAATTAAAGCAAAATAATTTCAGCCATTCCAAAATGGCGAGCTTCAAAAGTTTAGTGCAGGGGATGCACGATGCAAGGCATGAGGGGAGTAGGGCAGAAAAGTTTATGGACGAACTGTTAGTTGCATAGTGGATCAGAGGCATAAACATTTTGTATAAATGCTTTGTTGCACAATGGGTGCTGGAAGAAGGTTTATGAACCGTTGTCAGATCAAAAATTTCTCGGACGAACTGTTTTTTAACATTGATATATTTCAATTTTTTTTTTTCATGACTGTGCTACACCAAAAAAGCTACTGAGTTTATACCCTTCTTCAAAGTAAACTTTTCCCACCATGGATGCAAATCGTACAGATCATTTAAAAAGAGCCAAAACAAGTAAACCCACAAATTCAATCTAAAATTGAGCGCGGAGCCTGTGTCCTAGGAGGACGCTCAATGGTACGATGGTACACAGCACTGCTTTATTTTTTCAGGTTATTCGAAAGGTGATTTGACGAAAAACTTAATTTCTGCAATTGATAAAGAGGCATATGAGAAACAAGGAATACTTACCACTGAAAACAATAAACTTTGCGCTGAAAAATGAGAGGACTGGAAAGACAATTATAACGAAGCAGTAATAGAAGATAGTCCTGAAGATTACAAAATCTGGAGTCTCCTAGGAAAGAAAAAAAGAAATATTAGGGTCACCAACTTTAAACTTGACAGAACTGAAACAGTTAGACAGTAACCATTAAATGGATTTTATCTTTCCTAAAAAAATGGGAGGGCTGAAAACTTTCTGAATTCCTGAATAAACCTGTTATGCGCAATTTGACCAATTCTCTGAGAACTGCGAGAAAATTGTACATAATATCCCTTGTAACATTGATTCTTAAATTTTCGGTTCATTAGAATGAAAACAAAGTTGTTGAAATGTATGTGCTAGGAAACCCTTCTTGACTTGACAAAAATAGATGAAAGCCATGCATAGATGCGTGAAATTGTTTGATGCAAACTTTTTATCAATTTTGACATGAGCACTATCTTCAGGGTAATAAATTACAAAACCAAAGCATATTAACAAAACACATTAATAAATATTAAATAGCAAACATTTTTTACATAGTTTGGTTGAGAGAGAGAAAGGTGAGATGTGAGTAGGAAATGACAACTGGAGTGAAAAACAGAAACTGGTAAGTAGTTGAATCAACAAGTGGGAATTTCAAAAAGATAACAGAGGTATAACGAGGTAGATAAGAACACGAAACATTAAGTGGCCGCGTTAAACAGAAAGGAAGCGCGCCACATTGGCTATTGCCAAATTATATTGGGCAATTTAATTTTTTACATGAAAACGGTTGTGCGGATTTTTAAGCAAATATGTGTGAACTTTTTGCATTGTACGAAGCGAATTCCTTAAAATTTTCAAAGGAATCTGCACAACCGTTTTCACGTAAAAAATCAAATTGCCCAGTTAATTTTGGCAATGGCTGTTGGGGCTTGGTTCTTTTCTGCTAAACGCAGTTGAAGTAGTTGCCAAATCACAAAGCAAATCAATAACTGGTGTGGCTGTTGTAATCAGATCTGTAAGTGTGTTATTAACATTTTCATGGTTTCGAAAGCCTTTAAAAAGTTTGTGGTAAACTATTACATGCATCTCCGCTATTCTTGATGAGTTAAATTTAATAAATACAATAATGCTGAGTTACAGGAAATCCTTTTTTTTCATTTTTAAGAAATCTTTATGTTTAAAAACAAATCATGAACAAAAAATTGACATCAAATTGTGTTAAATTCTAACTATGAAGAAAACGAATTAAAAATTGTACATTTATTAAAAATTTTGGTTAAAATTTACGAAAAAAAAGATACCTAGAAAATTTGTAAAAAATCAAGATGGCATTTTACTTAGAAAGATAAATAAAAAGGGTTTCGTTGTTCTTTGTTCGCTTTGTCACTTTTGTTCGCACGCACAGCAAACTACAGACCCTGAACTCAGATGTATGGCAGATGGTGCTGAGACAATCAGCGACAATTCAGTATTGAAATTTGGATACATTGAAAGACCTACTTAACACAATTCACCTACGCAAGTGAAAGATCTGTTGTAGAGGCAATTATGGAAAAACAGATTTAGGTAAAACTCAAAATTCTGAATGCTAACTAGGTAAAATGCTCATGATTTTTCTTAGTTTGTGAGCAAAACACCATAATAATCAGCTGACTAGGGAGGTACAAAGACACTGAATCACGTAGGCAGTGCATCCTGTGTTACGGAAGGCGAGACAACTTTTAAAAATTCGCATGCCGAAGAGTGTTGGCACCGATCCGCATCGATGAGTTCGTGTGTCCCAATTACACACATCTGCGCATGCGCAGAGCGGCTCCAGTGAATTTTGGTCGTATTGAGAGGCTTTTTTTCTCGGTTAATAATTAGTTCGGAAAAATGAAACATTGCTATTCGGTGGTAAAATTATATGATCTAAGACTTTTCTTCTTAGGAATTTTGTCTGAAAATGGACTCTAAATGAGATATTCATAAAAAACTAGGCGCGCGGATAAATTCTCCATTGCCTCTCTGCAGTCTCTTCGAGTGCTTGGGATACACGCTCTCTCCCCTTCCCCGCCCGCCCAACATGGGGCTCCGAGAGACTTGTCTCGCTCCGCCTGAACTAAATCAAGCCTGACGCACGGTCCACGAGATTCAATGTCTTTAGGGAGCTATGAGTGGGTGTAAATACAAACAATCAAGGCAAGCAAAATGACCATTCAAACACTGGCAGATTTCACTTAGTCAGTTTAATTTGATTGAGATGGCTGAAAAGTTGAGTGCATTATGAAATATGAAAAAGGCAGAAGTCTGAAATATCACTTAATTATATTAAAAAATAACTGAGGTGCAATACCTTTTGAATGAGGACGGTTTGTTCCATTGTGAGTTGCAGCTATCGGGATGATCCTGCGGCAATTGGTGTCTGGTTCTTGAACTAAATTACAACGTTAAGTGTGGATAACACTTAGTTTAGGGAGTGTTTTGGAAATTGAAAAGGAATGATGAAATACCTGGACATTCAACGAGAAGCCGCGAAAACCACTGGTAGCAAATCGACTTGCACTGTGCTGTCTGAGATAACTATTCAAAGTAAACAATCGACAATAATTCGACAATCGACACTTTCAGTTTCAGAAGTTTCAGACGATAATCAACATAACATAACCTCAATCTAGGGTAAAGTCTGTGCCGCTCTCTGATTGGTTCATCAGTAGGCTCGTGAGGAGCAATGAGCAAACAATACAGACACAGTGCGGTCGGCGGGAAACGCATAGCGCCTACAAGACTACTTGAATACTTCACGCATTGCGTCAAATACAGTGCGTTCAGCAACGGTCGGCGGGAAACGCATAGCGCCTACAAGACTGCATGAATACTTCACGCATTGTGCCAAACACAGTGCGGTCAGCACGGCGATGCGGCGGTGGAAGTTAAAATGATTAAACCTATATGGTTGTTCTTTCATAATTTTTTCGTTCATTTCTTATCTATGGTAGGCCTTGTCCATGCAGAGATAGGTTCACGGAACTGAATTTTCGCGCAAAGTTTCGTGACCTTTTGTTAGTAGTGCTAACAGGGCTTTCGCAAAAAATGTGTCCAACATGAGTAAACGCGTCTTATGCACCCTTCCCCCTCCGACACGTTCACTTGATGGTTTTTATGAATGTTTCAAAACGAATGAAATGAAGGCGGCAAGATGCAGGCGGCTCATGGGCGGTAAATACTTACGTAAATCCAGCCCTGCGTGTACTTAGCGTTATAAAACAGATGTACTAGCCGTGATTAGCTCGATAGGTAAGCTGCCACGCCTAGCCAGGGTATGCCTCTGCCCCTAGACCCCCAGTTCCTCGCTTCGGGATGAACTTGCGACTCGCTCCGCGAGCTGCCCCTCATAGCTATCGACGTTCAAAATATGAAAATGAGAAGACATCTTCGTCACTTTGGCGTCTCACTCTGTTTGTAAAGTGTTGATGAAATCTTGGTACGGTAGCTTTATTTTAATATAGTCAGTTTGAATGCGTAAAACAAGTTTTCATATTGCAATCCAAGTCTAGATCCTTGGGTTGGCATAGACGTAGCATGCCTGTAGCAGTTTCTACGAGAAACGTCAAGATTTTTACAAATTCGGACACCATATTGCTGACCTGAGAAATTTTTTTAGGAACGAGACTGCTTGCGCCCTTTGCCTCTTGGTAAGTTCCAAAATTGACTAAGATAAAAAAGGAAAAAAAAATACGATCTCAACAAGAATCAGAGGCTCTAAATCGCCTTCAAATTAGGAGGATACGACAGATCATACATTCGTGCGAGCAGCTCATTAATAATAACTGTATGTGTTACTTTACGCCTAGTCGCCTACGCGTATTGATGCCAACGATTAGTGTGATAATAGTGGGTAAACCTTGATATTTTTTTTTTTTTTTTTTTTTTTTTTTTTTTTTTTTTTTTTTTTTTTTTAATCGATGGAAGGAAAAAATGAAATAGAGAAAAATAAAAAATGCATTTATAAAGTTAAGTCAAGTTTTACAACCAGATAAAAATGGTAAACTTTCCTCGGTCAAGGGCTAAGAATCAAATGCTTAATTAACTGAAGGTACTTAAAGAAATATTAATGGAAGAGAAAATAAAAAATAGGTACATGATGGAATAAATAAAATTATGATGCTACTTTATTTTTGGTTTCAGGTACTTAAAATATTATAAAAAAACTTATCATTAACTGTTTTATATACAAATATATATAAATGGATTTTGAATGGAATTAATGAACAAATAAATGGTACATTGCAACACAGTACACATAGAGTCAATCCATGGTTTAATTCTTAGGCAAATACATAGTATTTTAATCAGTCTCATTGTATCTTTTTTTCAGAGTGCGATATTTTCTCAACATATACAGAGCCTCAATTTCTTTTTGCACATACTTTCCTCTGTTTATCATTTCCTCAATTTTCTCTGATGATGTTTCCTCCCGATTGTTCATAAAAGCCCTTTTCAGCCTTGCTCGAAAAAAATCATATCCTTGTGGATAATCTCTGCCCAATGCCAGGAGCTGTAAAAATTGATAGAAAATTAATTGAGAAAACAACTAAAATTTAGTTACCTACTGAATAAAACTTAAAATTAATGACATACTTAATTTTTGGAAAGTAGAACAAACAACAAATGACACATCATAGTGATGCTCTAAGAGATGAAAACATAATGATACACTATCTACAATTTACTTTATGGTCCCGAACTCTGAAATATGAAGTGAGTTGCAGACAGTGTAATCATGTCATCAGACAAAGTGATTAAAAACCAAAACATAAAGATAATTAGGTATCTTCAATTGTAAGAATCTATAAACCATTTACTTTTTACCAACATTTTTTTCTTTTACATCAACTGATGGGGGGGGGGGTTATTCACCCCATCAACTTCACTAAATAACCATATCATCTGCAAGTTTCTTCTATTTTCAATTAATAAAAGTGCATTGAAACATGCTCCTTAATCGAGAATTTCAGTCAATAGTTTCAGCAATGCTTCCACTTTCAGTGAAAAAAAATACTTAATGTTGAAGAAGAGTGAATGAGTAAACTTAAATAACGCAAATCTAATACTGTACGGCTGACTGAACTGTATTCTTTAGAATCAAAAGTAATCACTAAAGAATGTAGAATCATGTAATGAAAGGGCTGAATTTTTGTGATTCAAAGGGTTTCAAAATGGTTGATCGCTCTTTCCTTTATTTCTAATCTTTCTGACAAAAAAATTGAGATCTGAAAGCAGACTTACAGTTTTATACAGTTCTATGACTCGTTTCTTCTGAGACATTGCGTTCAGCAGCTTCAAAGATGTTCCTGGAAAAGGACATCAAGTAGTAAGTAGAGGCAAGAGAAACATTTGACAATATGAGCACATGTAAGCTGATAGCAGATAATAACTACAATTAGTAGAGATTTAATTTCTAGACAGTATTAATGAATTGGTTGAAGGTCAAACAAATCAATGATGAAATAATGGGTGATGTTATGCTGGAAGGATTGCATCAGGTGCATCTGTTTGATAATAAATTTTTATTGAGTGCTGCACTGGTAGGTAAGTACATTTACTTACTTATGCAGCTTATTTTGCAATAACTTCCTGATTTTTAGTACCTTAAAATTTTTCCTTCTGCAGTAGAAAAATTGATCAGAGGATCAACCTGAAATTTTGCTTGATGCAGGATGATTCTTTTGTTTTCGGGATAAGTACGCCTTTTGATTGAAGAATTTCATGACTAACAGAGATGAGCTGTTTAAGACAAGTATAAAAAGTTCCTGCTTGGTCCCACTGAATACTTTTTAATTTTCACTTTCAGAATGAATCAGTGGTACTTAACCATTTTCTTTTTCTGTTTTTGAAATTCATTATTCAGCAGCTAGCACACTTACAGTCCCTGACTGTACAATTCACAGTGTGCGCATGAGCAGAGAATGTACAGTTGGCAGTGGGACTGTCCATTTAGCCCACGAATGTCATTGATTGTACAGTTAGACTGTACGTACGCTAGCTGCTTTTGGAAGTACAGGGTGAACTAAGCTTCCACAACTTTTGTCAGATTTTTTAAAACACTGATGTCAAAGAAACTAAATTTTGAAAATGGCAAGAATGGGACCCATTTGAAACGATACTTTCGGGGGCGGAGGAAATGAAGCTTGCAGATTAACTCCTTCTAGACGCTGACGTTGGCATCAAACTGAAGCGTCAGTCTGCATGGGGGTATTGATGCCGGTATTAACAGTTGCACCTCAAAAGACAGCAGGCTGATGACAACTCCAAATCAACTCTCATCAAAAAGCAAGGCTTTCCCACATTTTTAATTATTTTTCATAATTTTTAACATTAAACGTCTGCTCTGATACCCCCAGACCCTGCAAAAATTCCTTGCTACTGCTCAATTGGGCTGTTATTGTGATGCGAGTAAGATATTACTGAGATGCAATTTAAAACTTTAATGGGGCAGATATGAGTGGAGATAGAGCTTCTGCTACAGGTCAGTTCATGCCAAATAAATTAGCTACCTTGTGAAATAATAGTAAAAGATTCGCAATATAAGTTATTTCAATTAGTTTGTATGACATGGTGAAACTGGCCCCAGCAAACTCTAATATCCGCCAACTAATTTGACAGAAACTCTTGTGGAATATACATATGTGTGAACGAATTATAGCAGGTTCCAGTGTTGAAGCCGTTATGGCACAGGAGGGTCCATGATCAGAAGCTCAGAGTTTCATTCCCAGGCAAGGAACCCAAGTTTGCAGGGTCGTTTGGGGCTTGTTGCCGTAGGGAGTGAGATCCACGTTCTGACTTGCCTCTGATGGCTACTTACAATATCAAAAAAATTACCTCTTTGACCTTTCACTTGGCGTAGGAATAGATAGAAGGATAATAAAACAAACTGCAAGTGTAGGCTTAGAGAAAGCGAGTATAAAGGAAATCAGCGGGAGGAAGAGAGGCAGTTACATTTTAAAATGAAACTTCCTTGAGTGGGGACGGAGTCTTCATAAAAATAATTTTGGACAAACAAGTACTAACAAACTGGTGATGTAAGTTAAAGTGACCTTGGTTCGGGGTAAAAAGCTGAGGCAAGGAAATTAGAACTGCTGGCATGGATCTCTAAACGTTATCCATGGCAACTGGAGAAAATAATCAGGGACGATCAACTGATATTGAGGAGTCCAAGGGTTGTAACTCAAACATGTGAATCTTGGTGAGAGGGCAGGATGAGGATGAGACTAATCATACTTGATATATTTATGCGCCAGAAGAGATCTATATAATAAATTTTCTGATAAATGCAAAATTTTGGGTACTTACGTTAGAGGAAAATCATCTTTCACGATTGTTTGTTTACTTGTTGTAAATTACAAGCTGGCTAAAATTGAACAAAATTGATAATTCAGGAATTTTGATAACGAGAGAAAATAAATACTGATAAAAGAATAACAGGTGATGACGTCATAAAAAATACTAGCCGGTGTTGCCAAGGTGGACTAAAAAAGGGTGTGAGTCAGACTGTCAGATACTCAGAATATGTTGTTACATGTAGGATGTAGGACAAAAAAATATCGGAAAGGCACAAGTTGCTCATCTGTCTTGAAGCAAAAGAGATTTTGCAATCAATCTGTAACTTTCCTTGCAAAAATTCCTCAATCATTTTATCAATTAATGACGCATGAAAGCGATTTGACAATGTTCATAAATTACAAAATACGAGTACCAACATGCGCGCAACATTTTCTAGGAAAATTAAAATTCGAACATTTTTTCAATTCGATTGAGTCTTGAGTTGCAATTCGGATGTGTTTTCTCTGCTTTGAATTTATGTTAAAACTCTAAGTTTTTTTGAGTACAAAGAAGATACGTATAGCTCATTTTAGGTAGATTCTGTATGTGTGTAAATTATTTTCCTTCACATATTTGATTGGTAAACTTGAAATAGCCGCCATTTGTACTTTTTAGAAATGTTGCTTTCTGATTGGTCAATTTTCAAATGCTCAATGTTGTCATTCGTAGAACTTCCAGACTCGACTGTTGGTGACATTAACATTTCATTTTGCCCTAAACAAAAATTGTTCCGTTTCTAAATAAGTTCCTGTGGTTTACAAAGCTGTTTCTATCATGAGTTCTGTGAGTATTTTAAAAAATGTATTACTTTCCCACTGAAAGCTCTCATTTTTCACGTAATCGCTCTGTACAAGTAGGCTCCAAGGGGGCCCCTAGAGTCAATAAGTTCATTGTTACGAACGCAGATCAACGAATTATTAGTATATTTACTGTTTTTTCGTCTTCGTTGCTTGTAACTTAAGCTTATGATCAAATTGACTCTTCAAGGTTTACCTCTGCCTCAAATCTTGCTCTCAACAGCCATTTTGTTATTACTCCTAGCTGTCAGCTGAGAGGTTGAAAACAGGAATCCAATATCTATACTGATTCTTAGCCATATCTACTGGAATAATTGGCTGCTTTAAAAGCTGCTGATATGATTCCTCATAGTTACACGCACTCAGGGTTCACAACAAAGTTGTCAAATTCACTGAGCGCCCTAGGCCTATTCATCGCCTTCAGTGCTTTGAGGTTAGGCCACCATTCTGAAAGGGTTCAAGTCATAGAGTACATAGAGTTGTAATGTAAATGGGAGAGCTGGTGCCATGTTCTGCTCGACGAATTCCGAGCCTGGCATGCACCGAGTTCGGGTCGCTTTTTCGATACATTTCCGATCCAAAATGGCGGTGTGGAATACGTGGCAATTCCTATCTCCTTTGTTGTTGTCATTGGATGGCCAGGTACCCGTGTATCGCAAACAATCGATTATGTATCGAAAAAGTGACCTGGCGTCACACAGGAGTCTCGGAATTCGGGACATGGAAAATGCCTAAAAGTGGCGCCAGCTCTCCCACTTACATTACGACTCTATGTACTCTATGGTTCAAGTCAACTGTTCTGCAAAGAATCAGTCCTCCACTGTAGTTTGATGCAGGTGATATCATCAAAACAAATAATATCTGCAACCTCATAACGTTCAGTCTGGAGAGTCGTAACCTTAGTTTTGCGTCTTAACAAACTGAGCCTGTAGCGACCAGCGGCTAGCGAAGCTGAAAATTGACCGACAATTTCACTTTCAATCAGCACAGTTGTACGTATTTATGGGAAATCAAACTATGTGGAAGTGGGAAGATGGGGTGTGCTCGCTAGTGCTTGGGCCCTAAGAATGAATGGAACTTTATAAGTGCCAGTGACGTCAGCGGTGAGGACGGACTATGAGGAGGTGCGACACGAGTGACGACAACCAGGTCATCAGTCTGTAACTCATGAGCCCTGTCCACAAGACTCTTGTGCGGCTGCCCACGGCTCACAAGTTGGCGCCCAGTTCCTTTTGATTTAATGTCAAATCCTGCATTTCCATTTTCTCAAAAGGAACTACATCCACTGACCACATTGTTTCTTATCCAGCTTCCAAGGGTACACCCCATCTTTCCACTTCTACATAGTTTCTTTCAGCATAAATACGTCCAGTTATAGAATGTTCAGTCCATTTTACCAGCTCTTTTATGAGTAGCCTATTAGACTCTAACCAGCTTTTAAGGCTCCTCTACTCAATCGTATAGTCATTTTGAAGGGGTTAGTCTATTAAATTAATCTCCTAATGAGGCTTAACATACTCTCATGCTTGTTAGCTTTTTAATAAAAATCCAATCTAGATTTAAATTTTGTTTCTGTGCGGGAAGTCTCTGGACTTCAAGGTAAATACTGCCCATTTTTCAAGTGAGAATCAATTTTGTAGGCATTATTACCATTTATCTAGGATATCTGGAGTACCTACTTGAGTCATTACACAGAGTTAGCCATCTCTTTAATGAAAGTACAAAATACTGACATTTTTTTCCCAAGATTTGTCCTATGAATTTCGTCAAGGCCTTGAGTCAGGCTTTATTGTAGCTCATTAGCCTTTCATATCACCACTAACAACCATCATTTAGAAAGGTTATATTCTTGTTGGATTTCTAGTGTTTCGGAAAGCTAAGGAATATGTGGCGACCTAGAAAAGTCTGGGAATTTTGCTCATCAGCACAGCAACTTTAGCTGTTGGCATTAGAGATAGCATGAACAACTTCCATGTGCCTTTTTCCTTGGTTTGAATTTCTAGAAGCAGAAATTTTGTCCTACAGCAAAATTTTTTGTGCCTAATTAAATGAGGAAAAAAAAATCTAGACGAACGATTTTCTCAACAAAGGTCAGAAAAAGTCTGAGAATTTGGACATTTTAGAGTTGGGTGAAGAAAAAAAATCAGGGAATAGGAAAATCATAAAAGCTCCATGAACCTTTATTATTCCTTTCGTATATTATTCAATTTGACTTTTTATTTCTTTTGCAGAATGTTGAAAATCTATCCCCTCAAATAATTCGACAGATAGCAAAAGAAATGCATGATCTGGCCCATGATCCCCCGGAAGGTATAAAAGTGACCCTAAATGAACAAGATGTCACTGATATTCAAGCTTGTATCGAAGGTCCAGGTAAATATTTTCCTATTTTTAATCATACAGAAATTTGTTTAACAGGGGTATGCATTCAATCACATTTTTTCATCAATTAACCTGCTTATAAATGAGGTGAAACCCAGATTACGTCTGTTTGTTGGGACCAGACTCACATTGGATGTGATAAAAAAAATCATGGTTAAAGCAAGGTCCCAAAACTTAAAGAGCTACTCTTATATCAATAAGCACAATTATGGAACGCTCTAAAATAACTGCACCCATTCATGTATTCAATACCTATTATTCATTTCCTGCTCATTTCTGGAAAGATAACTTCTCTCTGCGTTGAAAGCAGTACTTATATTATTGCGGTAGAACATTGTAAGAGTATCAGTCGGAAGCGAAAGACAGAATAAGACATCTTGATCATTACGTGCATTCTTGCCAAGACAATTCAGAAAGTGTCAAAGTTTGCATGCTACTAGTAAGCATGGTCACTTCAATCAAGACTGGAATCACTAAAATGGTCACTTTCCCCTTCTAAATGAAGAATACAATTATGGGAGCCCTGTAATCGTAAGTTGAAAACTCTCTCCTCCATTTAAATCCTTTGAAATGAATCGACTCATTGTAAGACAGCCTGCCTCAATTTATATCTATATTGGTTGCTTTTGATGAACATTTTTGTTAATCTACAAAACCTAAGGTTGCCATCCTCCAAGAATTTCCACTGGAAATCAGAGGCTTTAAACAGAATTCAGGCACCTCAAAATTCATGCACTAATTCACTGTTGCCTCCCCCTACTTGCAGGAAGAACTGACCTATTGGCAATCAGATGGGAATCCTGTAGGGTAAAGAACTGCAGGTTCTAAAGGGTGGGGGAGCCCATGTCTAAGGCCATCCAGCATGCATTGCTCCCCTCCCATCTGGCAATCCTGATTGGTTTATCTTGATCCAGCAGGCTGATTGTTGAAATTGATAGACAAAGTAATAGGCAAAGTAGACATAGGGAGTATAAAGCGATCCTGTTAGTTGAAATGAGTGTTTCCTTTAGACTGAGGGGCAAATGATGAACTAACCTTAGGGGCTCTTGTGGGTTGCTGTTAATTAGTCTATAACGCACCTCCTTTGTCTATTGCAACCACATGCTTCCACCAATAGGATTTCTTTTGTCTTTTCTGGTCTATAGCTTTTTCTATCAATTTTAATAATTGGCCTGCTGGTGGGCGTAAGTACAGTGGTTATTGTAATAGCGTTTTATTCTTGCTGATGAAGCAAAAGAAAAGAGGAAAATGAAATATTTCATGCCCTATCTTACAACTTTATAATTTAAGTTGAATGTTGTCATCAAGAAATGCGCTTTCATTGTGACTGACATGGTCAGAACTGAGTATAATTGAATCTGTACAAAATTTTAATAATTTTATCCATTAATCTTCATTTCGAATTTCAGCGGATACCCCATATGCTGGTGGAGTTTTTAGAGTCAAATTATCTCTAGGCAAAGATTTTCCTCAGGCTCCTCCCAAGGCTTTCTTTCTCACAAAAATTTTTCATCCAAACGTTGCAATTAATGGAGAAATTTGTGTCAACACTTTGAAACGAGATTGGAAACCTGACCTTGGAATCAAACACATTCTTTTGGTAAGTTTGTAGCTCCTTTTCAGAATTGTATGGGTTAAGGCAAGTCTCTTCCGTTTTGCATCTATACACAGTTCGAAAAGTAGGGAAATATGTCTGGTATTTTAATGCAGAATGGTTCATGCTTACAACTGTTGGCCAATTCTGAAGATTCTAATTTTTTTCAGAGGGTTTAGGGAGGGAGAGAGATAGAAAAGATGAAAAGTGAAGTTCGAATAGAAAAATCATTAGCAGTAGCAGCTGATTAATTATTCATTAGGAGCCTTTAACTTCTTTACAACCACATTTTCTCTTGGTAATATTTCATTTTAGCAACATCAATTTCGTAGAGAAGTCTTGATCTATGTTCAAAACCCAAAGGCGCCTAACACGCCTAAGAAATTGATCATGGCGCCTAAAAAATGAAGGCTCTGCGCCAACGTGGCCCCCAATAAAAGTCCCCCCCCCTCAAAAAATCCTAATTTTTCTATTTGGTGGTATTTTGAAATTTCGACGCATGGTACTGTATTCTGAATTTTCACTAAATGCGCCTGATACGTAGGCAAAAAGTCAATTCGGCCCCTAACAAATCTTCAATGGCCCCTAAAAATCGAGCTTGATGCCTGAAACTTGAAGGTGAGTTTCGAACACCAGTCTTGGTACTTGACCCAACAACAAAATCGAGTCCCTCTTCTGAGTTTTTGTCATGTTTCCAATCTAACCATGTATCTTTATCTCTGACCCATTTTTTTTTTCAAATTTAATTTTGGTGTTTCGTTTTTCAGACTGTCAAATGTCTATTAATTGTTCCAAACGCAGAGAGTGCACTAAATGAGGAGGCAGGCAAATTACTTTTAGAACACTATGAAGACTACTCTCAAAGAGCCAAAATGATGACGGAAATACATGCATTGGTAAGGAGCACTTCCTCTCTGATTTCAATACCAGTATGTCATGAAACGTTCCTGAAACCTATCAAGTGGAGTCAACCGTCCATAGCAAAAATGGCATTAATACATTAAAAAAATTTCAATTTTCTTCCTGACAAAATATTCCATTTTATTTTTTCACAGTAGCAATCTACTATTTGATCTTTAAATTTTCAAAACGATTATTCCGTCCATTGAGAACTTAAATTGAAGAAAAAAAATGAAGTGAACAGATTATCTTGTATTGAATTACAGGGTGTCTCGCATCAGGATTTTCCTGATTTTCCTGATTCTATCAGGATTTGAGGTCAATCAGGATTTAATCCCGATTTCATCAGCATTTGAGGAAAATTCTGTCGTAAAATCAGGGTTTGAGAAAAGTCGGGCATCCTCTTATTATCCGTTAATTGTCCGTCATTCGTCCATTAATTTTTCTCCGCAAAAAATCAGGATTTGTAAAAATTATGAAATCAGGACTCAGCAGTAAGAAATCAGGATTCCCCAAAAGGAAATAAAACTAGACACCCTTGATTATTTAGTTTGAATAAAATTCTAAGTTTTACAATGGTACTATTATTCATCTTTTGAACGACAGATGTTATCATTCGTGATACAAAGGGCTGCTTTTGCATTATATCATACACTAGGGGGAGGGAAGTCCTGTAAAGGTCTGGTGCGAGGTATCTTTGCTCTGCATCACATATGCCAGATAAAGGGTGTTCCAGAAAATCCCGAACTGATACTGTGATTTCAGAATTAAGATAGCTGTTGATCTGATTTTGGTCTTGTTTTAAAGCTAAAGCCTTGTCCACATGAGCGCGGTTTGCGGAACTTATTCGACAAACTGATCAGTTTGCCAAAACTTGTTCCATAAGATGAGGGATGCTGTCCATACAAGTTCATCTGAACTGGAACTTTTTGTGTTTGATGATGGGAGTTTGGAAGGTTTTGCGAGGAAGCTGTTTTTTACAAAATTAGAAATTCCTTAAAACTGAATATTAATAAAATACTAATTATATAGATTAGCTGCTAATTCTGAAGAGTTGTGTTGGGAATACACATGCATTCATTGACAGAAACATCATTTCAACAGCCAATTCGAAAGATTAAATAAATTTGTATTTAAAGTAATTTGCTTCATTAGTTTCTCCACTTGGGTATTCCCAACTGAAGTGGCTCTTGCATAAATCACCTACATCCATCTTTTCACTTTTGAGTTTTTCTATTTATAATATTCTTCGGGGGCAGATGTAACTACGAAAAAGACTCATTTCAGGATGTAAGTAATCCCAGAACGGATCTTTAAACCTCGTAGATGGTTGTATTTTAACTTGAAAAATATTGACGTTTTATAGACAGTAAATAATCCATAAAGCATAATCGGAAAAATGGGCATTACTTAGCGGTTTTCGCACAAGCCAATTCAATTGATGATGCATAATCTGCACTTGTTACTCTTTATGAATTGTCGTTGACCACTGAGACAAAATTGTGAGCACTTTTAGACTTATTTGTTTTTTATCTATTCTGTTCTTCAAATTTCAGTCCACCAAAGTTCCAAAAATGGGCTTGGAAACATCTACCTCCGACGGACCTCTAGCGAAGAAGCATGCAGGTCTTAAAGTTCCCGCAGATAAGAAAAAAATCCTGAAAGACAAAAAGAGGACTCTTAAACGGTTATGAAATCTTTTCGCCAGTTTTAATTTTTTATTTTAAGTCAAATTTTCTCTTATGAAGTGAAAAAAAAATCAGATTTATGTGTACCCATGCTCATACTTCCTCTACATGAAAGATTACTGACCTATCGTGTGTTTTTATCAGGTTTCCCCCTTTGATATTTCAATATCCACAGTGAAACTGTTTTAGTCATGAATCAAAAAGACTATACCAATATCTGATTCATTATAATTGGGGTTTGACCTTTCACAATTATTAATTTTGTAATGGGCCATTAGATAAGACCTGAACTAGAAAAAATGTCATACGTTTTCTCTTCATGATCTTAAGTAGAAAAAAATTCAAATAATGGGAAGTTGAAAAATCAACCCCTGAACGAAATATTAACAAGTATTTTTAACACAGACCAAATAGGAGGTAGACAATACGAATGACCAAAGCAAGTGAAACGTAGGTATGCCCCAGAACTTGGCTTGCGGCTCCCGCCACTAAATTTGAATTTCAACAACTAGCCTTGGCCAAAAACAAATATGACAGTCTCCTTGAAAAAAAATGAACAAAGAGCCTCCTCACTGAAAAAAGCAAATGAATTTTCATTCTTAAATGCACTTGCACTGAATTTGTTCATTTTTATTATCAGCAGCAGACGGTCACATTTGTTTTCGGGCAAGAGTACAAAGTCATTAAAATTGAAATTGCTACAGTTCTTGGAGCGAGAGCCGAAAGCGAAGTTCTGGCTTCAAAAATCGAGAAGAGCATACCTATGTTTCACTTATATTGACAAATGACATCGTTTGTATTTTGTCCCTTTAATCAATGTTAATTGTAAATATGTAATTAGATTTTGTCTAGGAGTTGATTTCCAGCCTTCGTATTCTTTGATCGATTCTCCTCATGAAATTAAGGAGAGATAACATTGCAGTGTAGTACTTTACCTTAATTCCTACCTTGTCTAGTGGTCCATTATTCACTTTATAAGGGAATTCAGCTCCCCGTGAACGATTCATCCCCACTAATAGTCATAAGATGTATTAGAGCTATTTTCAGCGACAGCCTTAAGTAAAAATTAAGTCTAATGACTCTAAGGTTTTTTCAGAATATTAACTCTTCCCGCTTTAGATTCTTACGACAATATTATTCTGTTGAAAATCGAACATCATCATCGTGAAATTAAAAAAAGTTTACATTTATGAACAAGCTGTTTTTCACGAGTCTTTTGCCCATGATTTCTTTGAAAAGAATTGAGGTTTATTGTTAACGGGTGCGGGATTTGCCTCGATAAAATTTTTCTTTCCATCATGTAAAGCTCATACCATAATCATAACAATCTTGAAATAGAAGCGAATTGTAAATTCATTTTCTAGTCTTGCTATTAAAAAAAAAGGGAAAATAAGAATCATTCAACATCACTCAAATGTCTTATTGTAATAGTTTTTAGATAGTTCAATTACACTAAGTATTTCTTTCTCCAGTGTTTTGAAACAGATGTAAGTTAAGTCAATGCATGAATAGGTTTAGTGTCGAGCTCTTGATGTTTGGGAGCAACAATTTTTCATTCGCTCTAACCCACGTCTTACTGCTCCTAGGGTAAAAAATGTTTAAATTTTTTTCTTAATTTTTGTGCAGCACAGTTTCAAGTTGCAGTTCTTTTGCAAATTATTATTCATCGAAAAATTTTGCTCTTAACAAACTTATCAATTTTCTGATCTATTTTTTTTCATATTGAGCTGTATCATAGCCTGTCGTTCATTTTTAATGAGCTTCATTGTAGATTTCAGAGGAAAAAATAAAATATTGTCTGTCAATGAAGAAGGCTGAAAACTGCCTAGAGTGGCTACTACCTCGGGAGGAATCAATTTGGAGAAAGTTAGATTCAACCATGCACCAACTCATTTGAGTGAATCGTAGTAACTAGGTAATTTTGTAAAAAGTACTTTGAAGGCAAGGCCCGAAATCGCACTAACTATCCTGAAGGAGATGCATTAATTTTCTACTGCATGTTAAAGGCAAAACAGGTTAAATAAGAGACATATATATTATCCTATGCTCCAAATTTACAAATTTTTACTTTTAGTTTGATGACTGATGCAGAGTTTCTGGTATATACCTCACTCCTAAAGGTTCGCTATGTTTTGACCTTCATATATTTGAAACTGCTTTTATATCGTCATTTTAGACAAAGAGCTTTCACACAAATCACAATCCTGGACTCATATTCAGTCATATATCCAAGACTTGTACCATCAACAATATTCTGAACGATGATTTGAACAGAGTTCTCCCAAACTTTTGATCCTCTTCATACAAGCTGCTCTCTGTTACATATGTGCCTGTAAATTCATGTTTATGTTTGCAACAACAACCTTTTTGTCGAAAATTGGAACCCCTGAATTTCAATCAAAGGAATGGCCAAGCTAACTCTTAGCACAAGAGATCTTAAAGACTTTTCATGAATGCTCTATGGTTAGTGTTAGCCTGAAGTTCCCAAATTAGCTATCCACACCTATCTTTCTCTCTTGAATCACTAATAACGCTGAAATTTCCATTTCATCTTTATTAGTTGTTATCCATTGTTGTCAGTTTTAACTCAGGCCAAACTATTCTATGTAACTTTGCTGTGGTGGCGGAATATTTTGATTTACATTTTAATGCTTACATTGGCTCAATTCATGCAGTCAATGTGTGTACCTTGACCTTTGAATGAACAATCAGCCATTCTGAAAATCTTTTAAGCTTTCTTAAAAGATGCGTATTAAAATTCACAACTCAAGTACTATGTGACTATAATTTATTGACTAGGATTCTTTCGTTTTAATATGTTAGCAATTGTGGCAACGACTGGTGTCTGACGGCATTCTAAATTTATGGATGATGTCCAGCATCAGCAACCAACAGGTTAATATCAAATTGTAAGGAGATAATAATTTTTTCCCGCAAGTTTTGATCTCAAAGCTCTCAGGAATCCAGTTCTAGTTTAAAATGTCTTGTAATATCTAGCTCAGTTCCAAAAAAGAGTAGGATCGTGGTATAAGGATTGTGGGGTGCTGGTGCCTAACGGTATGTCTGTCACATGGTCATGCTTCCTGAAAAGATCCAAATGACAGTAATTGACTGCAGACTCAGCTTTACTGAGAGGCTTAACGCAAGATAGTGACTTCTACACAAGTGGCATCGTGCTTTTCAATAAATTCATTGATTTGTCGTTCATCCTAGATAAAAAGATTGAATATCAGGTTGTTTGCGACGAAGACCTTAATAATAGATTTTTACCTTAGGTTGAAATGGAGAAGCATCGATTTTCTATGATTCATGCCTCGCCACTGTTCTGCACCTGTTTTCAAACTTCACTGCATAAATGTATCTTAATCTCTTTTTCTTTAAAGAAACAAATTCAATTTCGTAACAGCTGTCAGTCTTTTCTCTGTTTCAATAAGCACTAAACCAGATTTTGAGCTTGGCTAATCTTCTCATCATCAGTTATGACCAATGATTTGTTCAAGAGTACTTATTCGGTGAAACTTCAGGTCTTCGTTTCTCCAAAGAGTAAGGCCACCTTGTAAAATTACTGCACCACTAAATTTTCAATCCATTAGTTCATAGGTCTTCGAATTTCTCACTATGTTAGCTGCCTCAGATGGAGTTCATGCCAGGAAAAGGGTCATACTGAAACCAAAATGAAAATAGCTGATCTCTATCCGTGCATGGGTTTACACTGTACACATTGTATTATATTTATTACTGTAAAATTTTAACGATATTGTGGAAGGAAGTTGATGTAGTGAAACCAAAAATTTGCGGAAGTTTTCCAGCTTCCTGGGGTCAAATTCATAATCACGTTATGATAAAAAGAAAATTGAAGGATGTCCTTGGCTTTAATCAGTTCTTTACGATTGCTTTCTCTGGGAATCTTATAAACAGTTCAAAATTAATTGTATTATTTATTTGCACGCAGACTTGATTTTTCATGAGTTGCTTGTCGCAACATCTGATGAAAAAGCAAGTCTGCAAGCGAGTATTAACGTTAGTTTTGAAATTTAATGTTCTTGTACTGTTGATGTTGATGCGACGTATTAACATTTTGCGGTCTGTGGTAAACCTTCTTGTGAGGCGGCAGTTGCATTGCTGCCTAAATCCTCTACTGGCACTTTGAGAGGGTAGCAATTTCAGCCTTATTTAAATTTTAAAATCAAATTTATTCTTTTGTTTAAATTTTAGCTTCAATTTCTAATCAATTACTAGAAGAAAGTCCATAGATTAATCTCTTTTAATAATCGTCAGTAGATAAACTGTATTGTGACATTTGTTACAAACTTCCTCTAATTTAAACTGCCTGAACCTGTGAGACCACCCTTTCAGGATATTATATCTAAATATTTGATTCACTTCTAAAGGCTCAATAACTGTTGATTTACGGATCCTCATGATGTCATGTTGGTTGCTTTAGAAAAGTTCTAGAATGCAAATTCTGTTTAAACGCTCAAATAGCAGCCATTTTGTGGGCTCAGTTTGAGTTTTAAAAAGGACGAAAAATTTCTAACCTTGGCTCTTACATTAGTGGGGTTTGAATTACTACCGATCTTATTGGAGACTTTAAGTGATGAATGTTCCTGAGATAATGCTCGATCTTTCTTCAGTCCTGTAGGAATTTTATTATTATTCTTATTTGCCTGCTTATCTAGTAGGACTCTAGAAGAATCTTCTGGTATCAATTCGAGTGAAGCTATTTTGTTGTCCATTATCTTTAAATCAAAAATAACTGTAAGCGTCCTGGCAGTAAATCAAATTTTAAAACACTTACTATAATATTAAAGGCACTTGAGCCTCCTCAATTTTTTTTAACTGAGGATGACTTTGACCCCAATTATAGAATTGTTGTATCCTGTGTCTCTAATTTTTTATTATTATTTTTATTCCCCCTCCTTTTTTGATTGCTTAATTTTTTTATTTTCTTGGATTTAGTCATATTCTGTATATAATAATGTGTCAATAATTGTAATTACTTTATCTTTTAATCTTTATCACTTGAATAATCTTCACTCTTTTTTTTGAGTCCCAGATTTTACTTTAGTTGAATTTGTAAATATTCTGATACATATTCCTTCCCTTATCCTCTCCTCTATGTTTCAAAGTTTCCTGTGTCGCTGTAATCTTTTATTTTCTCCCTCCATTGTAATTTACTCTTTTCAAAATCTTCACTTGCTGTTTTCTTTTTTTCACACGATGTGGTTTTTAGAATTGTGATTTTCATGTTATATGATTGTGCCCCTAAAATTATCCCAATTTTCTTAGACAGTGTGTGCCAATTTAAGCACATGTCATACATTTCGAAAAAATTTGTCATTGCAAACAAATATTTGCCCCTCTCAAATGGAATATTTACGATTGTTTTCTTTCTAATAACTGAAGCTTCATTAGAATTTTTCCCTCATCAAATTTTCATGTATCATGTAACCCAAATTTTAGATTGAAATACTGTCTTATCAACAGACATCAAAACCGTACGTTTGCCTAGAAAATTGCCTTGGCGGAACCTCTTAGCACATGAAAGTTTCTCCCTCAAAATCTTTTTGGTGAAACAAGAATGAAGGGGAAGATCGTAGAGAATACCTTTTCCCCAGGTATCTGCTTAGTTTTGTATCAATAGTAACAGAATAAACTTTGTTAAGATTCATGTAAGTTCCTCCATTTAAAAATCCCATTTTCCCCCTCTAACAATTGAACCAATTTTCTTCTGAAGGTCCAAAGCACCAAAATCCAGGTCTCAAGAGAACCAGAAATAAAGTGTGCCAATCGGTGTGCAATGTGCATTCAACCTTCCGAGTCCAGTTCCAACAGGTATCCTGAAGGCATTAACATTTTCTTGACTCAAAAGATAAAGCACTGTTTCCCCTGTTTTTCTTGGAACTTGAATTTTGGTTACCGAGTCTTCAAGATAAATATTGGTCCAATTTTTCTTTTATTTGTTGGATTAATTTAATTAGAAGTGCTCCATGAAGAATAATTCTTGATTAAGCACCTCTGCATTTATATCTTTGCACTCTCATTGGTCCAGTGATATAAGACCTTTCCCCAATATCTCCCCTTAATGAGGCATTCTCTGGTAAAAAGGGATGTGATAAGCCTTTTGAAGGTGCCAGGATTGTGCTACAGCAACATATCATTTGCAGCCGACTCTTCAAAAACTTTTTAAAAATATTTTTCTAAGTATTATTTGCGTCTTACAAATTTTTCTATGAGAATAATTCTAATAAGTGTAAATTCGATTTGCAATGAAGGACGTATGAGGTAGCATTATCCTGGCGGTACTGCAAGTTTTGCATCTCTTGTTACTGTCGAATGCGTTCAGTATGTATTTGTATGCATTTGTAAGGATTTATGTAAAGACTTGTTTCTTCTCACTCAGATGTTTAAAAATGTGTTATTTTCTAGCCTTAAATCTTGTATCTTTACCCGCCGCTGGAGCGACGAAATTTTAAAGCTTAAGTTTTTTCCAAAATTAATATAATTTATATTAAATTAAATCGTGCATTTTCATTTTTGTCCACACTTTCACAACTTAGATTAATGAGCACAATTAAACAAATTCTTTCTTCAAAATTGCCTAGGGGAAATAAATCACCCTGTGGGAAGTCAGAAAATCAACTCCTCAACAAGGTATTAAAGTATACGATTTACATTGATTAAAGTGCAAAAATATAAATCATTGTTTTATATCGTCTAATTTCCATTTGACCTGTGCTGAAAGTACTTGATGATATCTCGCTCAGGGATTGATTTCCGAATTTCTTGTCGGGTGAGTTGTTCTCTATAAAAGATTTGGTGAGAAAGTATTGTTATTTACAGTTCACACCTTATCTCATGACCCATTGAAAGCTATGGGTATTAAAACAGTAAATTGTCAATTTGTTCAGTCTTGTTTCTTGTTGAGCTATGAAAGTTGAACTTTCACCTTTGATAATCTTTTGACTAATGGCGACAGGTATATGAAAGGTTCTGGTAAACTATTGGTGGGTATCAATTTGTTTTTCAAAGATGAGTACTAGGGGCAATACTGAATAAAAACTCCGAATTGAACTTTAAATTACAATAATATAATAGCAATAATAATAAAGATTAATAATAATTATCAATCAATAATAATAAAATTAATAATAAGAATTACTACATCAACAAGGACTTAGTGTAGATTTTAAAGCTTTCGAAATTCAAAAACGATACTTATTACAGATTAAGCCCTATTGAGACTCCAAATTTCAAAAGTTGTATTTTAATAGAGTAGCAATCATAGTCATATAGAGTAATAATCATAATGATAATAACTGTAGTAATTTCAGTAGCAGTAATAATGATAATAACCAATAATAGTAGTAATAATAATTACGATGACAATATATTTATATATTTAACTATAAAATATTTACAAACTTTTATGTACAACTTTATCATACCCTAAGACAGAAAAAGGACTTAGGTTATTGCAATAGTTAGGGGGAGGGAGAAAAAATTGGAAAAAATTACAATAAAAAACATAACATTTTGGGCCACAATTTGAAACTAAAATTCTACAATAATTTTTTAGTTACACAATACACAGTCAAATAGTAAATAGGAAATAAAGAGAACAGACAACAACTGTGTTTAATGCTAGTTAGGATTAAGAAGAGTCTTAATACAACATAATTTAAGAGATGTCTTAAGCCAGAAAGATGAACTAAGAATTGCTTTGGTTGGAGGCGACCCAAGTTTGAAAAACATTTCTGCAACAAATATAAAGAAAATAGAATTAGTGCATTGAAAATATTGTGTGTTCAGTTAGGCATGAGAGCGAAATAGAGAGACGACAAATTACTGAAAGAAAAATTAAAAGAGCGATGAAGCTTTAGTGTTGAAATTAGAAAAGGGACTCAAAAATTCAAAGTATTTAGAACTGTTATGTAGTAAAATCTCTTGCACATCAATTTTTGAAACCATGTTTGCTGATATAAATAAAGGTTCAATATCTTGTAGAGCTATTGGAAGTTATAACAAGCAGTCTGTTCGACCAGCAGAATATGCAAGAATAAATATAAAAGCTAAGGCGTGCCTAAAAGGGGAACATCTGATGGCAGATCATCCCAGGTTGGAGGAGAGATATTTTGGCAATAACCAATGATCAACTGTAGAATTGCTGTTTTGATAATATCCTCTCAACAAATCCAGGGTGTCAGTAAGGATCAGAAAAGGAAATAATAAGTTTATACGGCACTTTCGGAGCCACTTGCCAAAAAAAGAGAAAATTTAGTTTTTCATTATTATTTACAGTTTCTGTCCAGGAAAAGATCATTCCTTCAGATCAAGAGTGGTGTGCATTTTTTAAAAATCTGATAGCACTGTAGAGATAAAGCTTCGGTTAAAACGCAGCTTAAGCATTAGAATGTCCTACTGCCTTGGCTGACTATCTCTTGATTTAGTAAATGTGAGGCCTAGTTTAGCAGGAACAGACTGGCTCACTATAGGGCTTTTTTTTTTTATCAAGGATCAGGGTGGATTGCAGTGGAATGCACTGGATCGGAATCCTGAGCGATCCGGACCGATCCAAAGTGTTCCAAGTGATAAAAAAATCCAAACTTGGAGTTTGGTTCGATTTGTTATTGTTTCGATTTGTTGGGGACAGCAATTTCCTTGCATTAGGTTAGGAACACAGTGGATCACGAGCTCGCCCCACCTCGGAAGAGCGATCCAGCGTTCCACCCTGATTCACCTGGAACGCTTGGATCACGACTGAGGAACGGAATAAAAAAATACCGATGTTCGTCGCGATCCACCGCGTTCCACTGCGATCCACATAAAAAAAAAAGCCCTTATGAGAAGGCATGACACCCATTTGCACAGGGCAAAAAGCTCCCAAAATTGATTATAGCTCCAACCATAACTGGCAGTACAATTCCGTAAGCAACAATTTTTTGGAAGAACAGAATTAGATTTGGCACTGGAGCCACCTTCATAATTGCTGGAAAGTAAGAGAACGTAGCAAAACTTACCGGCAGTGAGTAACAACACATTCATTACTGCAATATTCATCTTCCCATTCAGAATTGACTACAGATGGGTTTGTGCATCCAGACCGTATACATGTCATGGTAGGTTGAGGAGGATCCATGTTGTTGTCTGTTGTTGTCACTACGTTACTAGGAGGGGGTCCAGTGCAGTTGTTTACCTGTAACACCACCACTACACTTCTAAATAAACTTGCGAAACCAATTGACAAACGGGAGAAATTGTACTCATAATCTGAATTAGATTCGGCAATCAATTTAAGGGAAGAAGTTATTGACAAATGGCGAAAACTAAAGCCTATCTACTTGAGTTTCACTAAGAGATTAAAAGGAAAAATGCTTGCAGAAAGCTTAGTCCTCTTACCTCCCACAAGTTTGTAGGTTCAAACAAAAGGAGCATAGAAGTTTCAAAATGAGTCATAAGTGATCGTATTCTATTAAGTTTCAAAGAGCTAATTAATTGTTCAAACTGTATTCCTTCTTCATCAAACAACCCTGTCTACAAAGCTCTAACTCATGAAGACATTTTTTATCACAATAATTTGATTATTAATTGGTTGAGGTTTAATGATCAGCCTGTAGGGCTCTATAAAGAATTGATAAGATCACTTTCCAGTGAAAAGGTACATGTTAAGATACAGTTAGGTTCCTACAAGATATTTTTCAATCTAGATATTGCGGCTCATTAAAAATAATTACCGCAACATGTAAAGTAGATCGGTCCAACCTCATATCAACGGTGTAAGTCGGCAATCACCTAACTCGGTTTGCAACGTCGCAAACTTCCTGTCATACTTGATTTTATAAACAGAAAACTACTCAACGGCAATTCTTTGAAACTGCCTTTATTATACTTCTCTGTGCACAGAAAATTCTGCAAAAACTTCAAGGAATGATGTCAATTTGTTCTCCTTTAAAAAAAAAGCATAGAGGCGGAGATTTTTCGACACCACAAACAAGATCTGGGATTGAAGACTTACGTCGTCGATATCTGGTACTGACTATCATAATGACATTAGACGGATTGAGTGGTCACGCGATAATGTGTATCGCTGTCAGATTGTGCAGTTCTTAAAGATGACAGCAAAATGCTTGATATCTAGACAGTTCATTACCCTTTTATGAATTTTCAGTTGAGATATTTAAATGCCAAGTAATTCAATGTTAACTGAAGGGAAAACTGAATACTAAGATTTGGATTTAGGTACTGTGAGCATGGCTTTTGAAAAGATGAAATAGATACACACCTGTTGTTGATTTGGTTGTTGAATGTAATTATTACTAGGGTTGACTTGTTGTTGCTGTTGTTGAGATGATAAATGCGTTTGTTGGCCCATGTGACCTCCCATCATTCCCTGGAACATAGAAAAAAGTTATCTGTTAAACACTGCCTGCTGCAAATTTATGATGATAATTTACGATAACAAGGGACTGTGAGCATGTGGAATAGAGGCAGAACTCACCATTCCGAATACATTGTGCTATCTGTAAGCTAAAAACAAGATTCCATGGCTGACTAGATATTGTGGCCTCAAATACAACTGTTTCGTCGTACACAAGTATAAATTCTATGAATTGAGACAATTAACAATAAAGTTACCAGATTTCAAGGACAAAGGACACTATCTACAGTGGGAATCAGCGCTAAGTCAATAGGCCAGTCTTTCAGGGTGCGACAGGATATACACCATTCGAATTTTAATGTTTTCTGATTTTTGTACTTTCAATGCTGACTTGATGCCAGCTGGTCGTCTAGAGTACCCTAAAATTGCGTCGGTGTACTTGGTGCGGAGAACCAGAATAATAAATGTATAAATTTATCCTGAATATTCTACCATTGGAGGGGAAAAATCAAGGAAGTTTTCGGGAAATTATGTTGATTAGTTTTCCAGGAAAAGAATAAAGAATGACAGGAATTCTGCAAGAATTGACGGAAATACATTGTTTCGCACTTTGGCCATTGCAATGTACTCCTGAACAGTTTTCAGAGTTGATGGACGCATAGAAATATGTAAGATTCGCAGAGTACATTATTGGAAATGAAACCAATTCTTGACTTGTGAGCCGGTGGGCAGATAAGATACAAATTCATGGGGAGGGACCATAGGATACAGCACATGGCTACTTTCCATCACGGACAGAACGAGTGTTAGAGAAAATTGAAGGTGAATGTGTACCTGAGGATTGAAGTCACTCATAATAAATGCTGGAAACTAGAAAATGAATGATCGCGTACAGTAACAATTTCAAAATCTAATAACAATAAAACACGAAACTTCAGCCGGCGAAGAATACTTCCATAACCTAGGAAACAAACAATAGAACGCCAAGATGGCTGCCGGAGTAACACGGAGGGAGCGGAAGGAGGGGTGCGGTGTTGCCAAAAGTATAACAAAATAATTCGAGATTATTTGATCTACCTGAGGAACACTCATCGTCAGTTGGTAGAAAACGGCAAGGACGTCCATCTGCGCAGAGCGACGTGGCGACGACTTGCGACGCGGCGCGGGGAAGGGGAAGCAAGATGTCGAGGGGAAAAGAAATAAATGGAGGAGGAAGAATAATTCCCATTCCCATCCTCCCAGTTTATTGCCCTTACGCTGTGTAAGCACTGTAAGTATGCAGTGTTGCCAGGTCCATCACCTCTCTATCAATACCTACGTTCCGCTGCTTTTCACGAGGATTTTATCAGAGAGGGGCTAAAACGGAAAGCGTCGTGGAAAACATTGCAACGTTGTAAATATCCTGAATATTCTGATGTTTCATCATTTTCAGCATTGTAAAGGGGGCACCAAGCTAGCCATAGGTAATCGGGTACTTAGATCCTACTGGAACGGTGCCCTAAAACGACCAATACCAAAGGACCTATATAGGACGCTGAACAACAAGAAAAACCAAATGAGGAAAAGCAGAGGAAGGGGGGAAAAAGAGAGAAATTTATTCGAACCAACTGAGAAGATACTAATTGCCTTTTTCTGACCGACCAAGACCTAAAGCCGATGGGACCAAAGGGTCAACAGTTTACTCAATTTGTAAAAGGAGCCCTTGCATGCGTGTGAGATATGTGATGTAGTACTTTTCCTTCGTAAAATCTTGCGAGAAAGACTATGGCGCCGCTGATTTTATCTCAAGTAGATTAGGGCTGTTTTCATGAGCAGGAGCTTAGAATTCGTGCATCAAAAACCGTTATTATCATGGTTAGGAATTAATCTAAATGATTTTCGGTATACAATTCACGTTGTGCGTGAAATTCTGAAGAATACAAAATGCTTCAATTCGCACCTTTCAGTTTGAGAACGCTTAAAGTTCTATTGATAGAAGCTGTAGAAACAGTGTGTGCAAATTCAGTATTCGGGCGCCTTCAATTCGAGTGATACTTTCAGCTTCACCGGAGAGTTAGTTTAGTTGCGTGACCTAACTAAACACATCCGATGCATCAAAAAAACGATATATCCTTACTTTCAATGATTTCCATTGCGCAAATCTTGTTCTACGAGGAATTTTGATTAGAAAAAATACATGAAATCGGCATTTAGCATGGAGAGGCCATTTTTTCCATCATAAAATGAAAAGTGCAGAGACGCACCTCTCATTAGAATTGATTGACAAAGATTTATATTGGTCAGTGTCATGGGGCGGCGCTGATTAGCTTAGGCCTCTTTTGTTTTTAAGGTTACAATAACAACGTGAGAAAATAGATGATCTTCCAATAAGACAGATTTCATGATGAAGGTTTCACTCGTAGGAGACTCTCAAAGATCGAAAGACAGGCGCCTTCATCTTGACGCGATACTCCACGCATTGTTACGGAGTTGGCTTAGTCGCTTTAGGTAATCCAAACCTAACTTGAATACCGAAAAGAAGGTTCGGCTCTTCATTTTTAGGCACAATTTCATTTTAATTTCCTATAGCCTCATAGGCCGCACAGAAGTTTGGAAGCAGTTGCTTGAAAAATTTAAAGCAATTTTAACGAAGTAAGCCGTTTTGGGGTTTCAAACAGAACTCAAGAATGCGCAAAAAAAAGATAAACATCGTTGCGCGTCAGATGAGATTTACAAAAGAGCGTTACAAAGGCCTAAAATAAGAGCTTTGAAACATGCAAAGAGCGGTAATGTAAGGACCCTAGTTATTTGCAGGAAATATTTGCATAGTTCTTCACAAAGACCAATACATTATTGTCGCACTGTAGCCAACTTTTCAAAAAGTCTAGGAAAATGAGATGAGATTTGCAGTGTTTTCACAGCCTCTTGGCCAACTCTGGCGTTGACGTTGAAAATGACAAAGGCAAATGCACTGAACAGTAACAGAACTGCTAATTTGAGTTCAGTAGCAAGAGCGTAATTTTGAGCAAATTTGATCTTCAACATTTTCACGAGTCAATAATGATGCTTCCCGAGGTATTTAAGTTAAAAGCCGCTTTCCAAAGCCAGTCTGCCCCTGTTTATAAGGCGTACAAATCTTGATTGTGCGAATTGCGTTATGCATTCTTGAAACATTCTTGTTATACTTATGAAAAATTCCCCTAGGATTATCATTGTTCATGTAATGGATACCGTACTTTCTTCAGTGTTGGAAAGAGCACATCGGATGAGTGATAAACCTTGTGTACAACAATTTATTAATCAACGAGCTTTCATCTCTTCGGCTCTAACGTTGAGTTTTGCATTAGGAACTTTATCTTTCCCCTTTTTTATACCTATCTGAGAGGAAGCGGGAGTTGCTAAAGATGACATTTTATAAGAAAAGAAAATGGAGGCTAAGAGGAAAAGATGAGGAGGTGATTCCAGGGAAACCTATTATACGTTCATTGCTCCCGAAGCTCGATTCGCCAGCAATAATGTCTCCATTCTGAATTGTACATGACGTACTTATCGATTTTATTCATGCCGCCCTTGCTTACTGCTCTAATTTATTTCCACTTCCCTTCTCATACAGTTCCACCTCTGCACGTACACAACGCAAACTTCAACTTGCAATATCTTCGTCTCCTCTCCATCTTTATACCTCTAATTAAATGGACAACATAATGGCGCGTATAATTTTTAACCTCGTAAACATCTTCTTTTACCAGCATGAATAAAAATAAAACAGAACTTCCTGCTAAGAGTACTAATTTCTATGATATGATTGAGAAATTCCGCTGTACGTGTTTCAAAATTTTCGTACATATTTAATAATTGGTGGATGAAACAACGACCTCAACGATAATACGTAATTGCCCGAAGATCTTCATGGGCACCTTGAAAAAGTGCGTAAACTAACGCAAAAGTCTCAAGAGATAGCACTGCAATGATTTGTTCCTTCATTAAATAAAAAAACCAAAAAAATAAAAAAAGCGATTGTGATTAAAAAAAAAAAAAAAATTAAAAAATAAATGAATTGCTCACTAGCGACTCCACGGGTTCGAGTATAGAATGCTCGGGTAAAACAACTAGTGCTGAGTGGTTTGTTTTGCCTACTTTTTCAAATGAAGGCACAATGACCTTCAAGTGTACAGATTGACAGCTATTAACATTTAAGGATCGATGTGAACTTCCTACTTCCGAATACGGAACTGACTTAAAGATCACTGTGAATGTCTTATCTATTACATTTCACAAAAATATCTTTACATCATACTGTACCAGTAGACAAGGTACGAATTTAAGCATTCTGATACATGCGTCTGAGCTACAATTTCGCGAGGAACAAGTGACGCGAGAGGAATTGTCGTTGCAATAATTGAACACGCCCCAGTTTTATTATTTTGATTGGTCAAAAAGCTATCCTGTACCGATCGCAACAGAGTCACGTTGTGCTCAGTTAGGTCACGCAACTAAACTAACTCTCCAGTGAAGCTGAAAGTATCACTCGAATTGAAGGCGCCCCACTACTGAATTTGTACACACTATTTCTCCAGCTTCCATCGATAGGACTTTAAGCGTTCTCAAACTGAAAGGTACGAATTTAAGCAGTATAATATATGTGTGTAAACCAAAATTTCACAAAGAACAAGACTCGCGCGAGAAATTCCGTCGATGCACTACTAGAACACGCCGCAGTTCATAATAATGATCGGTCAAAATCCTCGGGAACCGATCGCAACGGAGTCAGGCTGTACCCAGTTAGGTCACGCAACTAAACTAACTCTCCGGTGAAGCTGAAAGTATCACTCGAATTGAAGGCGCCCACTACTGTATTTGTACACACTATTTATCTGAAACCTTGATTTATAGAACTGAATCGTTCTCAAACTGAAAGGTCCGAATTTAAGCATTATGATATGTTTGTTCTCATTGGAATTTCACGTACAACATGATTTTTACGAGGAAAATTACTGAAATAAACTCTTAATCAAGATATCCACGTTCATTGATGCATGAATTCAAACCTCTCGCTTATGGAAAAAAATCTTGATCTCAGAAACACCTGGCGGCGCTTACTATGTTTTGAATTTTCACTCTGCAATCGCTGGAGAGAGAAAGTAGATGACATTCACGAATCACGGCAGCAAACCTAATAAATCAAGCTTAAATCTAAAATAATTTCAAAACAAGGAGTCATATTTTGAGCGAAATCATAACTGGATGATGCAACGTTTATTTGTTTCAATTTTGATCCAGTAAGTCCGATTGAACAACTACTTATTGCAAAACTGTTCATTGGCATACAGGTGGGGAGAGAGATGGGGAGGAGGAGGAGGGGAGAGATAAAAACAACGTGGGCCAGGCAAGGAAGGTTGTGCGTAGTATAAATGATAGACGAGATATAAAAACTTTAATTAATTTTTCTTATTAATTTAGCTTAAGGTTGACGTGAGTGCATAATCACTTCTAGTTTCTAGTTAATGCTGCGATGCCTACACAAAATCAAGGATGGACTGCCGAGGAATATTAACGATCTTTTCAGCGGCAAACATTAACGTCGGATTGAAAGACCTTGGAAAAAAATAATATTTTGGAAATAACTCTTACACGCGGCTGAACGTTTACTTATTTTTGAGCGGGCATCTCGGCAATTCCACTGGTGGCGTGGCGTGCTTTGCGATATATCGATTAATCTGCCATCAAAACCTATGGGAAAAGATCGATAAGCCTAAATAATCGCTTCTTCACCACGGCTTAAAATGGGAAAATATCGAGAATCGATCATTCACGCCTCGCCACTGAATCTCACTCATTTCATGATTCGTAAACAGGGCGTGACGAGGGAGCGAAGTTTGTTCAAGGTTTTCATTGGAGCGACTGAATATTGATTTTGTCCTATGAAGTTGAAGAAAACTCGATGGCTCTGAAAAAGTTGAATATTCACTTACGACTCGCTATCAGTTTACAAAGTTTCGGCTATAAAACGACGGTGAAACTACCAAACCACGTATCTCGGTTTGCGACGTCGCAGACTTCCTGTCATACTTTATTTTTTAAATGAAAAACTACTTAACGTCCAGTCTTGAAAATTTCTGTGATTTTTCCTCTTCGTGCGGAGAAAATTCCGTGAAAATTTCAAGGAATGATATTGATTTGGTCTACTTCAAAAAAATAAAATGTGAGCGTAGATTTTTAAACACCGCAAACGAGATACGTGGTTTGGTAGTTTCACCGTCGAAAAGCGACTTGGAGGTCTGGTACTAGAAGGGGAATGGAGGTCGGCAAGGAGTTATTCCCAACTCGTTAATTTTCGGAAAGTTAAGTAGAGTAGGCATGGAAGAAATACGATAGCGCCCGGAACAAATTATCGTATAGAACTCATACTGACATTACTAACTACCTAGGCAATATGGCGTCTTATGGACCCATCACATGTTTTTATTCAATACTCACACGTTCGTGCTTCAAGTTTTTAAAAAAAATTGGGTGGAATCTTGTTCCTCCAAACGTGTAGAGAAGAATTAAGCCTACAACGACGTATGGTAACGTAGCAGTCTATACTGTCGTGCGAAGAAAAAACGCCGTAAAAACATTCAAATGTTGCCAAATTTACACTCAGAAAATACTTATTTTCGGGGATAGTTATGCGTATTTTTCATTAAAACTTACTGGCACTACAGATCAAATTACGAACGTAATTCCACGAGAATTTGGAGGGAAGGTATGCACGAATTTTCCAGAAAATTCAAGTTTTGTCAAATGAGGTTTGGCAACATCTAAAGGCTCATACGGCGTTCTTCCTGAGCACGGCAGTATATTTCCCAACATGCCGTCGTTTCCCAGACGAAGGAACGTAACTCCATTTCATGATTGAAAAATTGGCTCAAACAATTCACCTGTTTATAAAAATACTACGCAATTCTTATCCAAGTTTGCTTTTGATTTTTGCGTGAGATCAAGGGCAAAATCAGTGAAATTTTCAATTAGAAATTTCACAGATTCTCCTGGTAAAAATTCAATTTGCGAGGAGAAATCTGGTAACATTGAAATGTTGTTCCGCTCTTTCGTGACGGGAACGACGAAACTACGATAATTTCTTGGCAGCGGGCCGATTACTGAAACTGATAGACAAAGCGATAGACAAAGAAGACAAAGGGAGTATGGAGGGATCCTCTTGGTTGACATGGTTGGTTCCTATAGGCTAAGGAACGAAATGATAGACTAACTGTCGGGTCTTTGGTGGGTTGCCGTTAGTTAGTCCAGTACTACCTCCTATAGACTCCTCCAAATCCCTTTTGCCGTCTTTGTCTATCAGTTTCAATAATCGCCCCGCAGCTCAGAGTTCGGGCCAGAACAATTTTTGAGTGAGCTTATCTTTCCCGGCACGTGTCTTGAAAGTAATTAAAGAGCCAAAAAACAAGTGTTGGGTGTTAAAAACCAGGTCCACATCCATTCATGCAAACGAAGAGGAGAGGGACGGAAAGAAGGGTGGCTAAGCCCGAGAGCTGTAACAGGTTGGAAAAAAGAAGGGCTGCGGAAAGGCGGGTGACCATCGAAGGGCGGGAGAGGAGGAAAAACTAAATCTGGAGAGCGAGGGGCGGGAAAAAAGGAGAGGCGCAAAGACAGGAGTATTTAAGAGTACGCGGAAGCGGAGAAGAAAGTGGGGGGAGTGTAAAAAGATGTTACCTGTTGTGTTTGGACGTTGCCTCGGTTATCTGACATAATGAGTGGTTGTTTTTTAGCCGAGGCCATGGAGCCGGGAGGTCCGGGGGGTCCGGCGGCGGGGCCGGGGGGGCCGGGCGGGGGGAGCTGGTGCGGTGACATCGGGTTCGACATGGGCGGCGAGGGGAGTCCCGTCGGGGGCGAGTAACTGCTGTAACCGCCGCCGTAACCTCCGTAGCCACCCGCTGAGTACATATTATCCGCTTCATTTGCTCCCTGCAAATCACGCAAAATCCACACTCTTTACTCTTCTCACACAAGGCAAATTTCTCGCCCTTTCCTATAACTTTTTTTCCACACTCCAAGAATCGATTTTTAAGCTCAGTCCTTAGACTCTATTCCTCACTCAAAAAATCAATTTTTAAGCTCAGTCCTTAGATTCTATTCCTCACTCAAAAAATCAATTGTTAAGCTCAGTCCTTAGATTCTATTCCTCACTCAAAAAATCAATTGTTAAGCTCAGTCCTTAGATTCTATTCCTCACTCAAAAAATCAATTTTTAAGCTCAGTCCTTATTAGATTCTATTCCTCACTCAAAAAATCAATTTTTAAGCTCAGTCCTCCGACTCTATTCCTCACTCAATAAATCAATTGTTAAGCTCAGTCCTTAGATTCGATTCCTCACTCAAAAAATCAATTTTTAAGCTCAGTCCTCAGACTCTATTCCTCACTCAAAAAATCAATATTTAAGCTCAGTCCTTATTAGATTCTATTCCTCACTCAAAAAATTGATTTTTAAGCTCAGTCCTCAGACTCTATTCCTCACTAAGAATACAAATGTTTAGCTCAGTCCTTGGACTCAATTCTTCGCTCAGAATATCAATTTTTAAGGTCAGTCCGTGGTGTCCAGAATTCCTGACCTTCATACTGCCGTGCTGAGGAAAAACGCCGTATAAACATTCGAGAGTTGCCAAATTTCGCTGGATAGCACATGAATTTTTTAGGAAAGTTATGCATATTTTCCTTGAAATGTTCGAATATTTTAGATTAAATTGCGCAAAAAAATGTCTAAAAGTGTTGAAGAAAAGTATTCACAATATTCCCATTCAATTCGTTACTTTTATATGGAAATCAACGTCTGAATACGGCGTTTTTCTTCAGCACGTCAGAAATTTCCTGATTTTCCCTTAATTTTAGGAACTCATTCCCTGAAGAGAAACCGAAGTGTTCTCCTCCCTCGATAATTTCTTGGAAAAAACCGCATAAATCTCTAGAGCTCCAGGTATGAATCTATGATTGTTTTCATCTTTCAGCCGATGAGCACACAGTGGTTGAAGATATACTAAAATGGGAAAAAATTGGTGAGGTTGGATAGTAAAGAAGAGTCAAATTTAGAGCTTCTCTACGCATCCTCTTTTCTTTTTCTGTTCGCATAACTTGAAGACTTGAGGTATCATTTTACTCACCTTTGAAACTAAACTTGCTCGATAAGCAGCTAAAGCCTTCAGATAATCTTTTTTCGCCGCTTCTGTTTTCTTTTTATAGACCTGAAACACAATAATCAAAGTCATCAAAATGCATAGGAGCTGCGAAAAACAGTTTTAAAATTATTCATGGGGCATTCCTCACACTCGGCGCTCGGTGCTGTTTTCTCCTCAAAAAATATATTGGCATGTACTTACAGTTCCGCTGGGTTACGGCATAGGCGGATCCAGAAAATTGACAACAATGCTTTTCTCATTTAAACCTGTGTTAAATAATCGATTCTCGTCGTATCATCTGGCCTCTCCGAGAATCGATTCATTTCGATAGGCTTAAATGGAGAGAACGCGACGTTGCCAACTCGCTAGCTCTTCCAATGCATTACGGGAGAGGGCAGTGACGACTAAATTGTGGAGGCCGAGATTTTATTTGAAATTCCATCAATCTCATTCGAATTGACAAAATGATCCCTCTAGAACAGCAAAATTCCCTCAACTAGCAAATTCCGACGAAAAACGAAGGACTTGATCAAAAAAATGTTCCGCTGGAGGTCCATATAATCGCTGGTGAAAAACCTTAGAGGCATGATCCCGGTGTGGAGCGCCTTCAAATCCCAGTGATACCATTCGCTTTACCAGAGAGTTAGTTTAGATGCCTACCCGCATCAAACTCAACTAAGGTCACTGAAATTTATACACGCACTTTTGAGTGTGCCAGCTGGATCCATGCATAAAAAAAGAAGATAAAGAGTTGGTTTGAATTCCCATCATAATACTGCCTTGTTACTTCACTTCTGAATGCTTGCATTTTTTATTTTAACAGAAATAGGCGTTAACTACTTCCTAGCCTTAAATTTTCGACAAGAATCAACCGGATAACTTACATTTTTATGTTCTGCATCAAGCGAGTCCCACATTGATGCTACTATTTTAGAAACTTCACCAAAACTTGCGTTTGGGTTTTGACCTTTTATTGCAGCTTGTGTATCCCGGAAAAATAAAGCATATGCTGAAACAGGTCTGAGAAAAAAAGGCAGAATTAGTAAGTTTATCGATACAAATTAATAGAAGCAGATGAATGATGAGTTACTTTGAATTAAAACATTTATGAGACGACTTTCAATGTAAATATATATAAGACACCATAATAATTCGCAGTTAGTGTTTGTAATTCAGTGAACCATCTTATGATAAACGGATTCGATGTAAAATTGCACTCTTCGTGCCATCGTAAATTATATACCTACGACTATATATGATTTGATGCTTTCTAACTACACGATTATCATCAATGCAGCCTCTTATCACTTTTCGACAATATTTAAAGGACTTGAAACACGTGGTTTTTTCCCCCCATACCTATGTTATCCGACACAAAGGCCCGGTCCAGCTTCAGCGGGCCGATTATTGAAATTGATAGACAAAGCTATAGACAAAGAAGACAAAAGAAATATAGAGGGATCCTATTGGTGGAAGTGGGTGGTTGCAATAGACAAAGGACGTAGGTACCTAATAGACTAACTATCGGCAACCCACGAGAGACCCAATAGTTAGTCCACCATTTTCTCCCTTAGTCTATAGGAACCACCCATTTCAACCAATAGGATCGCTTTATACACGTTATGTCTTCTTTAATTGTCTATCGCTTTGTCTATCAATTTCAACAATCGGCCCGCTGGAGGTAATTTACGGCTTATCATATTCCTGTTTTCTCCTTCTTTTGATTATTCTTTTCGCACACTCAGATTTGAATATTGTCTCTTTGAGATAAACTCCCCTTCCAACGCTATTGCATTTCTATTAAGTAAAATTAGACGTAACGAGGAAAACGATGGCCATAAGATAATATTTTTTTGGATCAATCAACAGTTTACTTTTCTACAATAACAAAAAAAAAGTATGAGTACTTACTTGGTGGGCTCATTAGGATCCCGTTTCTTTTTCTTTTTTTGAGATTTTGGTTTAACTTTTTGAATTTTACCTAATCCATTGTCTACAGGTTCGGGCGATGGCCTTTTCATTCCGGCTATCTGTTAAACAAAAGAGTAAAAAAGGCCATGAAAAATTATTCAAAATACAGCAACAGTATTAAAACTTATATGAAGACCGCAAGAAAGTTACGATTTTAGAGACAACATAATAGATATAGAGGGTAAAGAGAACACCTGTAAAATAGGGAATACAATTTAAAAAAAAAAATTGCTGTATATTTCCGAAGATAGCTCCAGTAAAAGGATACTACCCACTTTACAACCAACTTCCCAAAAAATGGATGATTTTGCGAATAGATTGATTCTTAGACGTGCATCTCATATCTTGCTATCAAGCTCTTCACGCATGATTTGGATTGTTGTTTCGGGATAAAACTTTTGATCGAAGTGCCTGCATTTAATCTAAAGTTGCTGTTGTTGTTGCTGCTGCTGTTAAAAAGCTACTATCAATCACGTAAACTGTACAAAGGGCTCATGAGGGGGGTGGGGAGAGGAGAGGGAGAGTGCTATTATGGATCCAGAGGGAAAGAAAGTTTAGCAAAGTTCCCCAACAAAGGATAATTTTTCCCAACATATTCTTTCCGAATAAAATGGAGGGCACGAAAGAGGTATTTGAGGAGGTTGGCAAAAAAGCGTGCCTGCAGAGAAGAGAAAAGGTTATTCCCGACATCAAGTTCACGAATGACGTAACATCTGAATAAAAAGACATTACACAAAGGTTCATTTAGCATGCATTTTCGCCGTAACGAAATTCAGTCAGATTTTATGTAAGTGGCTGGATGTTTCGAAATCCAGAGCAATAAAAGGCGCGGAACAATATCGAATCAATAATAAAACAATAATGTTTCGCCTGGGGACGGGACGGGAGAAATAAGATGAGGCTGGAGTTGGCATTATGCTTTTATCTCGATTGACTTCTATTATAGGTAACACACATAAAACTGAGTTAACGGCTCAATGGCAGTATGTATGAAGGCATTATCTTGAAACGGACACGGGGAATATCTCTATAATAATGAAGGATGAAAAAACCCAATCGATAGGGCGGAAAACAGGGTGGAAAATAAGGGTGGGTTCACGAATGGATCCAGGACGAACGAAAGTTCAGAGCGTTGGGTGGACGTGTATACTACCGTTCATGTATTTTGTATGCGAGAGTGGTAATAGTTTTTTCCGCTTCTACTCTTTTCTGATTTTCACTGCGGGACGGTGTTGATTTGGAAGGTGAAAAATGTCGCGTTCAATTATTTTACAACTATTTCGACTCTCCCACTCTCTGCAAATGCTTACATTTTTTAAATTTGTCCATTCCTTTTATTTTGATGATTATAAATCAAATGCCTAGAGATCATTGCTTTCCAGCCTTGTAATCCTATCTTGTTTGCGAAAATTGGGTACGAATTCAAGGGATAAACTACTTGATAAATAAAGTATACGCTCCTTAAATAGAACTTGGAAATTAAAATTTACACTTTTTGAGACGTTTACTATACTAGAATTTTTCATGGATACAAAATTTTTACTCAGAGCAGCTCGTGACAATGATAACATTGCAAAAAAGGGGAGGCAGAAAACAAGAATAAAGTACATAATAAAAAAGTAGTATATCGACGGTGCAAGTCGGCAATCACATAACTCGTTTGCGGTGTCTGAAAATCTCCGCAACTATGTTATTTTTTTAAAGGAGAACAAATGGACATGATTCCTTGCAGTTTTTGCAGAATTTTCCTTGCACATAGAAGAAAAATCACGGCAGTTTTAAGGAATTACCGTTGAGTAGTTTTCCGTTTCCGGAAGTCTGCGACGTCGCAAATCGAGTTATGTGATTTCCGACTTTCACCGTCGATATACTTGTGAATGCACTTGTGTAATCTTGGTCCACATTTTTTCTGATATTTACATGAGATCAGATGAAAAATCAGGGAAATTTTCAGTGAATTAAATGTTCTGAAGATTCTACAGCTAAAATTGCAATTTTCGAAATTTGGCAACATCGAAATATAGTTACGTTCTTTCGTGGGGGAAACGACGAAATGGCACAGAATTAACTCCCCTACGCTTTGCAAAGTTATCTATTTATTAATTCACCATACTGATTTCGCATTTTTAAAATCCCATTCTGCCTAATCTGATCAAATTTTCGGGCCGTGAAGTGGTCGAGTTTAAGGATCGGGACGGTACGGGATTAAAGCAAGGAAGCGCGGAAGGCAGTAGAAGCAGATGAAAGAACGGAACTGGTTGCCGGTAGAACGAGTTATGGTAGCTGATTTCCACAGATTGACGTTTCCGAGAAAAAAAAGAGCAAAAATTGAATTGGATCTGCAATTTACATCAATCGGATTTCAGGGATTGCGCAATCGTAATGGCGCGCGATGCTGAGCCGGAGAGAGAAGAAAAAAAATCGGCAAAAAAAAAGTGAAGTGTCACTACTTATCAATCCGTTTACTTTGGAGCCGAGAATTACGCAAGAGTCGAACTGGAAGGTATAACCGATCTGTTGGTGTTCAGATGTGATATAATGGCCCGAAAACGCTCTTTGACTTGGCGGAACACGACGCGGACCGTGGACTCTGGAGCCAGCGCGGCGCCTGCCCCCCTCCCCCGTGCTCGGAAAAACAGCCCTCCTGGGTGAAAACCGCCTAAGCTCCTTGGAGCCCCCCAGGTCGATACGTGCTTCTTCTTGGCTACGGGAGGAAAACTCTTCAGCTGGCTCTGTGACTTGTTCTTTCGTTTGTTTGCGTCAGTTTCCGCTCCCGCTTTCCTCCGTTACGTCTCGATATCCGCATCTGACCAAGCTGATTTCTACCCACGCACACATCCATCATTCCTTCCCGCAACGCCCAAAGACCCACTGACACGATCCGAATCTAACACACAAGTCCCATTATCCGGGAAATGCGCCGTGCTTCTGGTAGACCCCGCGATGGGTACACAACGCTTCCGTGCTAAGGAAGAACGCCGTACGAGCCTTTAGGCGTTGCCAAATCTCCTTTCATACAACGCGAATTTCCTGGTAAACTTATGAGTATTTTAGTTTCAATGTTTCAGATAATTTTGTTCGCAATCTCACGTACAGATTCTGAAAATTTTGAAGAAAAACATTGATAACTTTCCTCAGAAATTAACATTTTATCAAAGGAAATTTGGCAACTCTCGAATGTTCATACCTTAGCACGGCAGAATTGGTCAGTTGCAAACTTTTGCTAGAGCAGAAATAAGAGTTGTTACTCGTAGAAAGCGTCTCAAAAATAAAGATAAGCGCATCAGTAAAGATGAAATGCACTTCGTACTTCACAATTTGCCTAAGAAATTTGCGCTTTTTCGAGCTTCCCGCCTCAGAAACGACACCATGAGCACGACAAAGATGAACACTACGTTAGAGGAGTCATTCCATAGGTAGGTATCGTAGAATTCAACGATTTCACTCAATACGGATTGCTAGAACCACAGCACAATTTTTTTTTCCGGATGAGAGCGATGAGAAAACCCTATGCGATAAACTTTTTAATGCCATCAGAATAAGATTTTACCACCATTTCTCGTATTTAACATCAAGAATGCCTAAAAATGACGACGTGATACACCCTCTCCTAACCCTCTTTGAATTTAAACACAGCATCAAAGAAATTATATCAGCTGGAGGAAATGAGGCGCTGGCTGAGGCTCAAAACCACGCAAAATCGAGTTTAATTTTTTTTATGCGCAAACCCGATTTTGGTTAGAACTCCTCTTAAATTTTACTGGCTGTGCATACAAAAAATTACATAGTTATTTTACAGAAATAAGCTTGATGTTAGCTTCAGAATGAAAATTCTTCTGCCCGTTGGGCCGAAGCGAGTCGCATCAAACTGGAAAGAGGCAACTCGGCTAAGGTACCCACACACAATATGTAAAAGCCATTTTGGCTCACCAACTTCTTTGCGAATCCCTCCTAACTTTATATTTACGTGAATTCCGCATTAGCTCCAGGTTTCATTATTTGCCCTCGCCAAAAGGGAAAAGTTCCACTGGAGTTTTTGATAGTTGAAATTATGAGGATCCTAAATATTCATATCAAGGATGAAAAGAGAAAAGGTTGGTTTCTGGGTTACTGCACCAGTTTAAAGCAAGGTGTTTTATCTCAAAATCTGCTCGGCACATCTCACCAGGTGCTGTTAATCACATCATGGAGGAGCCGGGTATTTTACTTCTCTCCGAGAATAGAGTTACGACATCTTCTGGGAATGATACCGCACATCAATGGTTGAAAATACTGCCGTGCTAAGGAAAAACGCCGCATGGACCTTCAGGCGTTGCCAAATTTCCCCTGGCAAATCACTAATTTTCAGGAAAATGAATTTGTCTACCAATTTTTCAGATAATTTTGTTTGTAATTTGATCTAAAACTTCTGAGAATTTCGAGGAAAAATATTCAAAATTTTCCTCAAAATATATGTTCTATCGAGGGAAATTTGGAAACTCTCGCATGTTCATATGACGTTCTTCCTTAGCACGGCAGAATAGGTGTTAGAGCAGTGACCTTAAGGATAGTGGCGTGGCGTGCTTAGCGATACATCGATTGATCAGCAACTTAAACCTATGGAAAAGGGTCGATCAGTGGGGTGGAGTGAATGATCGACTGTCGATATTTTTCCATTTGAAGATGTAGTAAAGAATCGATTATCAAGGTGTTCGCTGCGAACACCTTGATAATCGATCCTTTTCCATAGATCTGAATGGCAGATCAATCGATATATCGCAAAGCACGCCACGCCACTGGGATCGATACCCGGAGCGTTTGCAACGAACACTTTATTAATCGCTTTATTATACCATAGCTTTAAAATCATGAGGAAATATCGATAATCGATCATTCACGCTTCACCATTGTTCAGGAACCTTCGAAACAGCTTGAAATGAATATTTTGAACTAATTTTTTTCGTACACAGGTCAACTTTCTCTCACGAATAGTTTCAGCCATGCAACATGAGTTTCTGAGTATTCTCATCTTGTTTATTTATCCAAGGCTTGTCTCTTCTTCGAAAAGGAAAANGGGGGGGGGGGGGAAGCAATTACGAAAGAAGCTCTGGCCACTTTTGACTGTTAGCTTGTTAGCGACTCAAAAACGCGGATGGATTTTGAAGGCACGGATCAGTTTGTTTGTTACGCTGAGTGGTTTAAGGGTAATTTATAATGATCATGGTAAATAGTTAATAGTTGACGTGATTTTTTAGGTAGACTTGACAATTTCTCCGGATAAAACGTGTATTTTTTTTAGGAAAGTTATGCTTATTTTTCCTCGAAATTTTCAGATATTTTAGATTACATAGCGTGCGAAACTGTCTAAAAAATTTTACCGAAAGATACTTGGCAACGTCAAAGGGCTCATACGGCGTTCTTCTTTAGCACGGCAGTATGCTAGTTGCGTGCTCCAACAAGAATGTATGTTTTCTCTTCCTTAATACTAATTCAGACTACGTCATCGGGTAGTTCGGCCGACGATTTTTTCCAGGTGGATCGAGACTGGAGCGAATAAACTCAACGAGAAAAGTAACAGTGGCGTGGCGTGTTTTGCAATATATCGATTGATTTGCCATTTAAACCTATGTTAAAGAATCGATTACTAAGGTGTTCGCTGCGAACATCCTGTTTATCGATCCTTTTCCATAGGTTTAAATGGCGTATCAATCGATACATCGCAAAGAACGCCACGCCACTGAAAAGTAACCGGAGAGTCGAAGGGGAAAAAGACTGGAAAATTGGAGAAAATGAAGACTTTTCGGTTCCTGCACGGGATCTAGTAGGACGTACAGCGCATTCAATCATGCATTAATTACGGTTGGTAATTTAAAGATGGAAAGAGAAGGAGAGATGCAGAGCGAGATTGAGAACGGAGCGAGGGGCGGGGAGAGCGGCGGAGGTAGGAGGCAGGAGGAAGAAGGGAAGAGGAGGAATTAATGTAAGTGGGTAGAATGATTAAAGATGGAGGCAAAACGAAACGAAACAAATAGAAGAAGAGAGCTCAAAGTTTTATAAGTACATTATCGTAGAGAACCCGGGACCGTTATTCGAAACTCGAAGCAAATCTCGATTCTCTCTAATAAGCAGTTAGTTCCTGAAATGGAGGTCATGCAACTCTCATTGTTCAACGTAAATAATTCTCTCATACTTCTTTCCTGCAGTTTAATCTCAATAGTTTACTCTAACTCATTCAAAACCCACTTCATTTTTAGGACCTCCGCACTCCGCCGTCCCTCCTTTATCGCGTGTTTGCCCCCCCCCTCCCCCCGAAAAAAAGAAGAAAATTGTCTCGTGTATACCGCAAATACTTCCTAAAATAACCAGTCAAATCTCAGATGTTGTTCTCATTTCTTGGGAGGAAAATGACCCACCATAATTTATGAGGCGGAATTCGGTTTAAATTTTCAGATCCGTATTTTTAAATAGGTATGTAATTAGAGTAACTCATTTTCAAACTCAAGTTAATATGGAGTGATAGTGAGAAAAAAAGACAAGAAATCAACGATTACTCAATTATCTGCAAAACAAAGGAAGAGTGAAAAAGCTTCGGTATCCATATTCCCTAAATCCCTAAATAACTTGGGCCCTATGACGGCTCACACCAATCCCCCTTTTTTGTGAGATACACTTTTTTTTTAAACTTGAAATTCTTTACCATCGGTGGTTTCTTCAACATTTCTTTGTCAAAAATGACTGCTTCTCTAAAGAATAAAGCGTATTTTTAGAGTCTACAAAATTAAATCAATTCACACAATTCATTGGACGAAATGTCTATCACAGAAAATTCATTAGCCTTAACTTTGTATTTTCCTCTAAAAGTTAAGCTTCAATAAATATGCTCAAAATTGAATTGAAGGAAGAATTAAGATCGGAAAATTTTAGGGGCTCTCCTTCAAGCCCTCTAACATAAAAATTCGATTTCAGACCTCGGAGGGGGGGGGGGCCTGATCCTAAACCAAAAGGCGTGGTGTGCTTTGCGATACATCGATTGATCTGTCATTCAAACCTATAGAAAAGGATCGATAATCAGGGTGTTGGCAACAAACACCTTCATAATCGATTCTTTACCACAGCTTCAAATGGGAATAATATCAATAATCGATCATTCACGCCTCAGTTGTGCCTAAACCCGGCTCTGATCGTATCATTCAAGTATCACCTGTACAGTGGCGTGGCGTGAATTGCGATATATCGATTGATACGCCATTTAAACCTATGGAAAAGGATCGATAAACGGGGTATTCGCAGCGAACACCTTAATAATCGATTCTTTACCATAGGTTTAAATGGCATAACAATCAATATATCGCAATTCACGCTACGCCACTGCACCTGTAAGAGAAGTAGAACCCTCGACTCGCGGTGCGCGAACGTTTTGAGAAAAGATCATTTCCGTTCCTCGAAAAATCTCAATAATATGGAGATAAATCCGGACTACGAAATGGTGAAGTTAACTTGGAGAGAGACCTCACGGCAGGGCAACAAAGTGAGTTTTCGAGCGTAATTATCAGGAAGAGGAGAGTTTTGTATTAAAAATGCACCGTTAGATTCCGCGCAGCGGAAGAGGTAGTTTGGAACACACGTACTTGACTACATAATTTATGAATGGTTATCCCACAGAATACCTAACATCCTGCAATAGAAATTCTAATTGACCAATAATGACTTCTGCGAATATAAACAGTACGAAATGACGTCGTAAAAAAGAAAATCATCGGGCGAGTGGGACCGAGTCCCTGTACCTACTCGCATCGTAAAATATACCGACGATGGACGCGGACACATAGTGCCCTCCTAAGGAAGAACGCCGTATGAACATTTGAGCGTTGCCAAATTTCCCCGAATAAAACATGTGTTTTTGAAGAGAGTTATGCATACTTTTCGAAGAAATATTCAGATATTTTAGATTCAATTGAAAACAAAATTGTCTGAAAAATAGAAGGACGAATATTCACGATTTTCCCATTAAAGTCGTTTTTCAAGGAGGGAAATATGGCAACGCCTAAATGCTCATGCTCTCTCTTATCACGACAGCGTAGCGCTCTGCTAAGAAGAAACGCTGATTCAACATTTAAATGTTACCAAATTTTCCCTGATCAAGCATTTGTTTTGCAAAAAGATATGTCTGTTTTCTCTTGAAATTTTTACATGTTTTGGATTAAAAAGCAGACAAAATCGTCTGAAAAATCGGTGGAGAAATATACACGAACTTTTCCGAAAATTCGTGATTTGTCGAGGGAAATTTGGCAATATCCGAAAGCTCATACACGGCGTTTTTGGCAGCACAGGTTCGGTAAAGGTACCAACTTGGTCCTCTCTTCACTACGCTGTCATGCCAAGGAAGAACACCGAACGAGACTTCAGACGTTGCCAAATTTCCTCCGATAAAATATTCATTTTCGAGGAGTAATATGAATATTTTATTTTGGAATTTTCAGATAATTTAGATCTGACTGCGATTGATTTTTTTGAAAAATTCAAGGGAAAAAAATTAACAGATTTCTTTGAAAATTCATATTTTAGCGGAGGAAATTTGGCAACTTCTGAAGGCTCTTACGGCGTTCTTCCTTGGCACGGTGCGGCGGTACAGGGCTCAACCTACTCGACAAGCTGGAAGCAGTTGCTTCATTTCAACTGGAGCGTTTCTTACGAGCTTTAGATAGAAGTTGGAGAATTTTCATGTAGCATCCTCGCCCTCTCTTCCTCTCATCCGAGCTCCCCCCCCCCCCCCNCCTTCTTTCGTGCTGTTCATCGACCACTCTCTTAACGTACTCCTGAACCCTTAAAAGTTCCAATGGGGTAAGGAAGGAACGTGAAAGGGAAAAGGCCTCGCAGTTAATGCCCACCAAGTGGAAAAAGAGCCCGGTGTGACCAATGTAGGTGGCATTTAGTGGAATGGAAACAATTTATTTTTGGAAGCAAGGAGAGTGGCAGGGAACGTAAGAAACTTATTTCGATTTTTTTCTCCGTAGTAAATGTATGTTTGTCAAGAAACAACCCAGAAATCGTTAGAATCCCCTTCAAAACGACGGGTATGCAACGTCTCGCAGTACTGTTCAAATTACTGTCATCACATTGAGTCTAGTCTTCATGGTTGGTCTGGTCTCATTATTTCGTGAATCAATCCCTAGACTTTGACTGGGGAACGCTCGATTACAGCTGTCAAAGGGTTGCAGATCCGTTACTTGAAGGGCGATTCCTCTTAAATTAGCTTTGGAGAATTGACGGATCAAGCAAATTGGCGACATTGTCTTTTCTCCATTTAAACCCATGGGAAAGTATCGATTCTTGGAGGAGCCAGGTCCAGGTGCTCCGAAAAGAATTGATTATTTAGCATAGGTTTAAATGGAGGAAATTCGGTGTTGCCAAATTGCTGGATCCGCCTCTGCTCTGGAGAAATGAACTGAAGAGACGGAGACGGTACTTACCATTTGAGCATGAGGTGTACTATCGTCACTATCATCACTAGTGGTTGTGTTTTGTTCGGCAGGACAAGGTGGCTGCATCTCGCCGAATTCATTTTTCACTACTGAATTAACTACTGGACTACTACCCTGCGCCGACCTTCCGTGGCTTCCGTACGAGGCGGGCCCCATTGTCATATAGTGGTATTGCTGTTGTTGCTGCTGCTGCTGCTGCTGCATCTGCTGCATGAACTGTTGATGTTGTTGCTGCTGATGCTGTTGCTGCCGCTGCTGCTCTTCCCGCCGCTGTTGTTCTTGTTGTTGTTGGTGCGAGTGATGTGAGTTACTTACCGTGGTCATCGTCGTATAACTTGGAGAAGAATAACTAGCACTGAAACATGACAAAGTTCCAACACGAGTTAGTTTTGGCGCATCTATTCACTAATGTATACTCCTAGTTATCATAATTGACACATTACATGAAAATTTAGGGACTATAGACTGCAGCCTGTAGTCCCTTTACTTTTGGGTTTTGAGAGGTGCCTATGTCTATAATGTTTACCGAGGAGGAAAAAAAAATTCATGTCAAGGAAGGGGTGTGCTGATCAGTGGCGTGGCGTGCTTTACGAAACATCGCCTGATTTGCCATTTGAACCTATGGAAAAGGATCGATGAACAGGGTGTTTGTTTCGCAACGAACAGCTGAATAATCGACTCTTTATCATAGCTTCAAATGGGGAAATATCGATAATAATCGATCATTCACGTCTCGCCACTGGTGCTGACTGTAATTGGGCGAAAGAATCACATGTAACTGTTCACACTGATTTTTCCAACAGAAGTAGTTTTTGAGGTCGAGGTTTTTATCTTACTGCGCTAGTAGATACTTTATTCTTTCATTTTTTATAGAAATTTTTGTTGAAATCACACTTCGTTATGACATAGCTTGTTTCTTTTAACCAAAAAGTGCCAAAATATTGATTGGATTCCATATTTAACCTCATTTCTCAATACAGTTGAATGAAAATACAGAGAGGGGCAAAAAGACAGTATTTGGTTTCAAGATACGGAGATGGAAGTGGAGTGGAAGTGGAAGTGGAGACGGAGTGGAATTCAAATTACTTCAATATTTTAATCTAATGAGCGGAAAAATTGACTTAAAAACCTATAGAGCTTATCTTTGCTCCGGTTATGGAATATTACCATAGACAGAGAATATCTTCATTTCTTATGGTCTGTTCTCTAACTACAAACAGGGATGTTCTTTTTCGTAGATTTTTGCGCAGGTGGGAGGAGAAATACCGCTTGTTTACGACCGTGTTTTGACAAGACTCCGTACAGAAATACCAACTCTGGAGAATGCAGAAATACGTCAGAAATTTATGAACAGTCAAAGAGACTCAGGGAAGGACAGAGCATGCGGGCGGTACGCGAGCGCGGAAATGTGGTCGGCGATGACAGTGGCAAAGCGATAGGAGGCGTGAATGATCGATATTTCCTCATTTGAAGCCGTGATAAAGAATCGATTATTAAGGTGTTCGTCGTCAACACCTTGTTAATCGATCCTTTGAGATAGGTTTAAATGGCAGATGAATCGATGTATCGCAAAGCATGCCACGCCACTTGGCGATGACTTATAGAGTCACCGTTGCAGGGTAAAATCGATCGAATGCATTAAGTTATTCGTGCTGTACTGCTAATAGAGAGCAGAATAACTGCAGAGCGTTGATAAGTGGGCACATTTATTTACCTTGAGAAAATAAGCATGAATGCGGAGCGATGCTTGGACGGTAGGATTGCCAACTATTTGTGTACAACTATTTATACAGACAGGGATGTTGGAGAAGATGAAAATGATTCGACTGTTGCTAGAGCTGTGCCGAGACAGTGCGCTCTGATGGCAAGTTCAAAGACCTGTCAGCTCATTTTCTTAGAAAAATGCGCCTAGTCACTTATAAGCCATCATTCAATCTAGCAACTAACACATTTCAAGGACGTCGCTCATTAGTTCCCGTATTGTCCGCCAGAGTTTAAATAACTCGGACGACCGATGAGTCCTCTAATCTTCTCTCAATTTATCATGACGATTTCTGGACACATTTTCACATCCCTAATTTAATCTGTATCAATCATCCGCCACGGATTTTATTTGATTCTGCCTAGTGCCTTCCTCTTGACCTGACCCTTGGTTTTTCACCACTGAGGTACCCCCTCTAATACTTAAGTCCTTCGTGATATTTTACTCCATTCAAAACATCTTAAAATCGGACGTATTTCTGTCAAACGGAACTATGTGCATCATGGCGTGAGCCCTGTTATGCATATATTCTTATGGGTCTCAGGGCTCATGACATAATGCACATAGTTCCGTTTGACAGAAATACATCCAATTCTTAGTTTTCTTCACGAAAGAACGTAACTCCATTTCGATGTTGCCTTTCCATGCGCGAATTTTACTTTTACCAGGATAATTTTGGAAATCGTACATCGAAAATCGCACTGATTATTCTTTCGCTCTCGTGCGAAATTCAGAAAATTGTTCAACAACAATCGCACAGGTGTACTCCTGTAAAAAATTAAGTTGTTTGAGTCAATTTTGCAACCTTGGAATCGAGTTACGTTGCTTCGTCATGAAAACGACGAATTGGTGAAAGTACTGCTTTCTTGGAAAAATTCATCGCAGAAAGAGGACAAGCATATTAATAGGTCTTCTTCCTACAAAATTGTACGCAAATAAAGTCTGGCGTTAGTGGGATTAGTTGGTAGTTTCAGTGCGACATTAAATATCTTTCGGCAACTCTACTTATAGCTGGACTGCATTGTGCAATTTGGAACTATGAATGCTGGCTCTTCTGGAAAAACACTTATGTGGTTAGGGAAACGAATGGCACATACGTTGTTTTTAAACCGGGCTAGAATTTGTAGTTCCAAATTGCAAAATGTAGTCCAGTTAAACCTAAAAGATCCCCCGGAAAGAAGTTTTTTTGTTTTCATTTGAATATTTAAATAGGTAAATGCATTCAACCTTGACTTTAACCTACGGATCTCTCCTCCCCCTGAAGAGTTTAAACTTATTCCTTCTACTAAAAAAGGAACAAAAAATTAGGTAACGTTGGTAGATTTTTGGAGGAACTGCACTTACCTACTACTTAAACCCATATTGTGCTCTTGTGAATGAGGCAAATGCATTGATGACGGGTACCCGCCTGGATCATTCGGATTCATTGTCATCGGGTTCTGTGCTTGCGAATGAGGAGGTACCTGAACACAAAATAAAACAGGAGACATTAGTGATGCCATAAAATGCACTGCAGTGAAAAATTAACATAATTAAATTCCAAAATTTTACGCGTGTTATGGATCATTTGAATGTGTAACAAAGATCTGACCGATCCATCGCGGACGCGCGTAGGCCGTGGGCAGATCTCAGATTTCGCCCGCAAAATCTAGCGTATGCAACCCGGCTCACAGCGGAGTTAAAATAGTTGTATGTTAGGTTCGAACCCAACTTCGTATGTTCTATTATTGCTTTCCGCGTTGTTCCGAGTTGAAAGAGCATTCTGATAACTACAATTTTTGAAAAAAGCTTAGTTTCTATCGAAATGCTTACTCTAAACATTCTTAGCTCATTCACCTGAACCGCAAACTGATGGATGTGAACGTGACATAAAGCAACTGCAAACTTTCTACTTGAAAGTGGAATTTGAATGGAATCTATGAATCATATGGTAAGTTAAGACTCAAACTGTACTTCACCCTTTCCGTAATTTAAATGAATTCCTTTTGATGTGAAGGAAGAGAGTTTTAAATTTAGGGACAGGAAAGGAAAATGTATTTTAAGTGAAATTCAACAATCTTATAGTGGTGATTCCAATTCTATACAGTTTTTACGAATAATAAAACGCCGATTATACTGCCCTGAGAAATTTTGCTTGCGGTACAGCTTCTTGCATATGCATTTAATTTTCAGACAGTAATTAAAAACACAAAAAAGGATTTCGTAGAGCACAATTATTCATATTCAGTAAGGTCACCGAAAGATAGTTGGAAACTCTGGTCCGAATAGCGCTCACAATTTTGGCCATAGAATTTTAATACATTGCAGGATTTTTAAAGTCATTTCGTTTTACGAGCCTTGTACATTTGTGCGACGGTAGCCGATGTGGGCCATTTTTGCCAAGTAGTGCTGATTTTTCATCACTTTTCCCCATTTGAATCCATGTAAAATATCCACTTTTTATTCCACAATCTGGCAAGCTTGATAGAGACCGAGCTTTGTTCGGAATAGGTATTTTTGTTTCCACGGCCTTCACGGTACACTGACGGAAAAGAACGTTGTGCCACTGTAAATTGAGATTTCGTGACTCCTCCTGGTTCAGTTGCATGGATATTTACAAAAGCTGGATAATCGGAAATGTTCAAATAAATAATGTATAATTGGACGAGAAAAAGATAGAATTTTTGCAAAAGTGTGCCTGTGCGAAAGGGATTTGCATAGGTATACTTTCATGACTTTGATATGCACCCCCACCTTCTCGACTGTAAATTAGATGCCAGTACTTTGAGAGTGGGTAGATAAATGCATTTGACTACATTCGAGCATACAATTGACTTCATTATGTGCGGTTCTAGGAAATGCCGTGATAATTTTCACGGTTTGAAACACGCATGAATATTCTTGTCACTTAAATGAAATGTACTCACAATAGCAGTCACTATTCTCTGAGCCGTCAGCGTTGATAAATGGAACAAGAGAGCTATTTTTTAAAATTACGAAGGAAAAAAATACACACTCCCACACAATGTAAATGTAGCCCCAGACAGAGTATTTAGTATTTTTACCTATGGCGGATGCCTTAAAAGATTAGGACATCACTGTCATTTATTTTAGCATAACTATGGTGGCTGGTTTCTCATTATTGCACTGACTTATTTAATATTGAATTTTTAATGACTTATCATAACTTATGTTCGGGAGGAGGAGAAAATTTGGAAAAAATGAGGAAGAGAAGGAAAGGTGGCGAACGGTACGAAGAGATGTAGTATAATACTACTATTGGTTTATTTTACAGAGGTGCCTTAGCAACACTCATGTCTGAAATTAACAAAGAAGGAAAAAAGAAGAGAGTGGATTAAAAAAAAAGCGACCAAGTACGAATGTGTCCACTTTGATTATATACAATATTTCTATAATACTATTAAATATATGAACGTATAAAGAAAATTAAGAACCTGAAAAAGTTAGATCAGAGAGTCTCTTATTACACGCTGCATCTTTGAAGCATATTCAACTCAAATATATTTCGTCGAGAAGATATAAGGTGTAATATTCGAGAGTATCCTCTCGCAATACAAGTGTTTCATAAATTCCCAGCATAGCTTCTTTTTGTTGAAAAATTTTGAATTATACTGACACGAAATTCTCGCGCCACGGGAGGAGGATGGATACTTTGAAGCAAAGAGAAAATTGATATGCCACATAAAAAAGAGTAGCTCAAGTTTGATTTGAAGTCGACGGAGCAAGCTTCGAAACTTGTTTGCGATTTTCGCGGGGATGAGGAAATTGTTCGGATGAGGACGAGGGGTAGAGAAGCGGGAAGGAAAAAGAATATGGAATGCATTAAAGGATGGAAGGTGAAAGCGGACAGAGGACAGGGAGAGAATCCGAAGAGACAGGAGTAGCAGCAACATCAGCAGCAGCAAGATTGAAGCAGTTTTATTGGGGATACTTCGCGAAAACTTTAGCGCTTCTTATAACTGGAAATGTGATGGCTAAAGTTTTCGTTCAAAATAATTTTGGTTTTCAGATTTTATTTTTATTTCGTTCCCTTTCCTTTCGGAATCGAGTTTCTGTTGAGTAATATACGCAAGCAAACGCATTTCTGAAAGTTATTTTGCTTTTATTTTGTCGTTGGAGAGACTCGAATGTCTAATGCCGGTCACAATTTATTCCCGCCGCGCCGCGCCGCGCCGCGCCGTCGATCCGAGCAATTTTCAGGCCATGAGAATTTTGCAGCTGTTCAATTCGGGACAAAACAGGTAAGTATTTCAGAATATGCACATCAATACGAGCAAAGTAGGTTAACACGTGTGTTCATTTAAGACAAAAAAGAGTATTCGGAAACATTTAAATTTTAAATTCGGGTGAGTTCAAACGAGAAATGAGTTGAATTGAATTACGACTAGTTTGCCACGTTTTAAAATTTAAAAAAAAAAGAAAAAAAAATAGGCTGTACTTACATTATTTTGTTGATAACTTAGTTGTGATTGGTTGTGGTGAGGAATGTCGAAATCTTCATCCCCAAAATTAGGCGTATGAAAAGTCTGTAACAATTACATAGGAAGTGTGTCAATTTCGATTTTACTTTATTTGGCGAGTGAAAACAATCAGCCTGCTTTTCAACGTTTAGGGACGAATTTTTTTTCTTCAATGTGTATTTAATTTTTAGCTTTCAAGTTGGAGAATTTTTTCATTTTTTCTTGTCTTGTTTTTAAGCTTAACCGGATTTCGAGAACACCTCAAAATTCACAGATAAAAGAAATTCATTCTTCTTTTTTGTGGAGATCAAATTCTTACGGTTAGTCGAATGTTATAAACTATGGTTTGACTTAAAAATTGCAAAAAAGTTTGAATCTCTCTACTCACCCTCAGTAATTTTTTTTTAAAATTATTAAATATTTATTTACAATATGAATATTTACCTGTTTCTTGGCCAAAAAATTAAGAAATAATTTGAAAAAACGAAAAAGGAAAAGAAAAAAGGAAAATATAAAATTATCAACTCATGAATAAACATTGAGAATTCAACGGCTACATTTAAACGTGGCAAACTAGACGGTAATTCAATTGCTCAAATAATTGAACTGCAAACATTCAATCGGGACAAGGTAAAGTACATCGTGTAAAATGAGAATTTTAAAAAGTTAAAAACTTGAGAAAACACAATTTTCAGAACTCGGAGTCTGCATAAAGTATTTTACTCTTGCCATGAGAAACAAGAGTAATGGCTCTCCTGGAATTAGCTATTCCAGTCATTGTCTTGTTCGTCATAAAATGTCTCTTGCTTATATACAATATGAAGTTTTAGAATAGAGAATGCAGGCTCCATAACTAATGCCGCCTCGACGAATGAATGACGTGCATCTTGGTGGATAATAATCAGCCGATCTTTTTATAGGTTCATCAAGAGAATGACGCATGACGAACTGAAGTCTGTCGGTTTGGAATAAACAAACGAGCGACCTCAGCTCACATCATCCGAGTTCTGGGTCATTTTCCTTCCTATTTTGACATCCAGCGAAAGTAACCGGGCGTGGTAACATTTCACTTTATCCATCGCTTTTCTACCGGCTGTGTCGTTGGATAAAGCAAAGGTAACAGCGAGAAACCAGGAGATAGTGACTCAGAGATCGAATGGATCGTATTCGATAGTGGTTCGATGTATCGTTTGCTTCAAAACAAAAGAACATAACCTCAAACGAAAATTTTACGATTTAAAGTTGGAAAATCTGAAGATGAGAAAATTCCTAACGATTTCGTTTTTCATTACCAGTTTGTATTCACAGGAATCAAAAATATATTACTAAAAACCCGCTCCCTCAGATTACTCAATTGACTTTTGAGGCTACGTTTACGTGTTGAACCAATCGATATCGATACAATCTCGTCTGTTTGATGTTCCGAATATGTGCCGTAGGAAAGGGGTCGTCCATAAATTACGTAACGCAGTGGTGGGGGGGGGGCGAGGAGCACGATACGCCATTTTTTTTACGTGTTAACGGATAGGGACCTACGTCACAAAATCGTTACAAGGGGGGGGGGTCAAAAATGCCGATAAAGAGCGTTACGTACGTAATTTATGGACGGCCCCAAAGGCACCGAGAAATTTAAATGAGGAAGAATGAACATATCGTTTGTTTATTTGTTTTATCGGTGCGGATAGGAAAAAAAGCAGAGGAAACAAAGGAAAATAAGCGACGGGATGGAAAAATGGCAGCGAGAGAAAAGGGTCGTGTCGTGGGGCGGCGAAGGGTGCAGGGTTGAGCGGAGGAAATTCGGATGGTGGGGAGGAAAAAGGAGTTGAACAAAACAAACTGATTAAAAGTTTTAGAGTTATCAAAACAATAATTAATGAAACAAACACTAAAGCTCTAGTTGGGGATGCGGTGGGGCGAAGGGGGGCTCATTAGAAATGAAACTTTCTAGCGTTCCCCTCCCCATCTCCTCCCCGCACCGCAGCTTCTCTCCCCACCCCACTCCACCCCGCCACCCGTATTCCTACTGACGTGCTGAAGGGGCGCAGGAAACTAGCGCGCAACTCTCCTCCTGTGTTGTCCTTCCTATAAACTTGAATCCAGAAATTTCGAAATATAATGGATCAATCCAGGGAAGCGAATCATCATACGTTTGCGCTACTCTGCCGTCCTACGTAAAACGCCGTACAAGCATTCGAATGTTGCCAAATTTCTTCTTTGAAAATATTTATTTTGAAGAAAGTTAAGAATATTTCTCCTTGAAATTTTCAGGCTTTTTAGATCAATTTACGAACAAAGTCCTCTGAAAAATTGGAGAAGAAATATTCACAAATTTTCCTTGAAATTCGTGATTTGTAGAAGAAAATCTGGCAACGTCTGATGGCTCATACAGTGTTCGTACTTAGCACGGCGGTACTGGGAGTAGATTTCCACCGCTGTGCGCCTGTATGCTCCGTTTCCGCTATGTTGCCCATCGTGTGACCTTTCTAACATCAGTATTAAATTTAAGTACGATGACAAAGTCGAAGAACGCGTGTTGTGTCTCGATTTGCTATTGTTCTATTTTAATTTTACAAAAAGGAAACTGATTTACATTACTCCGCACATTTTTTACAGATTTCTCTTCATCCTCTGCAAAATATTCTTTGGAAAATTCAAACGGCGTAGTTTATTCGTTTTTCATCGCTTCAAGAAATAACGATGCACGTTAACTTTTTTAAACACTTAACTTACTTGCTTGTCAAGTTAAGTCTAGTAAGTAGATGTATACCTTCGTTGTTAACGCTGTTGTGTTTAAAACATTGATGCAATTAAACGGTATGAATTCTGCAGCAGCGTCGTGAGACTAAAGTTGCTCTCATTTTTCCTCTCCACACAGAATGAAAATAGATCCCCAAAACAGGATGTATTTCAACCAAGACATGATACAAGTGTGATGGGCAGGCGGAGGGGGGCGATCCAGAGGCGAAGCGTGTTTTACGATTTATCGATTGATCTGCCATTTAAACCTATGGAAAAGGATCGATAACCAGGGTGTTGACAGCGAACGCCTTAATAATCGATATTTTACCATAGCTTCAAATGGGCAGATATCGATAATCGATCATTCACGCCTCGCCTTTGCGGCGATCGATGGTGCAATTAACGAAGTTGAAATTTTCCGGCTTGTATTCGGATCGAATAGGATTTCCTCCGCGTTGACAGCGAAGGAGTGAAGGGTTCTGGCAGGAGCACAATGAGGAGGGAAAAAATGCTTGCTTCGGTCAAACGGAGTTTAAATTAATTTCTGATATATTAACGAATGAGAGGCGGGGGCGGCCGGTGGACAGCTCGTCAGGAAGGCAAGGAGCATATAGATATAATAAATTGATAAAATGTTCTAGAAAGGAACATTGCAAAGAAATGATCGGGGCCGGATTAAAATAATACAAGATAGACGAAGGGATTGAATTAAATTATTACATTGTTTCGCTTCATGTTGGTCTTTATCAACAATCGTTAAACTGTCTATTTGGCTCAGACAATGGCTTGTATTTTACAATTCAGGTTTCTTAGTGGTTGAGCCTGGTTGTTGCAAGCTCTTGCTTTGGCTCTGTCTCTCTCTCCCTCTCTCCCCCCCCCTTCCCCCGCCTCTGCCCCCTTGAAGCTGTCGCAACGTATTTTATTTGCTGAGCCTTTTACGGACCCTTTTTCAAGAGGCCCTTTTTTATCTGGCATGTTGACATGCATGTAAAGCCAATGCACTCTATCATTCGCCAGTAACAATGCAGCTCAACCTGCGTTGCCTGGATCGTCGGTTCTTGCCGTGTCGTCAGCATCATCGTCATCGTCATCTTCCACACTAGTTTTCATGCGTTTTTTAGTTCGAGTCCGACCCCTCCCCCCTCCCCCTCCTCCCCGCGAAAACATCGTTAAAGCTTCCGTGCAACACTCTAATTACATCCCAACACTCTGCCCGCTGAGGAAACCCTCATTATTTTCACCTTCTTTTACTTCTCTCTTTGCCGAGGGACAATATCTCCGGATTGCGATTCGACCTTCAGTTTTTTCGGATTTTACTTGCGATCTCTTGATGATGCACTGTTCTGAATCTACGTCAAATGCGTGCGTGCGTCGCGATCATTCCGTTAAAATTAATTTATTCTCATTGCTGAAATGGAGAGTTTGCACGCAATTTTTTTATTGTTTCACCTGAGAGTGCTTAAAGAGCTGATTTCGTAGTACTTTTTACAATTTTTTTCTGTAATGGGATTTAGTCCAAAACTTGATTTCGAAGTGAGAAAATGCACCGCCTTGTGACGTCATCTGGCGGCATTTCCCATTAAATCGTATGTATTTCAGCAAATTAGATATTTTCGTCACATCTCCTTCAATAATTGCTAGATTAACGAACCAATGGTATCCTCGTGTTCAGTTCACTCAGTAGTTTCCACTTCGACATGGAATTCTTCAAATTTCAGACACCTGCAAATTCTCCATTAGAACAAATGATGTCCATACTTGGGCCCAGATATTACTAGTTATTTTTAGTTTCGATCATATTGATACGGATTCAGCCAACAGGTGAGGGGCCGTCCCTAAATTACGTAACGCATTTTTCGGCATTATAGAGAGACCTCCATCCTCTTTGTAGCGCTTTTGTGACTTAGGTCCCTATCCTTTAACAGAACAAAATGGCGTGATACTCTCCTCGACCCCGAACCCCCCAGCGTTACTTAATTTAGGGACGGCCCCTGAAAAGCATCTTTCGATGACTCCAATGGTTATAAAATGATACTTATTGATTACTCGCTCCACCTGCCTCGGACTACCTCTGAAAAGTAAAGCGTGCAAATTCAAAACACTCTAAACGCTGAAGATTATGAACACTTTTCCTGACTGTAAAAGAACTTAAGTGACTTCATTTCATAATTTTTTAACTGAGGAATTTTCCTTGGATTTAGCCTTTATCGTACGGAAAAAAAGAAATTAGGGCTGGGCCCTAGAATTGCTTTACCTCATATCCAATAGGGGTCATACCGAAACAGTCATTCTGTGATCACTGGGTTTCCATTGAAAAAAAGAAACACTTGTGAAGCCTTTTGAACACCTGATGGTGCTCGGAATGTTTTGAAGTTCTTTTAAAATGATTATTTTCAGCCTGACTTGGCATTAGAACCGGATGAATCACTCAAAACCGCTGGCCGCCTGGCAATGCCGAAACTTTCATCTTCTCGTCCCGTGAATTGGGTCAGCAACTGTTTTCTTATACTTAAGTCTTTGTAATTCATGATTTCAAAGACCGTTATTCATATCTACTCATTCCTATTTTGCTCTTGATTTGTTGCTTTGGTCATTTGCTATTCTTACATTGAATCCGCGGATGAAAGTTTATAGAGGTTACACGCTGTAGTGTGAATGCAAAACTATACTGCATGCATTGAGTCGATAATACGACAACGTATCAAATATTAATTTTTGAAAAAAGATAAGTGCTAAGTATGAGGGTATAAGGCAGATCGGGCAATTATATCTTCAGGCGAAAAAAAGAAAAGAAAATATAGTAATTCAGTGACCCCGCAAAACAGGAAGAAGGAAACAACTTTGTGACATATGATAATCTAAGAAAGTAATTTTCAAATGTTAATGGTTAGATTTTGGAATTTCGGTAAATTTAAGGGAGTACCTAAACCACATTATGATCAAGAAATTCTGAGGGAATTCGTCTATAGCTAACATTTGCACAATTTTGAATAGTTGAGGTGTTAGTTTACTTTAGTGAGAAGGTTGTTGGGACTGTTGGGACTATTGGGCTAAAAATTTATTTAAAAAAAAAAAAAAAAAAAAAAAAAAAAAAAAAAAAAAAAAAAAATCTAAAATTATGGGCTATCCAATTATCGCCATAAATTTAAAAGAAATCTGTAATACTAGCTGATTTTAGACTCCTTTCTGATATTGAAAAAAAAACATACTTGGGGAGTTTTGGTAACTGACACTCATTTGCTGTCGTAGCTATAGTTACATGTATTCCGATGGTTCCAGTATAACACTAAAAAATAATCAAAGCAATAAAAAAAGATAATTATCTTCGGACGTTAGCATCTATTCTCGTCTAGATTGAAAAATAGGTACCTGGCCGCTTGGCAATTAAAAAAAAAAAATGCTACTTAAGAAAACTGAAATTTCACGGGAAAAGGGGTCAGTTGCCGTTATTTCCCATCTCATCTGCGAGATGACTCAATTCCATGCTCCAGTTTCCCGTTGGCGGCTCCAAAATTAATTTTGATTGATCTTGGGAGGACTGACTGCTCAGTGCGCGAGTTATAACATGAGTGATGGAGATTGGATGCCGTGCGAGATAATTTTGTATGTGCGCGCGCCTGTATTTAACTGCCCCCGCCTCCCTACTACCCTCTCCGGCGCCAGCATGGATAAAAGATACAGCTTCAATCCCAGTTGCCTATTCGTGCCAATATCATGTGAAAAAGGGTTAACATTCAGGGCGGAAAATGTCCGTCCTTTTTAACGATTATCAACGGAAACTCATCGGATAATCAACGGAATCTCATCGGATAAGCAACAGAAACTCATCGGATGATCAACGGAAACTCATTGGATAATCCACGGAAACTCATCGGATAGTCAACGGAAACTCATCGGATAGTCAACGGAAACTCATCGGTTAAAGTGATCGTTCTCCGGGCCAAGTCCAAAATTAATAAGAGCAAGGCGTCAACAATGATGTATGATTACAAAAATTTATACTGTACATTAGATCAATAGTAATTCTTAGAGAAATGAATCATGCCGTAAATTCGTGATTGATCAAATTTAAACTTACTTGGTCATTCATATTTGAGAATCCGTTATTGTGAGGTACTGTGAGTGACAAATCTATATTTTCGCTATTTCTCTGAAAGCAAAAACAGACAAAAAAAAAAACAAATGTTACTGGAAATTTGAATGATACATAAGCATACTTAAAAAAAATTTTAAAATTTTTTAAAAATTTATGAAATGCAAAAAAAAAAAAAAAAAAAAAAACCCAGGACTGATTAATATTTCAGTAGTTATGGCTTGATAATCGTTTTATGTGATGAGTACTTTTAGGCGACAAAGTGTGAAAAATATGGGACGACTTCATCATCGTGAATTTTACTTCAAAGCAGTTTCCGAAACACATTACATCGATAGAAGTTTTGCCTTCAAAATGTAGGATGTGCTCATGATCTCAGCGAGATGATGATATGATTAAAAAATCTGATCAATGAATATCACGGAAAAACACGACTCCCGCTGAAAGAGATTGACGGCAAAAAGAGCCTACACGGTTGCGAAAAACATAAGCAAGCAATTTATTCCTAACTAAAATTGGCTGCATTCCAAGATACAGCTTGTCACGTCGTTTCTCTAAATTTGTAGGTCTTTAGACAATAAATATGACGATGTCAACGAGAGTGTAGGGATATGCAGGGAGGACGGATGCATTTTTCTACCAGTGAGTGGATGCAGCTTTCGACGAAAAGTTGAAAAATCAATATTTAACTTGCGCGGAGAAGATTCAAAGGCCGGAGCGTCTCGGATTATTTATTTTCATGCATCGATCAAACGGCTCCGACTTAGAGTACTCCTTTGTTCCACGAGGCGCACCCCCACCCAATGTGAGGCTTGGTCGATGATGTAGTTGGACTCACCAACTCTCAGAAGCTGTTAGAATATACATTTCGAGATTTAAGGAATTCCCTTACTTTTTTCTCCCTTTCATTGGAGAATTTGCAGGTTTCTGAAGTTTTGTCGTGCTTAATTGGAGAATGGAATGAACTGAACGCGAGGATCCCCGTGGTTCATAAATAGAACGAATATTGGAAGGAGATGTAACAATATGATCTGATCTGCTAAAATATATGTGTTTGAATGTAAAATGCCGGAAGTAAACTCTTGACCCTATTTCCTAAACTTATACTATTATCTTATTAACTATCTCCTTACTTTACTTGTCTCTTTTATTATCATACACATTATGTTATCACTATATATAACTTATATCTATCATCACCTAAGCAAATTAGTAATAAGATACGCACATTACAATTTCTGTAAATATGTACTTACTGAATAAAATTTCGCTTGACAAAAAGAAAAAAAAAAAAAATGCAAAATGCCGCCCAGTGACGTTACTGAGCGGGGCATTTTCTCACTTTTAAATATATTTTTAGACTACTCCCCGAATTAGAAAAAAGTATAAGAATACTGCAAAATCAGCTCCTTCAGCAGTCTCAGGAAGCAATAAAAAAATGTAAGTGCAAATGCTCCATCGCCTATGATTAAAAGAAAATCCGGCATGTTGGGTTCAAAGACCATTGAATCAATACTTTTGATCTGAGCTAAAGAACTGCATAAAACCGCCACTAAAGAAAAGTGCTTAAATTTTGGTTTAAATCGCGGTCAAGAAGCGTGTCAATTATTTTCCGCTTGCTACTTCAAAATAGCTGATGGTGCAATTCATCAATCTATGTCTCGAGAGTATATTATAGAGACTGAATATGTTTAATTTTCCTTTAAATTTTTTAAACAGTAAATCTCATTCCCACGGGTGCGCATAGTTCTTTTCAATATTTAATTCACATCTTCGAGCCGATAGCTGATCAAAAGTTGGCTCAGGTCACAAAATCTATTTTTTAGTGACAAAATTCACCCGATGATCGAGAAAAAAGGTACATAACATGAGGATAAGTGCGTGTGTAATGAGTGTTGCAAGTAACCTCAAACTTGATGCCTTTAAAATCATGGCAGTTGATTTAAGACTAGATGTACGTGGTGAAAATATTTCCCGCTGGTGGCAAAAGACATAAACTGAAGGGTCCTAGGGCAGACGTGATGCGTTTAAAGATGATTGAGATAGTTTGTGACGTCTCTGAATCTGAAATATGCGCGAGAATAAATATTGATTGTTGGAGGAACAATAAATATTAGGATGAATAATACGGCATACACGGAACGGAATTAGCATATATTCATCGTGAAATTAGATTAATGCCTTCTCAAAAGCCGCAAACCAGTTTCCAGCTGAAAAGAGTGTTGCGCGAAAGATTCTTGGCATACCAATGCTTCGTTGAGCGTTGGCAATAGCTGTTATAGATCTTTTGCGCAGGGAGCAGGGGGGAGGGGGAGAGAAAGAGAGGCAAAATGAGATTCCGAAAGCAGGAGAGAGAAAGGATCATTTCTATGCTTTTGCAATGGGAAATGCATTTATAATCAATACTATTCAAAAGGGGGTTCCATGTTTGGAAAGAGCTAACTTCAACTGCTGTTAATAAAATACAGCACAAGTTTATTCTTCTTGCGCGCTTTCACTTCTATCTCCTCCTCTCCCCTCCCCGCCCCCCTCGCCTGCGTCCTCCCCTCCCCCTCCGTCGCTCCCCGCCCCCCTTTGCTCCCTCTCGGCTCCACCACTCTCCGCGCATTCCTACCGCGGCCCTTTAATGGAAAAAGTTCGGTTAAGTAAACCGAAAGTGGTTCATGCGGCCACGAAATACCAATTCAACTACAGTATTTGCCTCGACTATCCGAACCAAAGCCAAAGCGCTCAATAGAAACGGTCGTTGCGCATATCAGCCTGCTTGCTTGGAAACTTTCATAATTTTCATGGATCCATATGCGTTACGTTCCGTTGACGCGCAACCTCTTCCCTTCATTTCCGGCCAAGTTCCTTCGTTCCTTCCGCTCGGCTCGAAATGACAGCGCAGCCTAACTTGCCGGCTCACGGCTAAGAACTTTTCCGGGCCCACGCCAAAAGCAACTTTAATAATCTTAACTCGCTAATGAGAACTTGTTCCGTTTCCAGTGTCACCTGTACGCATGCCCTCGTGTTTCACTCCGGGATGCCCAAAATAAAAGGGAGGATCTGAAAAAGACCAGCAGTCAACACCTAAATAATTGATCTTTTACCATAGCTTCAAATAGGGAAATATCAATGAAAAAAAAAAAAAAAAAAAATTATTACTTTGAAAGGTTTTAAAATCGATGTTTTTCACCCCCATGTTCACAATACATACTGTACATATAGGTCGCTTTTAGCACTCTTCGCGCTCTACGACTCCTGACCTCCACTGCTCTCTGTCGAACCATACGCCTCACAAGCCGTCGAGCCCCAAGGTTTGTGGTGCGAAGGAGACGTTCACAGTTATTTCTTAGAAATGCCTTCGCAGCAAGAAACAGGCTAGATTTGCCACTGATAGCCGCACTCGTGAACTGTAATATCATCAAAGTTTTTGTTCGTGCTCTATATTTTCATAACAATCTAGCTATTCACCATAACTGTGTACTTTGAATTTGGCGCAGAGTTGACCACAATTGAAGTTCTTTTAATTCAAAGCTGTGTCTACAAAATGCAGACTATATATAAACCACGGACTTGAGAGAATGTTCGATAAGACAGCGAGGTAGGCTTTTATATGATTTCGTTTAATTGGACTGAATTGGACGTATTTCTATCCAATGGAACTATGTGCATTATGACGTGAGCCCTGTTGTGCACATATTCTTATGGGTCTCAAGGTTCATGTCTTAATACACGTAGTTCCGTTTGATAGAAATACGTCCAATTAAGACGTCAGAGCGCCACCGTTGTCAATTAGTACATATTGCTATGATTCTATCATTTGATTTGCTTTTTTTTAGGACTCATTGCACATTAGCGGAACCTCTGTCATTGGCGTCAGAAACATATTAAACATAATTGATGATAATAATTCAATATTAAGTCTTGCAATACGTCCGATGACGGACGTCAGATCGAATTTAAATCACAAATCAACGCCTTCATTATAAAAGATATTAGTGATGATGTCATCGTAGGGGTTTTCCGTCAGGTGCGTTGTTAAACTCAACAACGCCCGACGATTTGCCCAACGACTCTTCGATTGTTAGGAATATTGGTCGGGCGCTGGGATCTTGATTTGTAATTATTTACGTTCATTAAAGACGTCATAATGACGTATCGGTCAGTTATGTTGAGATGACGGATATCGCAGCCATTTTTGTTGGCGAGTTCGCGACGATTTTTTAGGGTTTAATAACACGTCTACTAAATTAGATCCAAACAATAACAATAACACAACCTCTCTCATTGCTACTTACAGGGTGTCTACTAAAACAGGCTGGTCAAAAAAAAGTGCTTTTACAGTACTTTTTCAGTACATTCTCAAGAAATTCAGAACCTCCTCCAACAGAAAAATTCCGTACTTTTTCAGTACCTTCATTTGATAAAATTAGAAAAATTTCAAAATTCGAAATTGCGACAAAATGACAAAAATAAAAAAATTCCGGACCTTTTGCGGAATTTCCGCACTTTTTCAGTACTTCCGGACCGCCCTTAAAAAAACAGTACTATTTCCGGACTTTCGGAAATTCCGGACTTGTAGACACCCTGTACCTAAGAGAAAGAATCTATGCACATCGGTGGCGAGGCGTGAATGATTGATTTTCGATATTTCCCTATTTGAAGCTATAGTAGAGAATCGATTATTAGGGTGTTCGTTGCGAACACCCTCTTCATCGATCCTATTCCATGGTTGAAATGGACGTATTTCTGTCAAACGGAACTATGTGCATTACGACATGAGCCCTGAGACCCATAAGAATATATGCATGACAGGGCTCACGTCATAATGCACATAGTTCCGTTTGACAGAAATACGTCCAAATGGCAGATCAAAACGCGCTTGCTCCCAGCGACACCGAGACTCGAAAAATCGGTCATGATCGAATATGACGCGCGCACGACCAAACCTAATAAGTCAGAGGGAGGTAGTAGGGAAGTGGGAAGTCACAGGCAGAAAAGAAAATCGTGACCGCCACCTAATTGAGACTGGGATTTTTGTGGTAACCGTTTATTCTAAACAACAATTATTG